ATGCATTTTTAGGCCAACAATTCACGTCAGTAAAGACCACAACGTGTACAATATGACTCAAGCACCGGTGACCACGCACAGACTACCAGTCAGGTCACTCCTCACCGCTGGCGTAAATTTGTTGCTTTAGATTTCTCTAAACCCTCCCGCAATCGCCAAACCATGCGGAATGTGAAGGCTAATTCAATTCCGGAAGTCCTGTTTGCCTTAATTGATGAGGTAGAAGGGGGGGGGGGGGGGGGAAGGGGGGTTACAGCAAGCGAGAGTTTAATTCTATCCTACCCTGACCTTTTTCCAGACTCGTGTGTGTTTATTTATGCATTCTTATGACTGATCGATTTCCAAAATCTCAATGCACTCTCGGATCATACCAAGCCAGTAAGGGAGAAAGAAAAAAATTAAAAAGAAAAACATTTTCTTTGTTTGTTTGAGAAAAGACAGTTTTCCAGACAAGGATATTTTGGGTTGAATATTTGTTTAGTAAGTAAAAAGTAAAGTCTGTCACGAGCCAATGTGGCCCATCAGGCCGGCGTTTATCTCCAGTTTCAGTAGCATGAAACGACTGAGAATATTTCTATTCCCCCTGGATGGGATGCTAGTCCATCGCGGGTTACTCCCCAGCTAATGCCGGTATCCATTTATACTCCTGCTCTGGGTGGAGAGAGACAAGTGTGGGTGAAGTGGCTTGCCCAAGGACACAACATATGAACAGCAGCTGGATTATTTGGAACCCCTGACCCTCTGATCATGAGTCACGAACCCTAACCACTAGGCCACACTCCCCACTTTTTCCCCCCGTCTATAATGAGGTACATGTAACACGCAGAACAAAAAGCACTGGCACTAAAAAAATTTTTTTTAAAAGACTGAAGATTTTCATTTGTAACATCTTTCAACTGAGCCCATCCAAACAAAGGTGGTTCACGCCCCAAAACCCAGAAAGCAAGCAACAGAATAGCTTGGTGTGCAACAAATTGGCAGAAAAAAAACTCTTGTAGGCCTATATCTTTTACTGAGCCCTCTAGAACTACAGTGCACTAGGTGCATCTAGATGTTTTGTGTCGTGCCTGGCACTGACTGTAGGGCACAAATATTTTGTAAAATTGCCCTCAACCAACTTTCATGTAAAGTACCGTACTTTGTATTGAAATTGTAAAGCAGGTCATGCATTCAACAATAGGGCTATGTATTGGCCCCAGGTACCTGAGTACCCGACCACTGACATGACTGATGATGTCAGGAACCGGTTCCAGATTACGGGATCGGGTACCGATAACCAACTTTACAAAGTACTCAGTAACTTCTCAGACAATGAAAAAGAAAGGTTTTTTTCTGATGAAAATGGGTGTCACTGAGGGTGTCAGAGTCACCGGTGAGAGAAATATGACTTTGCATGAGTGTACAAATGAACCTATTATTAGGCCCCAACATGCCCAAACTATGACAATGGTCCCAACTATAGTTTGGAAAGTCCCAACCATTGTTTGGAGAGTCCCAACAATAGTTGGGGAATTCCTAACTGTAGCTGGGGTCATCCCAAAGTTCATAAACCAATACAAGTTGCACCGTTCCACTCACTGAAGATTAAAATCCAAGAATAAAAATGACAAAACCAGCAACAATGTGCACCTGGTAGCATTTTAATTGGGCAAACATGTAAAGTTCTTCACATATTTTAGGAATCATTTAAGAAACTGATAAAGCTAAAAGGGAAATTGGTTTTAGCATATCATTTCCTAAATGGTTCCTCAAATATGAGTCATCCCATCCACAATACTTAACATATTCTAAAAGTAACAAGATTTAATTGTCTTAAGCTGTGTACAACGAGCCATGTATCAGCTCATTATTAAAGGCGTTCACTGGAGATGTTTGTGCCACTGTATTTAACTTGAACGTCATGGCACAATGATTTATTTATGTCTATTTTTATAGAAACATTATTCGAGACTCCAAGAGTGGCATTGAATGTTTATTTCAGTGAATTGTATGTAGGGTCCAGAGTTCAGGGCCATATTTCATGGCGTTGCTTATAACAGCCAAAAAGTTGTGCTTACTATAGCAGAAAATTGTGCTAACCTTAACCTTAAGCATTATTTTGTGGCGTGGACGTGCTAACGGTCACGCGCGTATGGAGATTATAAATGTTACGTCACTAAGTTAAGCAAATTTTTCCTCTGAGGTAAGCATACCTTTTGCTGTGCTTACTGTTTATGGTCTCCATGAAATTATCAAAAACATTTATTCAGAACTTTGCATTCATTTGGATGGAAAAAAACGAATTCTCAACTCGCGCTTTCCATATCGACAGATGCCCCAAACATTACCGCGCGAGCCGGCACTTTCATTTCAACCACCGTGTAAAATTATAATCTGCTTGATAAATCGTAACTGTTTTTATGATATTAAATATAAATGAAAATGTCACAGACTTGCACACTCGTACCCACAAAGTTAAGACTTTTATTAAAACAGTGGTATAAAAAGAAATGATTGAAAGCTTGTCGCAACTTTCCGCAAAGCATTTTTAAAGGTTGGGGTACAGAGGCGAAACGAGAGAATTTTGTACAACGGCGAGACGCCATTGCAACCAGACTAGTCTACTACCGCATGTTATTGTACGCTGATGGCATTGGTGCCAGACTTGTACGTAGTTTGGCACGCAGTAACAGTAATAACGCGTGCACACATGTTCCGTGTTGCTGTGTTGTGTGGAGCGGGATCGGCCATTGCCAGACTTTGTCTGGCACGCGGTATTTATAACAGGAATAATGCGTGGACACATATTGCAACTGCGTTGTGTCGAGTGAGATCGGAACTATACTTTGCCCGTGCGTAACGGCGGGCCATCTGGCATTGTCTGGTCGCATCGCGGTGTTTGCTCGGCACGCGCCTGGACAGTAATAATAATAATAATAACTGTATTTATATAGCGCTTTTTGCCAGAGGATACAAAGCGCTGGGGGAGAATGCAACCAAAGCCAGGTATATGAAGTATATGAACATATGAGACCCATTATGAAGCACCTTTTTGCTAGGTGCTGTGGCGCATAATTGCTGCCACTGCCAGAAACACCGGGGCAAACCCCTCCTCTTAGCGACAAGTGTTACTGGGTTCTTTAACGTGCATTACACAACACACGGGACCTACGGCTTTACGTCCCATCCGAAGGACGAAGCAATAATGGTAAAGTGCCTTGCTCAAGAGCACAAGCACCATGTTCCCACGGTCAGGACTCGAACCCGTGTACCACGGCACACGAGTCGAACACCGTAACCATTGGACCACAGCGCCCCGACAGTGCGAAGGTCCAGGGAAAACAATCGTAACTTTTTTGTTATGAGTGGTAAAAAACCTGATTCAGAAATCAACTTTATGTTTATTTAATGGGGATTCCTATGATACCAAACATTTTGATAGATTTGGAAAAGAAGATTTATAAAAGATGCTAACAGTATATAATGTAAATCTTAACTCCAAATTCGGCCATTTAAATTGTATCTCCAAAATGTTCAAACGCCATTGATTTTTTTGTGTAGTTCTCTTTTCAGTGATACAAAAAATAACATTTTTTCGCTAAAAAATTAAATTTGCCGGACTCCCTAGTATTAGCACGGTTTGAAATTGACTAATTTTGCGTGGTTACAGATATGCGGCCCAAAACCACTCGACTCCCTATTAGAAAGAGGAATGAACATGACGAACGAATGTCGGTCACTTCGGCACCTAGTCAACTCGGCACCTGCCAACTCGGCACCTTGCCAACTCGGCACCTTGCCAACTCGGCACCTATGTAGCCAACTCGGCACCTGGCCATCTCGGCACCTGTCAACGGCCGTGCACAGTGGCGATGGCCGGTGGGGATATGCGGCCAGGCCATGCGCGGCACTTTCACCGTGCACCGTTGCCGTGGAAGCATTGACCTGTGACGACCGACGCTGGGCGTACAGTGCTTGCTACATAACCACATAACAGACTTAAGGGCGCTACACGAGAAATCATGCTGCGTATATTGGACAGCGGCAAAAAGTTACAACATTCTCGATCTCTTTCTATCTAAATAAAACAATTCCTATTCAATTAAAAACAACAAATAACAAAGAATGTCACAATTAAATTAGTTGAATCATATTTTTTGGCAGTGGATATTTTGCCGGAGACGGCAAACCTTTAGTAAACGTTAGCTTGCCGGATATGCACTGAACATGCGCAGTTATTGTTTTTTTGTACTTTAACATTTTCCGGTGACAAATTTTAGTCTGGCTCCATGCCAATATTATCGTTGTAACCTCGTATTCACAAGATAGGATTCAGATCATTTTATAATTTCGGACTTTATTTCCCTTTTAAAAAAAATCCTCCAGAGCCACAAATCTGAAAAAGAAAATTTAATACTCTGCAATAAAATGTTTGAGACATGTTAAAATAATAAAAGAATATTCTTATTTATTTGGGGATGGGAAAAAAACAACTTAAAAATGTGGCGGGGATCGGGATCGAACCCGAGTCATCCCGCTCACTAGAGCTTTTGCTTAACCACTACATCAAACGTCCTACACAACTTTTGGTGGGAATTTAATACATCTTATAATTCAGCCCTATCTTAAAGCGTACAGCGCCCTCTGTTGATATGGATTGCCGCCGACAAACCTTTAGTAAACGTTAGTTTGCCGTCATTACCTCCGGCAAAATATCCACTAGGCCCCTAGGCCTACCTATTTTTAATTTTTTTGAGGGGGGGGGGGGGTTGAATCCGATCATGTAACCAAACACCATATGCGGTGTCAAATGAACGTAGCTATGCCTATGGATTCCATATTTTTAAACAAACGTTTAAAAGAGGTGCCGAGTCGGATAGGTGCCGAGTTGGTTTTTGTACAGGTGTCGAGTTGGTGGATGCCGAGTTGGCAAGGTGCCGAAGTGACCGGATACCTGACGAACATGCATGACGAACATAGCAAATGAAAATTGCGAAATAAATTGAAGATTGCCTACTTACGATATAAAGACTGTTGAGCGCAATTAGCGCATTTCTGCTGCACGCAAACCCCCCACACATCTTGACCACTCTCTGACGGTCGTCTTCCTGCTACAAATAAGAGATTTCTTGCGATTTTACTCCAAGGAAGTATTAAAAAAAATAATGAATTCTACTCCGATTCGCGACCCACCACCATCTCCACGTTGATTAAATTCAATGGCCTGGACAGATTTGAACGCGAGGTGGCTCACTTCAACTTTTCCAGTCCGTATTTTTTGACGCGTGACGGTTGACGCGGTAATTGCATGCAATTTGTTTTGTGAACCTTCGCGATGTTGAAAATTCTTAATCATCATTTCGAAACATTTTTACTATTGCGTATTGTTTTTCCATCAAAACAGGAATCAGATTGCGTTTTTAATTAATTAAGAAATATGAAATGTTAGGCAAGGAAAGTTTCCGAATAAATTTCTGGCATCTGATTGGCCAAAAGTTTAGGGCTGCGCCCCCCCCCCCTAATATTTCACCGATTAAAAATATAACGGGAGTGGTCCCAAAAACAAACCATGCAAATGAAGGGAGTGAGAATTTTCAAGTGTAACATTTTTATTTCAAACTCAAATATGTGGACCTTCGATGTAACACAAGATTTTAATATAGAGGCATTCATTTTAATTCCTACACATTATTAATTGAAAGACCCGACATTGAATTTAAAGCTTTAACTTGTAGTACAGTTATAACTTAACAGCATAAATGAGAGTTGCACTCACTTTAATAAAGAAACTTTAATAAAGTACTTCGCTTTAAACAACTACTAAAAACGAAATGGAAATACTGTTCCAAATCCAAAGAGTCCATGTATCTGAACTTTTGCCAGCCCGAGGACCAATCATCATGTCTAGCGCCCTCTGTCGTCCAGGATAGTACAAATCAGCCCGAAAGAAATCATTTTCTCTTTTCAGAACTACTCTGCACAATAGATCTAAGACATAATGACGTCACACTTTGTTAAAATATGCAATTTCATAGGGAAGAGGACCAATTGTCCCGACCTGACTGACTCCCATAGGAAAACGCACATGTAAACAAAATGTGACGCCACTATGTCTTAGGTCTATTTGCATAATTTGGCGACAAATTTCAATAAAGTGCTCTCTTAACATTGGCAAAAATATGCTAAGAAATTCTGATAAATAAAACTGAGCTACTTCGTTTCATGTACCATGTCTACATTTAATCCAAGGGGGTTCAGACAAAATTAAATACCACTTGACGTTTCTAACCTTTCAAACAACTGTGTATTTTAAAACATTACAATAAAATAAATCACTCATTAAAGAATTCTGACAATGCTATATTCTATACACTGTATTTGTCCAAATGACTGCTTTTACCAAAAATCTTCATTCAAACCGAATAAAAATACAACACATTAAATTAAACTTAATAGAGATTGATAAAAAAAGCCACACACAAACAAAATTGGCACCAACATTTTAAAGTGTAAACATTTATATATTTGGCTTTTTTGGGCAACAAAACTGCAACAACTTTAGCAAATGAATACAAGTTCATATACATATACATGAAATTGAGTTATATACATGGTTGGAAAGCCCACAGCGTAAGCTTTCATTTGGTATATAAAAGAGCTCCGTAGCCCCTCCCGTTCTGGAGATATGACGTATTTGCATATTAATTACTTCCTTGGAGTTCAAATTACACAACTGAGAAAACAGGCTTTGAAACAGCTGGCTTTGCTGTAGAACAACAGAACGATGCACACAGAAAGGTTGTTTTTTCCACTTTGTTCATCAAAATCAACATTTCTGTGAATGAAACCTGAAACTGTAGGTATTACAGATGTCATTTATGACAAAAAATTAAAATCACGTTTTGACGATATGTTTAACCTCTCAATGTTGAGCAGGCCATTACACAATAATGCACAGCGCGACTTATTACCCTTTTTTTGTGGAGCCAGTCACCTTTCTCCAACAGTATTTTTACTACTATCAATTTTGCCATAGAAAACTTAAAGTGGTGATAAATGCCTGGCCTTATAGCTTTCTGGACAAGATCCCTTACCAAACCATCATGACAGACCACTTCAAAGACAGATTTTCAATAAGTACGTCTTGTGAGAGGAATTTTCTGAAAGAATTTCTGAGTTAAAAATACATGCTCTTTAACATATTAATGTTTTTACTGCCAATAAATTTTCGTTTTGTACGTTTTATTGCAATGGAAAAAGCTGTTTTTTCCCCTTCTATTTTAGATGTTTTCAAAATACACTTTCACTTTTGTGGTTGCTTTTGCACCCATAACACACAAGGGATACGCCTGAATTCTTGTCAGATTGCAAGTAATTTGAAATTGGAAAGACTTAATATTCCGTAACTAAACAGGGCTTTTTTTTGTTTTGTTTGATGTCGCATTCAGAATGTGTACAACTGTAGTACTGCTAGAAAAATCTAAACACAAAACCTACAGTCCGGTTTTTTAACACCAAGATACCATATCAGTTTGTTTAAATTTTTTGGGGAAAAAGACCCAGAAAAAAAATGAGATAATAAACAAAGGTTAAAAGAAAGTCATATTTGAGTATAAATGTCTATACATTGCACAGTATCCGATAAAATATATAACATCTTTGCAAAATAAACAAAAATAATTTATGTTAAAGGAATTTCCATGCTATTGCAAATAATTGAGGTAACATCGGTACACTCAATAAATATAAATAAAAACCTACAAATATTGCATTGAACAAATTAAACAGAAATAAAAAGTGATAAATAAATATATATTCTCCAAACTTTGTTCAATATTCCAAATACTGGGTTTCTACAAATCTGCAAGCAAAACACACAAATACAAGACTGCAGCATTTTCTTTTTAAAACTTATGTTCAACTATATATCCACATAAAAGTATGTACACTGAGGAAAAAATTGTGCATTTTCTTAGCAATGGCATTTCAGACTGAAAGACTGCTGTTAAGCAACAAATACAGCTCACCCATTTGCATTCAAAAATACAAGTGTTGCAAAACGAACAAAAACTTTAAACCTTTCATTCATATTATTTTAAATAAAAATAAAATTGTTGAAGTAGCAAACTTCCTTTTTAAAAGGTAGGGTAGATCGTTTGTCATTTGTGATGCGATCAAGCTAAATGAGTCGTTTGTCGGCCCTGGTTAATTTTTTTTTTTTTTTACAGTTTTGAAAAAAACACAATCTCAGCATTACTGATGTCAAAACTTTATCAAAGTCGGAACACCAAGAGATGAGATGAAGTGATGTGATAAAGCGGCCCTATTTTGGCCTGTATCTCCAAATGAAAGTTCCCGACAAACGACTCATTTAGCTTGATCTCATCACATTTGTGTTTTTGGGGTTTTGTTTTTTTGAAGTAACAAAAGTTCTCAAAATGTAAAGACAGGTTCTTAACAACTATTCTCATTCTGATGAAGTTTTAGCTCAGTGAATGCTGTTTTTCTGGCAAATCAATTTTCTAGGATCTCGGTTTCACTCCAAAAGTTGCCGATTCATGTTTTGAATTGCGCCCCAGAGCAGCGTCCGGGACATGTTCCCATTCACTGAACTGAGGAATACATCGTCGTTTCAATGCTTGCGCGTACCCATTTACGGATTTGCCGAATTACAAACAGAAATTTCCAAAAATACGTCACTTGACACATCTTTGGAAATGACCGTTTTTTTTATTGCTTTCTTCAAAATGACAGCATGCCAGGAAGAATAACTTCACAGGGAGTATAGTGTCATTACTATCTTTAAACCGAGTATTTTTTTTTTTTTAACAATAATTCTGTCAGTTACTTTTTGGATAGCTGCAAATAATCTACTCTACCTTTAAATGTTCTTGAAAGCATCAGGTAGGCGCTCACAACATAACAGCAGTGTGAATTTATGTTACAATGCTGAACAAAATGCTTATCGTCTCTGAAATAAAAATAAAAAAATTGTGTAAACCTAAATAATGGATGATGGCACCATTGATGAGCCCCTGCGTAAAAAAAAAACTTCCAAAATTTACACCCCTCTCCTTTTACTCACTCTATCCATACTTCCTTCATTTCTGGCTTCATTCGATTTGAGGAGTGTTTTCTTCTGCCTCCTCGACCAATCAAAAACCCCACGGCGGCAGCCCAAGTTGCAAATGATCATTTCCGGAGACTTCACGGGGTGAGGTGGACAATTCAATTTAATATATCATGTCCGAAGCCCAGCGCCGGTTGTCGACGATACCACCAAGCTAGGAAAATGCCCCCGAGCTGCAAAACAAGGCACATGAAAACAAAACGAAAAACAGATGAATCTTGGATCCCATGGGGGGTCGAGAGGATCGAATTGACAACAGCAATGCACAATCGCGACAAAATAGAAGCTGTTTGGGCAAACATCGAAAATAAAAAACCAAAAAATATATGCATACATGTACTACGAATGAATGCGAGCCATGAATTTCTGTCGTTTTAAAAAATACATGACTGTTTACTTTTGAAGATTCAGATACCGAAAACGTCAATACCTGGAAGCTATTTTGTCGGACTTGATGTTCAGAGAGGGTTTGTAAACGACGCCAAAAAAAGTTAACAGATATAAGAAAATATTTTGAAATGCCATATAGGGAAACCTGATCGTGAGTTTTCCCTGGAAGCGACATATATCAGTTACGACTGTTTGTTTTAATGTGGCCTACGCATGGCATATAAAACCTCCCTGAAAAAAAATAAATAGTGTTTACTTTCAAGTATGAAAAATTTTACAGGAAAACAAATGTATTAAATTACTTTTTGTCTTTGTTTAATAACGGAAATGACAACATATTTTTGTCCTTTCTGAAATTTGAATTTGCTTTTTCTTGTTTTTTGTTTCCTTTTTCTGGTTTAACCCTTTTATTTAAACGTCCACTACTTTCTTTTTTTAAATCATGTCTATCAAAACAACTTTAAGTCGTACATGATATATTAACACACAAAACCCGAAATTAACAAATATTTTGGGTCATTTTGATCCTGTTAATTTGCATTATGCTTAGGGAAAAGTGCAAAATGAAACAAGGAGTATCTCCAGCCTTTACCTTGATGTACCCCACAACACACCTCGTAAAAACCTTGAGAAAGCTTGAGTTACTGCCTGTTTAATTTTGCATTCTCCCCTTATTAATCTGAGCTTTCACAGAGCAATGTAATAAATTCTCTGTTAGAACAATTTTGAGGTACGGACCAGGGACATTTGCATGGTTGACTGTGTTGGATTAAAAAAGAAAACATCTGAGTCGTTTATAGACAGCCCAAAAAAAGAAGAAAAAAAGGATTTCTGAAATAATGGCAACTGCCCATGATTTTTCTTGTGTGTCCAAAATGTCTTTAAAGGGCCAATGCAATAAAATTTTCTTAAGAACACATTTTGTGTAACTCTCTTATGCTCTTAATTTTATGAAAACTATTTGACATCCCTTTTGGGTTAATTTTATTGAAAAGTTCTTTAAACATTTAATAATGTGGTGCTGTTGCTGTGATGTCATTTCAGGAAGACACTGTCCAGTGGTAGGGGTTTTCCTTTCAAATTGTGAACCCAAAATTTGCTCATTGAAAACATTTGTGAGAAAGGTTTGCTCATTGGCTTACTGCCGTAAGCCACAACACCGACACAACAACGAATCAGTCCAAAGAAAAGAAAATTTACGACAGCAAAATATCCCAAATTCTAGCAACGTTTTGTGCTGCAATAGCCGTTACATTGAGGTTTCTGCCCGGAATGACATCCAAGATTTGCTCATGAATATCATAAATTTGCATTAGCCTAACAACAAAAAAGGCTCCAAAAAAACCTTGAAAATGGCAAGATGAAAATTGACTAATCAGGTTAAATGGGACACAAAGGTGCATTTTCAAGGATTTTGCATGAAAAAATTACATTGCATGGGGCCTTTAAAATTGATAACTTAGTTACCTACTACCTTGACCTGAAATTACTTGACCTACTTGAAAGAAAACAAAAAGTTACTGATACCCGCATGTTTATTAAAAAAAATAAAGAATTGTACAAGAATTACTTTACTTGTATTTAATATGATTTCTCTATTTCCACCTCTACTCAAAAAGTCTGTTATTTTGTATGAACAGCATCGAAACTGCAGTTAGAAACCAAATGGCCAAATCAATCTGATTGAGGTTTTAAAAATTAATTTCCATCTGCAAAAGCCCCAAACTATCCACCCACGTCCAGCCACGCAAAACTCCCTGAGTGAGTTCATTTGCAAACGGACGCGCAAACTCCTTTCGTTGTGACAGGGGGATGGCGCAGATGCAACTCAATTACGCTTTTGAAATGCCTGCGGGTCCGCCTGCAAAATTCATTTCTTATCTATTCTAGGTGAGTAATCCGCCCCCTGGCAAACTAAAAGCCACACGTAAATAATAAATTTGAGCGGGGTTGGAGGCTTTCGCTCGGGAATAATTTAGATTGGTTACAACGTGCATGCCCACAAGACAGATAACAACACCGAGGTTTGCCCCGTGTCTTCACAAAAACAACAGAGATTTTCTTTCTAGTCCTCAATCATTTCACAGTCTTGATCATTTGACAAGTTAACATCAGTGCATACACAATAAAAACAGCTTCTTACATAGAGCTCAACATGTTGATTACACAAAAAACAACAAGTTTACATTGCACTTATATTTTAAACAAGTCTACATTTTCTGTCCAAAATTCATGTGAATTTTTAAGTGTACAATAATGTTAGTTTTACAATACTTCTACATATATTCTATCAAAGTGTATCTTCAGTTGATTGGTTTTTCTCCATTTTAGTTGGGGAAGCTACGGTAGCACAGCATAATTGTGGATTTAATGCTTTAAAATTGCGTTACTGAAGGCCAACCATACATTTTTATCTGGTACAGCACTGATTGCACACAGCAACAATTTAATTTCCACGGCGTCATTTATTTTTCATTTTTTTTTTATTACAAATGAAAGCCCCCAAAACGCAAGCTTTGATCATGATGGCCAGCTCCCAGGAAGAGACTCTGCCTCATTATGGCGCATCTCTGAGGGGTCCGGAACCGGACTAGCCAAAGCGACTAGGTTAAAAAACAGCCTTTGAAAATGTTGTGGGCGGGTGTACTTATCAATCATATTCAACCACAAATCTAATAAACGGAGGAAAAAGGGTCGTGAAAGGGCCGCCAAATTAAAGCAAAAATTTTGAGTGCATCACAGATGTTTTTGCCTTTTTACTTTCTCAGGTAATGAGAGGAAATGTGGCAGGGGTTTTTACCCTAATTGACGAAATGGGCTAGGGGTACTGTTTGTCATGTTTTTTTTTTCACATTCTAGGCAATATGTTGGTTCGGATAACTGATTCAGAGGGGGCAAATTTTTGATAGTTTTGGTATAATTTTGTTTTCTTAATTTTATTTTAGAGAAAAAAAAGAAGAACTTTGATTAGTATCTTTTTATATAAAGAGAGAGGTGATGTTATTTTCAATACTGATATTAAATTTTGGTTGATATGACTAGGGCTCGAATGCAACTGTAAACAACTTATTTTTTTATTAAGAAAAAATTGTGAAAATGCAAATATTTCCACAAAATAATCATACTATTATGTACAATGAGTGACAATCACTTTAATATCTCATTTTCCAGCATAATGTTTAGGGGAGAAACACACAAATCATCGATATGAAGAAACACTGTTGGTTTAAGCAAATTTTGTCAAATTTAATAACAAAGTTTATAAATACGAATAACAATACCTGTAAAAAGCCAAAAAGTAGCCCAACACCTCCGGAGAACTGCGCCGCATGCTCCAATCGATTGTCGAGTGTGGACATGCAAAAACTACAGCCGGTACAGTTATGGGTGCTAATATTGCAACATGGTAGCTGTGGGAGGGGGAGGGGAGAAAGAAAAGAAAAGTGGGGGGCGTCAGAAAGCAGATTAGAACTGAAATAGTTTATTGAACAACTCTACACTAACACATTTGAAATTATTCTTATACCCCCGGAAAAATATTATTCTCACTTCAAAAAACCTGTTAAATCACTTCATTATAGTTATTTGGTTATGGACAGTGGCATAGCAAGGTTTTGGGTACGGGCTAATATAAAAAAAGTCCCGGGGGCACCCAGAAAATATTTTCAGTAACAGGGGTTGGGGGTGTCAGTAACAAGTTATGAAGAGGTGACACTTTCAATTCTTGCTGGGGAAGTTGTCTGTCCTATTTTGGACATGCCACTGACATGAAGGGCAAAACCTGATTTGATTGACATACCATTGATTACTGAGTACATTAATGTGAGGTTCAAAAGTGCCACTGCACAGTGCATGTTCACTTGACACATTGCAATGGAGCAAATTCGTTCAACAACTGGTTGTTGATTTGAACACTTAACGCAATCTGTGATCGTCTCTAGTCAAATGATGGTCACAACCTCATCACACAACTCCTTGGTCCTGGCTCCCTGCTATGTATTGAGATTCTTTGCAGCTATTATGTGTTACCAGGGATAAGTACCACCGACCTCTGTAAGCTTGTCCTGAATGGTAGACTAGATTAGTCCAAATATGGTGGGTTTGAGAAGACGCGATTAACCACAGGGCAAGTTCAAACAAGGATAGCTTGACTAACTACACCAGAGACGTTCACACGTTGCTGTTATTAGTGCGCATGCGTTACGTCACAAATCAACCACTAGCAAACTAATGGTCCTAGCGCAAAACTTGCTTATAGTAAAGCAAGTTCGGCTGCCAAGTAAAGTTAACCATAGTTCCACTAACTTTGCCCGAACACAGGATGGTTGGACTATATTCTAGTCGACTATTTGGAACCGGAGCCCAGGGCAGGGTTGCATCGCTGGTTACCAATAGCCACAGGTATCATAAAGCACAACTCCCCAGCCAGGAGATTTGACCATCATTTGACTAGAGGTGTTTGCTATTAGTGCGCAGGCGTAAGTTTGCACAAACCAACCACTAGTCGACTAATGGTCCTCGCCCGAAACTTGCTCGTACATGTAGGTCTTGCTCAAACATACTTCTGGTTCCTACTTGGTTTAAAATGGAATTGTCTCCACTCACCAGTAGTTCCTCGCAGCTGCTGTAAACCACATGCTTGGCGTCCAAGCCGCAGCACTTGAAATTACTCTGAACCTGTTGCCGGGTAACGTTGCTGGCCTCCTCCCAGCCGCCTCGTAAAACCTCGGCCCTCCGGGCTTTGCTGAAGGCTGACAGACAGGCTATGGAGATGCAGAACTGGATGAAGCATGTGACGGACATGAATACGAGGTACTGGAGACGAGGCTAAGGAATGGGACTGTTCTGTAAACAGCAAACTGGGGAGATTGTGTACGCGTGTAATAGGCACTTAACTCTCGCATGATGGTATCTTGCGAGCAGGATGGGGCGTGCATAATGTCTAAGTGTTTCTGAGTTGCTTTTTCTCTCTCATGATGGGAGATTGAAAACCTCGTCCACTGCAGGGATTGAAACAAAAGTAAGCTGAATACATACAAACTTGTAATTCTTTGAACAGGCAGCATTGGTGATTTTTTATACCGCAGAGTAAAATTAGGTGTATTCTTTTTAGTTTTCTTTGTTGTATCATGGTGATAAAAATATGGATAGTTGTAAATGTATATTTTGTATATTCTTTTTTTCTCAAGTTAATTATATGTAGTGATAAAAAAAAAAGATAACCGCATGTATGCACATCATACACACGCATCATTGAAATTCATCCAACGGAGATGAAAATGAGCCAGAAAAAAAAGGGAATTAACTAAAAGGTTTTGCTTCAGTGCTTACTTAAGTTTTTACTTCACTGAACAATATATTTTTTTTTCATAGAAAAAAAACTGATCAATAGGTTCTCATCCGAAGAATTGCCAAGCCAAGGAGAAAAATGAAGCGTGTGGTCAATAAATTAAATCTAGAGCCAGAAAATATGGCCACCAAAAAAAACACCCAAAAATAAAATTGTGAGCTAATGCATAACGGGGATCGATTATCCTTTATTTCTTTCTTTTGAAGGATACCGGGCGGAAGAAAATGAGCAGTATTTCCAAAACCAAAATTCTAAAGCCGAATTGGATTTATTCATGGCAGGCTGGGACACTGTGACATTTTAGGAGATATTCAAATCCGGGGGATTTTAAAATTGTCAATGACGTTTGGCAGAAAAGGGTGTTGAATTGTGATTTCTTCATATTCAAAATTGCAAGGCATTATACACAACATTTAACTGAGTATGAAATTCAAACATATCTTGGGCAGATATCCGTGCCTTTGGATAATGCAAATGCTATGCTAATTTGCATCAGTTGCACGAGTCCACTCGCCTATCTGTCACTCATCTGTTAGCCACTGGTGATGCGTTACCATGGCAGCATGCCAGATGCTGAGTTTGGTGGTGAGGGGCCTTTGCCTAGCCATTTCTTATGGATGTGTTTATGTTACGCTCCAAGAATCCTGCGATTTGAAAGCGTTCTTGTGCACTGAATCCATTAGTGTTCCATCACCAAAAAAAAAAAAAAATTAAGCAAAACAAAATGTCTTGTTTCTTTTTCATTAAACCTTTCAAAGATATTGTACTTGGATGTTGTACATGTAAGTGCCATATGTTTTGAGAAAAAAATAACAGAGTGTGGGAGGAGAGATAACTGCAGACATGTCCCATTCTTAGATTGTTGAAAAGGTTAATTGTGTAAAGGTGTCTATGGCAAAGATAGCAATAAAATGATGTTTAAGGTTGCACAAAAATCTTTTGTGAGTCTGTGATGTTCTGAAAATAATAATAATAATGTGTATTTATAAAGTGCACATATCACATTCCAAACATTCCAAATACCATCTCAGCTCCCCGGGGAGTATACAGCTCGATGCTGCCATTTCTGCGCAAAGCAGCTAAAGTCTCTCACAATAACCATCTCTGCCCTCACACTTAGGTACTCAATTTAATCCTGCGTGGGGAGAAGCAATGAGTGACAAAGTGTCTTGCCCAAGGGCACATGCATCATAACCCCAGGCTGGACTCGAACTCACAGCCTGTAGAATTACGCACAGACCACTAATTTCAATTCTTCAGACAACGAGGCCATGGCATCCGGACACTACTAATTAAAGTACTAACTGCACTAATCAAATTTGTATTTGCTGTGCTGACAACCTACAAAAAGGGAATGTACATCATTGGTTTTTGCTGTAATTTTCAGTAATGAACTATTTGAGGGATTAGTATAATAGATCAAATATTGTTACACTGACATGTTGGAAGTTGTGTATTCGAAAATGCTGGAAAAACCAAGAAAAACAAAACTGTTCAAGTAGTCTGGTTCCCTGACTCCACTAAAGATAAAATGGATCAATTTATAGATGCCGGAAAATTGTAAGGTAAGGGAACCAGTCTAGCTGGCCTGCACCTGTTTGTGAACATGTAACCAATAGCCAACAAAATTTGGACTGAAAAAAAATGGTAATTTTGGAGCAGTAGTGGAAAAAAGTCAGGTTTTTCCAACGGTGGTCGGCCGACCACCGTTGGAAATGTATACAAATATATCATTTTCTTGAAAATGACTTCACACCAGGTGCCATAATTTTACAGGATGCTTTAGACTGTCATTTACCAACATCCTACTAAGGTATTTCGTAAAAACTTGGTAGTTTTATTTTTCGATGTTTGCAAATGTTGTATATTCCCTTTAATATGAACAAATGTAAATGGAGCAGAAAAACTGTGTTGGGAATTCCCTTGAAATTGGCCATTTTTTTTGTATGATGAAATTTATATAGTTTCAGGGGGAGGAACATTGTAACTTGGCCCATTTTTGCAAACAAATCTTTTCAGTGCTGACCAGAAAATGTGTGATTTTACATGTAGCAGGAGAAGCTTTTGGTCGCTTTGTAACATTTAGGTTTTTAATTTTTTTATTTAAAGGATACAAGAAATATGAGTGCTTGGTTGCCCATGACAACACCGACGATGCCTAGGATGGCCAGGAAGAGGAGAAAGGTTGCCGTGGCAGCGAGACCCCCGACGATGGGCGTGGTTAGGAGGAGGGTGGCTTGCAATGCGAGGGCGCTGATGCATATTAAGATGATGGCCAAAACCTAGACAGAAAAATGAAAAAAAAAGAGCGAGAGATTTAGGGTGACACATATAGAAAGAATCAAGACTGTTGTTTCAACACATAAAAACAGGTCCACGCTAACTACTCTCCGAGTTGAACAAATAAAGTAGAAGGCAAAATATGGCGGACATTTGACTTTAACAAACATCCCCTCGGGTTCCTGAATTTTATGTACAATACACCGTCCCATCAATCTGCCTCATGCTTCCAAAGATCAAGGAAGTTGAGACAATGTGTTCAACATCTCTGAACTGTTTGTTGTTCTCCCCCTTATGTTGGATGAGAAAATGTTGAAAACATTGATGTGGATGGACGTGCTTGAACTCTGATCAAATGAGACATTTGCAGCCTCTCAAATGTCCACAGGATGCAGGCTTTATTGGCCTTAGAAATCAGTAAATAATTGGCATGTTTGTCCTGAACGGAGGTGCGTATTTTCTCAGAGCCCCTGAAGGGATTTCCAAATCCTGATCGTATCAATGTCTTGAGGTTGTTACAGGACAAGATTACAGGGGGGAGATTGTCTCTGTGCGGCTTTTGACGTCATGGCCCATAAGAGCAACAATTCTGGCCCCCGAAAGATACTTGATTGTCAGCTTGTTAACTTGTAGAACTGTCTTCCGGCAATAATAACCGTTCCATTTTCCCTTTAATAGGTGTTATTTCAAATCCTGTTCTGTTGTTTTTGTTCGCTTTGCTTATTTTTTTGGGGGGGGGGATTTTTGTGGGGGGTGGGGGATGGCACCTTTTTTTGGAAGGGGATTTGTATTTTAATGCTTATAAATAGTCCAATGATTACAGTTAGCTAAGTTCTGAAGAGGAAAAGTCTCAGATATTTTCTTGCATTAAAAAAAAAGTCACCAAAAATATTATCCATTAAAGTTGTTTTGCTCCTAGCAATATAAATCAACCTTACAGTGTACTCCAGTACAGTTCCCATGACGACGTGTTTAAGTCACCAAGAGTTCTCCACTGTGTGCATGCAAATATGATAAGTAGTTTCTTTGTTTTCGAAATCCGAGTTTGGACTTGAGGACAAGACAGACAAACAGGAAAAAATGTGTGTACGTCAATGGCAAGACTTAGCGAAGCCGGCGAGTGATGACAACCCTGGACGATTATTGTCAGTCTGTTAATGGGTACTGGAATACATGTACGTCAGACGTTTTCTCGGTGTGTGTAATCAATGGACGCTGGCCAATTTGACTGCTGGAGTAGAAAACAACGGGCAGAATGCGTGGCACGCGTTCTCCTTGCCGTAAGAGATTATGCTGTGGCTCTAGGCTGGAGTTGTTTTTACAAGGGAAGGAACATGTTCTTGATGTAAAAAACAACTTTCCGGGGCTTTCAGTGACTGATCCTTTGAGGCAGTCCTCCAATTCCATGTCGACCTTCATTTTTTTCTCCCTCTTAACATTTTTTGTGCAGCACTTGCTTATTTTCCAAGAAACAAAACTGTATTCTAAAAAAAAAAAATCATGCATGTGCATTCATTTTCCTAGAGATCTACCTCTAAAATGTGTTTGTGTCTAGCCTGTCTTGTGCCCATGCCATTCTCTCCCCCCCCCCCCCATCCATTCCCCTCCCCCCCCCCCCCCTCTCATTTTTTGAAATCTCAGTAATTGTTTCTCGGAGCTCTCTCTTGGTGATTTGGCAGCCACTGTTGATCGTAAAAATCAGTAATTCATTCCATGCTCAAAAATTCCCTTTTTTGGTGTATTGTGTGGCATTATTTATCAGGCCATCGGGCACCCATGACGTAGTCTTGAAAAAATAATACGTGCCACTTGAAAAAACTTTACGAATTATGATAATGCCTTAAAAAAAAAAAACAGGCTTGGACAAGGCTTCAACGCGAGTGATAAGTAAATGATCCTTCGTGTGTTATTGCATTATACCGCTCATACTTCAAGTTTCATTATTTTTTTGGTCTGTTTACTGTAATATTGAATGACAGTTGTTCACGATAAACACACTACTCCAAACCTCCCCCCCCCCCCCCCCCCCAATTTGATATTTTGGCATTCTCCAATTTTTTTTTGTCTTTTGTCTTTTAGAGTAAATTATATCGTTCTGTCATTAGTTTTTAAAATAAAGGTACAATAACATAAAGACGTTTTCATTGTGTGGCTTTTTTTTCAAAGTCGTAACCTTTATCCCACACTTAATTTTAATCACAATGTCAAATATTACTGTAATGTACATCTCCTAAAGTAAATTATGATACTAAAGCAAAGCTTTCTAAATGATGTATTCTTCATGTCAAATATTTTTACACGCTGCTAAATGGAAAACCTTTATCTGAAAATCATTTTGCGTGTTGAAAGAAGGTCAACTAATGGAATTAATTTATAAATCACTGCTTGTCCTATTTTCCGTCTACATTATTCTGTGATTCCATACCATTCCCCTAAGGTTTTCTGCACGGGATAAATAGAAAGACTCAGAATGAAATTGTGCAATTCCACATTTGTAAAATTGCTCACCAAATTGGTCTTGACATTTTGCTATCTTGGACTGCAAGGGGAAAGATTGTAAATATGTAGGACAATTCAAAGAGAGATAATTCAGCAATTATCTAGCAAAAAAACGTATGATGGCTGTTGGTTGGAATACAGTATTGTCAATGGAAGAGCAATATTTAAAATGTTAGAATTTTCCAACAAAGTAGTATATTTCGTCAAAATAAGACTCTCCCGGGCAATTTTGCTAAAAACTTTCCTAAATCCTCTACAATCTTTCAGAGTGCAGCAACCCAATGCCATATCTGTGCTTTAATATCAAGGGGCCAGCATCACAAGCCCAGGAGTATAGTGGCTGGGCCAGGTATCTCCCTGATCCTGCAAAATCCTCCCAAAGCCCCTCATGAATTTTTGATCGGTCTGGAAGGGTTAGGGTTATTGATGGACATATATATTCTGTACCGAACTGTCATGCTAAGTTGCACTTTCTACAAATGTATTTCATCTTTTTAACCCTGCAGATACTGAAATATGAAGGCAAATCCCTCTTTAATTTACATGTAATTCAAAGAACCTGATGTCGAAACAAAATGATCAATTTCACCGAAAAGTGCATGTTTTTTTATTTAAAAAAATGTTTAGCACTCTCTTGAGGTATTTCCAACTCGTGAACAGTATATTCTAGAAATTCTACATACATTGTAGCTATCCCAGCGGGGGATCATTTTGTTATGACCTAAAAAAAAAAAAAAAATGTCAAAACCCAACTGACAAGTAATTTCCTAGTGTGCCCCATACCTTTAAGAAAAAAAAAATCCCAAGGAAATTGCCCATTTTGAGACAGGTCATGTACGGCCAGTATCGTGATGAGGGGTTGACAGTGCTCGTTGGTATTTCGTCGTGGCCGGTACCCAGCATCATCATGAGACAATGCCCTGGAGTGAGTCACTGATTGAGACCCATGTATCTACTCCAGGCCTAATTTGTATGCAGTGGGGCGACTAATACGAGACAGCACGGTGTAGGAATTTTCCAATTCCGCCCTCCGAAGTATTTTTTAAAGATAAAAAAAATACCCTGTGAATATGGATCAAGTGGGATTAATTGTTTGCTTTGAATTGTTATGAACCATTGTATTAATACATGTACAAAATTTAACGAATATACATATATAAAATTTAGTGATAGATTAAAAATAATCAACAAAGACAAAATTGCAACCGAAATTACAAAGTTAAAAACAAGAGACGGTTGCTCTCTTTTTGATTCTAGTAAAAAAAAAGCTCACTAAAAAGTTAATTTCTATATGGGTCCCCTAATTATAATTATTTAAAAATCATTCGAATTTTTATTTTACCCATTTTTATTTTACCCTTATGCATAAGTGCCCTGAATCTTAATTTTTGGATCTTCTACATTAATTGATTACTTATAATGGCTAATAAAATATTTATTGAAACTTACATTTGTAAAAACTTATCAAATCTCTTGTAGATAAACTGAAATTGAAACAGTGATATCTGGGATCTTTTCTCATGTACGATATTTTAAATTTGCAGATGTAAAAGTTCAATGTTTGGCATATTTCAACTAGATGTGCATTGGTTCAGGCAACGGTGCGTGAGTGCACAAAAACCAAGTGCAATTTGCGTACAGGTCCCTTTACACTGGCGCAGGTTGCATTAAGCCGTGGTGAGGTGGCGCGGCGTGTCAGTGTGACTGATATGAGTCATTAACAAGCCCAGCTAGCCTGTTGATCAATGATAGCATCTCTCTGGATGGCACCGGCCCGGCCTCTTCCTTGATGAGGATGGCGATAGTTCGTCTCCCCCCCCCCCCCCCCCCCCCCCCCCCCCACTGTAAATCAGGTTATGGCCAAATGATTAATCACCAACAAGGCCATGTACATGTATGTTTAGTTGCACGCATCCCGGGACCATGTTGGATCTTGCATACATTATATTAATGATGCATGCGCTTTTTACATACGGGTCACCTGAGGGCTAGTTCACTGTACATTTCACATGCCCATTTTTACTAGTGTAGCATGCAAGACGCAACTTTGAACAGTAGTAAAATTTTTGTTAAATACAGTTTACAAAAGAAATCATCGACATTCCATAAAGGCATAGGCTTACAATGTTCATGATGTAGAATGCAGTTTTCGAACCCTGCCAGCCACTTAAAAATTAAAACAACTTGTGATTTACCCTTAGCGTGTAGCAGTTCATTTTGTTTGTTCATCAGGCTATTAAAAAAATCACGCTCTGAATTTAAAACAAATTCTGACAGGAAGTTTCTTTGTAATTCACATTTTTTTGGCCAAGGATCGTAAGCTAGTAATAGTGATAAGCTGTAGATTGAAGAATAAAAAATGTACCCCAAAAAGGTCAAAATTTTATACACAAGTATATGTCGATGTATTTGGTCCATTTTTCTTCCAAATTATTTTTCAAAAGGACAATTCCTACACTTACTAATGAATAAACTTGAAGGCCCTCAGTCACCCAATTTTTTGTAAAAGTATAATTTAAATTTAAACATCTGCAAACATATTTTAATAATGAGGCAACCTCTCAGAACATGCCTACAAATATATTCATCCTAAAAAAAAGGAGTGGAAAATTTTGCAAAAATACCCACAAAATCCCGAGCCTGCATAGCATAGCATCAGTCAATTTTAATTTAAAAAAAACTTTTCTAAAATCATCACCCGTCAGTGCGGCCAGAAATTAATAAGCACGCATGTTGATAAGATCATGCTTCGCCGACACGAGATTAGTAATTCTGTCGCGCTGGTTAGCACTTTGCGGAGATTGACTGATTTCTGCTGGGACACTCGGATCATTGATTAGACATCAGTGTGAAGCTGTGGTACCTGTACCGCAGAATATTATGAACAGGATCCAATGACAGATTTTGAAAAGACTGCATGATTCTTCAAAGCCAAGGCCAGAAAAGAAATCAATGGGGAAATTTGAATGCAAAATAGAAAACGATAAGCTTACAAAGTACTACCAGAAATGAAATGGCCACTGAGTGATTTCCATTTTTATCGAGTTGAACACAGAATCAACAATCACAAAGTTATTGACACGTATAGAGACAAAAAGCTTTTATTGGTTTTCTTGTTTAATTAACCCAGCCGCATTTATTTTTAAATGGTTGGAAATCTGTTGGATTTATGTTGATCTTAGCAGGAAATAAAAACACCTGTTGTTTGAGCTGTAACGTTAATAGATTTTGTGGAATTTGACAGGCATCATGATTAGCAATTGATAGGTTTTGCTGGATTTAGCAGGATTAGGAGTAAGGCTTAGACTTTTGCTTTCTTCTCAATTTTGCACTCTTCTTTGAATCATTAGTTTTAAAGAATTAATTCTAGAACAATATTTTTTTTAATCCGTTTGTAAATATATACCCAAGTAAATATGCTTAGTTTGTAGATTTTATAATTTGTTTGTAAACTTTGCCCAAAGTAATACTGATAATACCAAATACTTTAATGACTTTAGATCACGACTGCATATATTATAACTATATAACTACATGTATCAACAAACCAAATGTATACATCAACAAATCCCTTTTAAAATTAATGATGTCCAATTAGATGGCAAAACATTGTAATCTCTTTAATGATCAAAACCACTGTAATTAGCTGCTATATCAGTTGCATATTAAACTACCCCCCTCCCCCCACCCCTCCAAAAATCAAAATGACAGCACACCTATAAAATTATCCTGGAGTTGAGCTTTAAAAAAGCAGTGCTATTCATCTCCAAGGCCGCACAGTAATGCGGAGGGTTATCTTTACTAGCAACGGAGCAATCTCCCTGAGTAGTCCCCCGACTCGTTCTAAATCACACAGGTGTCTGGGTCAATCAATATACCTCCCATTATGCAGAGAATAATGAACGGCTAAAACGCCTGCGGGCCCGAAACAGGCCACTGGAATTGCAGCGGCGCAGAATATGGGTTAAGTTTGAGCCGATGTAGAGAAAATCACTCCCGCTCATATGTAGACATTGTACTTTTCTGCTGTTTGTTTAATATCAATACTTGTTTTTAACAAAGAATAACAGGCCTATGGCAGGGCTTACAAGTGTCTCATGGAGGGTTTCTATTAAACCCAAACTCCCTAGAGTAAGTGGAAGATCATATTAAAACCGGAGGATTCAGGACTGTTGAGGTTAAAAATTAACAGCATGCACAAAATTTTTACGAAAACAAAATAGAGAATTAAAAGATGATTTGTATATTCCATCCTCCAAAATCATTATTTCGATTAAAATCACTGTCATTATTTATTTTCCTCGAAACAGGTTCAAAACCTGATGACAAAAACTTGTGACACCGAAATGTCCTCGATTTTTCAATTCCTAAAATGTTGCCAAATTTTAAGTAGATATGGGTAATTCTTAAATTATAACTGCAATAAGTTATAATTTTTTTTAATTATTTGTTGGTTTTCAACAGAAATATAAGCTGCCTTTTTGTGTAAATCCCTAGAATATGACAAGATTCAGAACATATCCCTGGAGGGTTTGGGCAGCTTAATCCAAGGGTTGGGTCAGAATGGTAATGCAGTACGGTAGATTCTTTTTCATTAAAAGTAATTTCTATTTTTTTCATGTTATTTCAAGTTATTTTCATAAATTTCATTTCAAGTGATGTTTATATTGATTTCTTTGAATTTGGATCCCTTGCCTGTGAGAGTTCAATAATGCACACAACAAATAACTAAATTACCTAAAGAAAAAACTTCTGTATGCATGCTTTTATATTCCATGATAAATTCTTCAACGCCTGATGCCTGATGAGAGGGTTAATTCAAGTTTTCAAAGTCTTTTTTTTTTAAATTATCTGACTCGATAACTTCACGCTTATTGTAGGCCTATTCACCTATCTTGTGTTTGTGTTTCCCCAAAGACTTACAGCATTTCTATTTATGAATCCCTAAAAATAAGAACAATAAAAAAATCATGAATGTTCTATATTGGTATGTCACACTATTAATATTTTAATTCCAGCAGAAGTAAACAAGTTTCAACTACCATCAATTTTTTTCAGGGTCATGAAAACAGAACAAAACAAATATTAATCAAGTTGTTAAATTTATTAGCTAGAAATAATTACTCAACATTGTATTTTTGAAAATCCCATTCAGCTGAAACTGGTTAAAAAGTATGTGAATTAAATACAAAATTAAATTTAACTCAATACCTGCCATTTCAAAGTCACACACATTTTCTATGAATTAAAAACAAATGAAAAAATAAAAATACATGCAAGTGATAAATGCCGACAAATAGACCCTTTAAAGTTGAATTATGATCATCAAAATTGCAAAAACGTGATAACAATCTAATTTTGGTTCATTAGATCATTTACCAAAGCATATTTGAAGTTGGCAAAACAAAATAAAAGAAATGAATGACTTATCTCGAATTTCTCGATGATCATGATGATGAAAAATTTCTGACACTGACAAAAGCTGTTAAAAGTAATGTTTTCTTACCACATACGCACAATTTACAGCAATGAAAGCCTTGTAAATTCTTTCACTAGGCTCAGCCATGTCGCTCCCAGTCAGTTTTTTTTGTTCGCTTTACTTAGGCCTTACAACCTCTTTATGCTGTGCAGTGCATGCACAAACCAAGGAGGCGTTGCCTTGGATACGGCTCAAAGAGCAAACGATGCCTTCGGATCCAGTGTGCAGCAGATCACTTTCCGTACACGTCTGGATATTCCAATTTCTCGATTTATTTCTCCTCAAGAAAGAGCTCAAAAACGGCTCCAATAATGAGTGCAATGCGCCAGTTCAGTTCAGAAAATCGGCACAAACTGTAGTCTGGACGAGAATTGTTAGTTTGCGGTGGAAAATGTTGACTTTTCAAGACATATTTTGGTGTTCTCAACAGCAACTCGGCAAAGCAACGAGCTGTCAAGTCGGCGGCTGAATGAATGACTCGCTTAGGTTGGCCAAGTGGTGGCGCTATACACCTTTATGACCATTCCCATTTGGCTACGACTTCGATCTGCCAAAACATTGCGCTATTGCAATTTGCATGTTGATGACACTTTTGTAGCTGTAGTCGTACATTTTCGCTTCTTAAGGCTAGACTAGACTTTCACGAGTTCACATGATCAAAATGGCGACTATGGCGATGAGAAGTAGTTCACGATTTGCTCGCATTTTGAGATTGGATGCCCGATCGCCTCAGTTAGGAGTTCGGTTTTCTTCGTCACAGTCTCAAGTAGCAGGGGACACATCAGAAGACCTCACTCATGAATCCATCTTCACGGAGCAACATGTTGAAATGAGGAGATCACTGAACAAAGTAGGGGGCTAGTTAGTTGTCGAAGTCATCAGGTCATGGAAGTCTGGCTAGCGCGGCTAGCTTGATTGCTTAACATGCTTAACATGCTTAACAAGCTCATCAGGAATTCACATGTGAATTCCTGATGAGTATGTTAAGCTGGAGTTACTCAAGCTATAAATTTTCACAAACAAATGACGGAAGCCGTAGGACTAACCAACGGCTATAGTTACAGAATCGCCAAATTTTACGGCGATAGCAAATCTATTTTTGTATAATGTGTAGGCTACAACACCTCTGTTTTTAGTACTAGCCTAGTTCCGTCATTTCTGTTTAAAAATTAACGTAGATTGATTTTATAATTTTGATCATTATTTTGAAAGAGAAAGTTAAGAGGATGCGGGGTTTGATTCACAGTGAGACGCTTTGTTAAGTTGCCAAAAATGATTTTGTTAGGCCCTACTTTTATTGTTTTAAATCAAACCATAGTAGCCGAGCCTACTTAAAGTAGATATAATTATAAAGCTTTCTGGCTCTGAGAGCCATTCTGGTAACAACTGATGCATGTTTCAACAGTTGAATTCCATAAAAATAGCAACATCAGTTGCAAAAATATGCACAAACCCCCGAGAATCGGAGGCAAGTAGTAAACACAAAACATTAAATCCTTTGGATCACAAAGTTTGGATTGAAAATAATATTTCAAATCTGAAATAAGGCCATACCTTATGACCACTTTAAAGTGATCTCGACTCCCAATATTTTTTGCACACCAACAGACATTCGTTGCTCAACACATGTCTTCTCACAATGCTCTAAAGAAAATGATGAACGATTACTATATTGTTGGCCTGTTTTGTTTTTTTTGGAAAAGAATTTCCAACTGCTTTAACGGCTGTGTATATTTTCATTCTCCATTGTTTTCCTCCTCGCAGCTGATTGAGAAGGAGATCAATCCATTTGTGGATCAGTGGGAAGCCGAGAAGCAGTTCCCGTCTCACGAAGTCTTTAAGAAACTCGGCGATGCTGGATTCTTGGGACTCAACAAGCCTATAGGTATGAAAAGGAGAACATGTAAACACACAACTACATACTGCCGTCTTTGTAATGATAGGGTAATCGCAGCGGGCATCTCAATAACTGGATGGGACGTACTTTCAGTGAAATGCCCCAAAATATTACCATGTGACCAAAAAGATGGTGAAAATAGGCTAGACACAACCTAAATATCCTGCTCAGATATTAGGTCAGCTCAACTCATACTAAACCAGATAAAGAGTCAGAGAACTGCTTGCACATTACTGTCCATATGACCTCTGACATGGGTTCAGCTTAACCTCATATTAAACCATTATCATTGCATTGTAATTGTGAACCATTTTTTTGCAATCACTGTGCACAGAGTATGGAGGATTGGGTCTTGATTTTAGCTACAACATAGCCATGGCGGAAGAGTTGGGAAACATCAAATGTGGCGGTATTCCCATGGCGATAGGGGTCCAGTCTGATATGGCCACTCCAGCCTTGGCCAGGTAAAACAATTTCTTTTTGTTTCATTAGGAAAAGGTGCCTAAATTGAGGAGTTGAGGGGGTACGTGTTCACAAAAACCAGAATAGACTCAAATTGAAAAAGTCTGTGTGTGTGCCAACAATTTCTAGAGTTTCTACATTTTTAGCCTTTCCCTAACAGTGAGTTTTTTTGGACGGTGCTGTATTCGCAGATTTGGCAGCGACGAACTCAAGAGGCAGTTTCTTGCTCCAACCATCGCCGGTGATGTGGTCGCCTGTCTGGGAGTCAGCGAAGTTGGGTCCGGCTCCGACGTGGCAAGTAAGTCTGTAAACGCTATTAATGCCATGTCTAACTGGCATAGTAAACTCGTGGTGAACCAAACGATTCCGAAGATTTGAATCACTTACACAAGATGTTTGACAATTGAAACATTCAGGAGGGACTACGTCGAATGATCGACAGTTGCAGTCGTTGGTAATGACTCCAGAGCCCAGTCACTGGAAAATTAATGCAAACAGTTCCCAAGTTTGAAACCAAACCAACTTAAACAACTGTATCTCTTCCACGTGCTCAGTAATATGAATCAAAAATGTGTTTCGAATTTCTCCTAGGACACTATGGTAAGAGTAGCAGTATATTGTGGATCACTACCCCTGTATACAATATCCACATAGTGTTGAGAACATAAGAAGTTGAGAGTGACGTTAAACTTGCTGCCAAATTGCCGAATATGTGTTTGATGTCATTCTTAATGCTACTTGAATGGTCAATTACTAAGTACCAAGGTAACAGGGACAGGAAAATTGTCACACTTTAGACTGTAAATTTAAAGATATGTATTATGATTATTAATTTTGATTCTAGGCATACAGACCAAAGCCGAGAAACAAGGCGGTGACTACATCATCAACGGGGGCAAGATGTGGATCACAAACGGCATCAAGTCCGATTGGATCTGCCTCCTAGCCAACACGGGCACCGGGCCTGCCCATCAGAACAAATCCCTCATCTGCGTGCCCATGGACACTAAAGGTAGCTGCAGATTGCATCCGGATAATAAAGGATTAATCCTAATCTCCTAGGATCCTTCTTAATCCGCCAAGTGGTTTAGGGGGATTATGTAAGTCACTATTGACGGTGATTGATCTCTGTATTCACTGCTGTGTAAGACTCAAACTGGCCCTCAGATCCAGGCAAGCTCATGGTCAAGTGGTAAGACATATGAAGTAGTAAAGCGGGAGGTCGTGGGTTCGAATCCTCCCGAGTAACTTTACAAATTGTCTAGCTAGCTCTCGGACTGCACTGAGCATACAGTGCTTATAAAATTACGTAAGTAAAAGACAAAACTCAAGAAAGTTAGGGTTAGCAGGTAAGATGTAATTGAAGACTACACCTGCCTTTATAAGCTAACTAATGTTAAGTCTTTGTCAAGAGAAGTCAGTCTAGACCAAACATTTTGAGGACTACAACTTTCAACGTTCAATTTTTGAGGAGCAAGCTTTGACATATGTTTGAAATTTTCAGCTCATTGGCTGTTAAATTTAAGGCAAAATTGTAAATCAGAAGTGAATCACACAAGATTAAACATTTGTGTGTGACATTTTTTGTTTTTCATTCAGGGGTGGTGAGAGCCCAGAATATCGACAAAATCGGCATGTGGTGCTCGGACACCGCTCAGCTGTACTTCGAGGACGTCCGAGTGCCGCAGAAGAATCTGATTGGTCAAGAAGGGATGGGATTCACCTATCAGATGCTGCAGTTTCAGGAGGAGAGAATGTGGGCAATGGCAGCAGGTACGCCAAATGAAACAAAAGATTCAGTTTGGTCGGTGAAAGATCGTTAAAGAGCGGGAAGCGCCCCGACAAATTTGAACATGTTCAAAATTGTCACGGGTGATTCGGGAACCAATTTCAATTCTTGATGTATTCTTGTTGTATTCATTACTAATTCGGGAATCTGTGAACCTAGCACTACAACTTGATATTTATTATCCTGCTTCATATCCCAATCCTGTGTCATTTTGTACCCCTTTTGCGTGGAAAGACCCGTTTGTGTATCTGTGTTAGTATTTGAAACCAATTCGAAAAAGAAGAGGATTAACAGTCAATAATATCATTACAATCTAAATGTTTTTCTCTGTTTTCTTTGTTTTTTCTTTCCTTGATTCACACTCAGCCTTGCAGCCGTTAGAAATACTGATCAATGAAACCGTCGCATACACCAAACAGAGGAAGGCCTTTGGCAAGTCTATTCTGGACAACCAGGTGGTGCATTACCGCCTTGCCGAGATGCAGACCGAGGTGGAGCTACTCAGATCTCTGCTGTACAGAACCATAGGTGGGTCAGGGCCGAGGAAGGACTTAGGACAAGTCTAGTTTCACAGTCACTGACAATAGATTATTAGGCCCCGCCCACTACGCAAGTGGGAAACAAAGGGTGTGTCATACCCACGTATACATGCATAAAATTGTATAAATGCATACATTTGTATAAATACATGTATAAATTTACACAATGACGATGACAGTGACACTGTTGTGGCTTGTAGTGTACCATGGTTGAACCTCAAAATGCAAATTGTTTGTGTGCCTTAAAACATCCATACAAAACATTTCTTGGACGGTTTTCAAACATTCCAAGGCATGAGAAATTGCAGTAAAGCGTCTTGCCTAAGAACACAAAGTAGGCGCATATTGCAGCCACTGCCAGAAACGCCGAGGCAAACCCCTTCTCTTAGCGACAAGTGTTACTGGGTTCGTTAATGTGCATTACACAACACACGGGACCTACGGTTTTACGCCCCATCCGAAGGACGATGCAATCATGGTAAAGTGCCTTGCTCAAGAGCACAAGCACGAAGTTCCCCGTCGGGATTCAAACCCACGTACCACGGCACACAATTTGAACACCGTAACCATTGGACCACAGCAACCCTCTCATGCTAGAGTGCGTCAAGACTAAACATGGGACTACAGTTTTTTGAAACTTCTTTGCAATCATCAATGCCCCCCTCCAACTTATCTCTTTGGACCCCTACCATCCCCGCTAGGTCTATACATCCAGGGCAAAGATGTAACCAAGCTAGCCTCCATGGGTAAGCTCAAGACGGGCCGACTGTGCCGCGAGATCAGCGACTCTTGTCTGCAGTACTGGGGAGGGATGGGCTTCACTACCGACGCCTTGGTCAGTCGATACTACAGAGATTTCAGGTAAATTAAAGAAGAGAAATGAAAGTTTGATATAAAGAGTTTTTCCAAATGCAGTAGGTAGAAATGTTAAGATGGTATGGTCATTTTATCGTTTATTTCAATAACAAAAAATAGTGTACTTCTTACACAAAAGGTATAAAAGAGATAGGAACATTAAAGTGGTTGTGTTGGTTTTTTGTTGTTAATTTGAACCTTTGTAGGAGCATTGAATGTCCACGAATTGAACTGTATCCACAGATTTTTTTAAACTATTCTGATTTCTCTCTTTGACAGACTGATTTCAATTGGCGGTGGTGCAGACGAGGTCATGCTTTCCATTATCAGCAAGTACATGGGAACGCTTCCGACGCCACCCAAGAAGAAATAAATGGTTCAACCGCTTTGCTGGTTAGAACCACGGCACTCGCCCCTGTGACAGTCAGTCTAGTTGCTGCACTGTCCCAGCCAAACTGGTGCCCAGCTTGTGTGGGTGTCCTTACCATCCATTCTCATAGACCTGGGTTCAAATCCTACCCAAATCTTACACGTACCCTCCAACTTGTTTCATTTGCAAAAAAAAGTTTAAGAATGAAAGTGACACTTTTACGGGTAATTTATCATCCTTCAAGTCCAGAATCGAGAAAATGAGGCTTTAGTATATTTTTACTTATTCACTTTCAAAATTTGTAATTTTAGAAGAAAAGTTTAGGTCTTCACTCATCAGGCAGCTGCATGATTTAATGGTTTTGTAAATTTTGGGACTGCATGTAGGATGTTGTGTTTTTTGTTTGTAAATGCTACAAATTAGGTTTTAAATTCTGAAATATTGATTATGTTACTTTCTGGGCAATTTGTTTTAGCTTCAGACGGTGGTTACAAGGATTAGCAGTCATTCTATTTAATCAAGATTTGTGACATAACTAACAGTGGACATATTAGGCTATTTGGACTTTGTTTAACCTCCTAAAATGTGTTGCAATCCATGAAGTGAATTCACAACTAAAATGGGTGAGAAATTATTTTTGATAGTGACATGGATGTTTACACACTTGTTAAATTTTCAAACTGTGGAGAATTAGGCTAAATATAACTGATTGTAAAAACTAGTTATATTTTTTAAAAAAGTAATTTTTTTGTGTGATGCATTCGAACTAAATGTAAAAACTAGTTATATTTAAAAAAAAAAAAAAAAGTTAATTTTTTTTTGTGATGCATTCTCTCTTTGCACGCTCCGCCATAAGCATGCAGAGCCTCGATCTAGCAACTTTACACAATAAAAATCACCGGTTCAGTGATTGCCATGTATACACGGAAATCACTGAACCCCGACACGGGAATCACTGGACCGGCTATATTAATTGTGTAAAGTTGCCTGATCGAGGCTCTGCATGCTTATGCCTGAAGTGTGCAATTGGAATAATTGTAAAAAAAGTGTAAATACATTTTGGTAAGTCTTCAGCTTAAATCATGGGTATAATGTGGAATGTGTAAATTGTGTATTTGGGTAAAAACAGGGCACAGCAGATAATTTTTAATAATTAATAAAATAAAATAATTAAAATAATTTTTAAAATTTTGTATTGGTCTAATTTCGGATTGGTGGTATTTAATTTAACAATGCAAGATTCAGGCATGAAAACACCTCTCGGTATGAGGGTATTCTGCTTCAGTGATTACAGATTGTAAGTTCAAACATATAATTGTAAAATATTTGTCGACAGCATTCATGTACAATAAAAAAACAAATACCTAAAATTAAAGTTTTCATGGTGGTATCACTTTTAATTTTATTCTACAGTGATGTGTGGTCATTAAAATACACTGCTCTGTCAAAACATACATTAAGAAGTATCAACATTTTTGGAAAGAGACTTGAGAATGTTCTTCATAATGTTGACAATATAGCTCGGGGAATTAAGCTATATATATATACATGTACATTTTTTTTCATTAACTCGGGAAAATGTTCAACATCATAAAAAAATACTGTGGCGACATCTAATATCACAGTCGTGCACCACAGACCATTGCGGACAAGGCATTGCGTTTCCTTTGTCCCTGTAATATAACACTCTCCCATAAATACATGAGGACAACAAAGAATGTATTCATAAGATGGAATTGAGTCGGGGTGATGTAAATCAATATTAGGTTTTGCCTTTCACCGACGTTTAAACACTGTATACTCAGTGTGTTACATCTCGAGTGTAGTTGGAAAAAAATCACTCGGGTGGGACTCGAACCCACGACCTCCTGCTTTCTAGTGCAGACGTTTTACCAATACTGAAGAACGTCCCCTAGTGTAATGTGGTGTCCATGTATTAAAGCTGACATTAGGAAACTGCTTTTCAATGATAAATCTGGCTTTTCAGTCATGATTCTTGACAATTGGATTCAACAATACCCAGTTAATTGTAAACAGTATCTTGTCCAAAAATAGATTGTCATATTTTGCATTCCTTGTGGCTTCAAAACTGTATTTTTTCCCCAAACTCAAGCAGCGTAATTATCAATTACTCATGCAGAACAAAATACTTCATAATTTCAGAGATTTAACCAAACCAATTTGGCACATTATTTACACTTAATCATAAAACTTTCTATACCAGCAAAACCGGAGCATGTGCTACTTCTTCTCTGGGAAAGATGTTTGCGAAATGGAGTCAGTGCAAGAAAGCACAACCAAAAACAAAGTGGTTTTTGCTTACTTAAAATGTTTCTACTTAAAAAACTACATGTTGAAATATGTACTTTAAAATAGATATTCTAAATACATGGCCTGTTCTCTTTCTACATCCGAGCTTGTATAAAATTTTCATAATTTAAATGATAAATCAATTTTGTCACCCATTACGGGCAATCTATTGCCAACAAAATCAAGAAAGAACACAATTGTAAGGCGTGTTGGCAAAATGAGACAGAAAACTGGTGGGCAGAGTTTGAAATGAGGTTTTGCGGGTATGTGTTAGGAGAGAGACTACATTTCTCCTTACAATACTGTTTGTTGCACTTCAATCGGACATTCCGTTGAAGTTACAGCCGTTGAAAGTTGGTATTAATCAACGTGTCGAAAAAGTAAAATACTGAGGAAAAAAGCCTTTCAAGTTTCGACTGGATCATGAATATGAAAAATGCCAATTGTTTTTCCTCAGCACACGTTTATTCCACAACTTTTACACTACTTCTTTAAATTATGCGAAGCAGACATGTCAACGATTACAAATATCGATAAATCTGGAAATCTAAGGGAAAAAATTTCACCCCAATTGTTTGGGGGCATTTTTCTCCACTAAGGCATGTGCCCAGTTCTGTCCCATTTCGCCAGAAAGCCTCACAATTGCCCGGCAAAAGTCCTTGTATTGTGCACTAAATTTGCTTCAACATGAAGAAATATCTGAAGTTAGTACTTATCTAGTTAGTGCAAGTGTCCACACACAAAAAAAGGTCAATTTTCCACGGGGTCTAATGTCGAGTCAGATATGAATACAGACGCATTGCATATTCTGCATTTAATAAGCAACTGACCTTTAATTTGATTTCTTCCAAATTTGGACTTGTCACTAAACCAACAAATTTCATTAACGTATAACTGTCTTTTCTCCTTCAATACCATCTATACATAATACTATTTTCTATAAATAACTTTTTTTTTACAAGCCACTAAATTGAAATAAAACCGAAAATTATTAGGCAATACAAATTAAAGCAGCAATCACTGATGGCAAGATATAGATATCAAGTGGAAAAAAGCCCAGATGAAATGCATATATCAATAATATATTATGGGAATTCTCCACTGTACAACCCTTTATTTATAAATACTTGAGATGGTTCGTCAGTTCCTATTGGTCGAGAGCCCGTCTTAAACAACCTTCATCGATGTCAAAGACAAGTGTTTTAAAACTACGCTCCGTGCCACATGCGCGCAGTACATGGCACGCGCACAGTGTATGACACACGCGCCAACTATTGCCAGCTACTTGAGAACCACTGTTACGATCCCCAAAATAAGGTGCGATGTTGGGCACATCGCGCACGCATAGTACACCATGGAAGTGGCCAGTGGGCCCAATTTCACGTTGCTGCTAAGCACACAAATTTGCTTAGCACAAAAAAAGTCTGGCTTATAAAAGCAGGTTATCAGCCAAAACTCCATGTGGTTTTCATGCTAAGCAAATAACAGCTGAATACTAATCATGAGCAATATACATCAATGGAGTTTTGGCTGGTAACCTGCTTTTATAAGCCTTTTTTAAAGACTTTTTTGTGCTAAACAAATTTTTGTGCTTAGCAGCGCCGTGAAATTGTCCCCTGATCTAAACATGGAGTAAAATGGTAGTACAAATTTGCATGATATTTTGTCAACTTTTCCACTTTTTATGGCTTTTGATCGGAAAAAAAAAGGCAATTATGAAAATTCTGGTTATTGTCAACATAAAATTCTCAGCTGCAACCATGCATTTCAATTGGAGCGGCCCTCCACTTTATACAAAATTCAGATAAAATTTTTTTTTCTGCTTTGTAATAACGGGGTTTGAGCCTGCAAATGTTGATAAATTGCTTGAGGTCCTTGATTTTTTATACATTTATTGAAACACCCCATTTCCCCCCCCCCCCAATAAAATCTCCACCAATAAAATAATCTTTCACTTGTAAGGCATATAGGATAATTTGCTCTTTCGACCTTCTTGCATTTTTGTTTGTTTCCATTAATAACACTACCCAAACTCCAAAGAAGAATGTTCAAAACCTAACCTGTTGAAGTTTCAGCTCGGAGGATATTACACTTTTCGAGAAAATAGTGAAAAAAAAAACATGCACAACCTTTTGATCACAAAACACGATTTAGTCCATTGCACTCTTTATTCCAAAAGTCAGTCAATTGACTGATCGTTGGAAATCACCTACATTTCTTGATTTCTTCTGAATGACAGCAAGCCGGACGGAATAATTCCACAGGGTGTTTAGAACCAGTAGGAACTTCAATCCAAGTAAGCTTTTTGATAATACATGTAATTCGGTAGGTTACTTCTGGAAAAAATGCAAATGATCCTGTAAACCTTTAAACACCCCACATGACCCAAACCCTTTTGGACAAACCTGGGCCCACCTGGTAGTCTTTCCATCACCCAAACTATGTGTGGACGCACAATGATTGTCCATGCAAATATCTTTCATCACCAAAATTTACCATACAGCGTTTACTTCTCATCAGCTATCTCTATGTCGTGTCCGAGCCGATCAATCTCGTCAACGATCCACTCCACGTCTTTGGCCGTGGTGGCGTGGTTGCAGTACACCATACGGATGAAGTTGACGCGGTCCCCGAGCGGCTGGTAACCGATCATCATGGTCCCATTCTTCATCATGCGCTCCTTAATGATGGGCGCCACCTATGAGAATGAAAAAATAAACGAGTCAGAGTACCAGTGATGAGAGAAATTGGCGCAGGGATACTTTACTCAGCAGTGCCATATCCAGGTTTTGATGTTGGTGGAAGGGGGACAACCGCACTCACACATCCGCGCCGAAATGTAGACTTTTTTTCTCGGACATTTGGGCTCTGTAAAATCAAAAAGCAGGGGGGAGGGCTAGGCCTGGTACCCATCTTCCAAATGGGGGCGCTTTTCAAACCGACCATTATTATGCATACTGGAAAATGTATGCCGATTTTCACGGCGCATTGTAATGGTATTGGAGCTTTACTTTCAAATAAATCTAAAATTTTAGAAAGTGAAAATCTAGTTTCAAAATGCTCTTATTTTAACCAGAATTAATTTCCTGGGCCGACATTCGGATTTTATATCCCTTACATAAAATACTTCAATTTGCGATCAACACAATAGGAAATCCCTAGTTTTTGAGTGCAATCCATATATCTATTTCGTGATAACTTTGTGGAGACGTATTCACCTATAGAAATTGCCCTGTGGAGACGTACGTATTGTTGGTTAACCCCGCAACAGTCCACTTTCTAAATTTAAGTTTCTCCCAAAATCTACTAAAGTTTAGGACCAATTTTCATCACCTTATGAAGTTTGCTTCGTAATTCCGGTCCGTCGGGCGTGTTTCTGAGGCTGGGCGGTATGTACCAGAATGTGACATTGGTGCACTGGGGCTGGCCGAGAGGAAAAAACAGATACAGAGTTCATCGGACAAAAATCATCAAGCACTTCTTAAAACAGACCAAAAATTGTTTTTCTGCTTTGCAATTGTTTACATTTAAAAGAGAACAAGGATTTTAAGCAGTAGCAGTGGGGATCCTTCTAAACAAAAACACTAAAATAAATCCATCCTGTTTTCTTATTTTTATAAGCTGTGGCCTCGTGGTTAAAGGCACTGAATTCGTGGTCTGTGGGTAAAGCTGCAGGTTGTGGGTTCAAGTCAAGCCTAGGGTCATGGTGCGTGTGCCCTTGGGCAAGGCACTTTGATACTCATTGCTTCTCTCCACCCAGGAGTACATGGGTACCTGTGAGGGCAGAGATGGTTACTGTGATTGATTCTAGCTTCCTTGTGCCTAACAGGCAGCATCGAGCTGTATACTCCCCAGGGAGCTGAGATGGTATTTGGAATGTTTAATTGGCCCAAAGATCAGGGGCAATAATAATGTAAAGCGCTTTGATCTTAGTTAAAAGCGCTATATAAGAACCTGTTATTATTATTATTTATTATACAAAAAATTGAACAATGTTCTAATTTCTATAATTTGCTATAATTGTCTACGTCTTTGAGTTCTAGATTTCCCCTCCTGCGTTTCAGGTATATTAAAGTGAATAAATTGAACCACAGCTGGGTAGAGTGCTTTCATTCACAACTAAGTCTGACAGCTTTACTTCTTTATTTCGGTTTATTCTAGCTTGATTCAAAGTAATGTTTGAGAATTGGCAGACAGACATATGCGTAAATGTGACCATCCCTCCAAAAATTATAAATTTATCTCAAAAATCCACCCCATGCCATTCTTGCCCCTCATCAACTGAAATTCTTCTTTCAGGTTTCTTGTCAACACTTAGTCTTTGGGCATTTGCTTCGGGAAAAGACTTATCACTTCAGGACAGGGTTTTGATGAGTGTCGATCATTTCCAAACAGTTCTTCAACTTACCTCCATAAGCAGCTTGAAGTTTTCTCGGTTTCTGATCAGATCAGCCATGTACCTGTGTCAATCAGAGAGTCATAGAAAAGAAAAAACTTACTGTCAGGACCATTGTTTTAGTGAAGTTCTGCATGTAGCACTTTCAAAATCTAGGATATGAAAGCCAAATTCATAAGCTTTCTTTTAGTAAAAGAATCATTCAAATCACTTGTGTAATTTTCAAGTTACGGAATTTTAAACACAAGTTCTGTCCACGGATTACAAAAAGGTAAGTGTTCTTTCAGCAAAACGAAATCAAATCACAAAGGGACGTGTGTGAATTGTTTTCGTTTTGCTGAAAGAACGCACACCTTTTTTGTGATCCGTGGACAGAACTTTAAAACGGTGGTTGTGCTTAAAATTCCGTAACTTAAACAGTACATGAGTGATTTGAACAATTCTTGTACTAAACGAAAGCTTATGAATTGGGCTTTCATATCCTAGATTTAGAAAGTGCTACATGCAGAACTTCACTGAAACAATAGTTCGGACATTTGGGTTTTGCTTTTTTTGACTCACCCTGTATGTTTGTGACTTCAGTTTGATAAATTTGTTTGAATTTTTGTTTGAAATTTTAGAACAAACTTCTTATCAACAAACCTCGAGTTGTCAAACTTGCGAGTGACTTCCTCGTCGAAACCCTTGTTGCCCTTGGCTTTCCACATGAGCCATAGCTTCAACGCGTCCACTTTGCGGCTGCACTGGATGGACTTGTCCCCCGTGTCGTAGGCCATGTCGTAGAACTTGTCCTGTTGGAAGAGGTAGCTGGCCGCAGCGCAGTGGCTTTGGTGCATCAAGCCATTCTGATGAGGTTTTATAGAAAAGCAATGTCTTTTAGGCCAAAAAAAAAAAGTCTCCGGTTTCTGGTATGCGCGCGCGTCACCGTAGCCATGCGCGTCGGCATAATGAAATTTTTTTTTTTTTTTCCAATGAAAGATGATGTCTCAAAACCGCCAAACTCACTGGTTTGACTGGAATCCTGCTGCTGCACAATTTTAACGTGTTTTTAGATTGGGTTATGGTCGAGAATAAGCTTTATGTGGCCTCTCTGGACTCCCATATATTTGCACTAAGTTTAGTCGGGCACCATTTGCAGTCATCAGCCGACATTTGAAGCAAAAAAATCAGGTAAAAAAAAAAAAAAGCCGCATCGCCGCACCACTTTTTGGACAAGCTCCATACCAAAAACCGGAGACTATATTTTTGAAGACACACCGCCCCAAACCGCCCTGCCTATTACTCACTGTAGCGCCCAAAACCACCCGAGCACTCGTCCAATATGGAATCATTAGTGAATCGACATAATGCAATTCAATGTAGTGCAGATGCGAATGGTTAATTATTAGGGCACATGCAATGTAATTTTTTTTTAATGCAATCCTTGAAAATGCACCTTTGTGTCCCATTTGACCTTATTTTCAATTTGCGTTTTTTTGCAATTTTCAAGGGTATTTTGGTGCATTTTTTTGTCTTTATGCTAATGTGAATATTCATGAGCAAAACTGTGATGTCATTAAAGGCAGAAACCTCATACAGCTATTTTAGCACAAAAAGTTGCTAGTTTGGATATTTTGCTGTCGTGAATTTTCTTTTCTTTGGTGATTCATTGTTGCATCAGTACTTGGCAGTTTTAAAAGCCAAAGAGCAAACCTTTCTCACAGACTTTTTCAAAGAGCAAATTTGGGGTTCACAATTTGAACAGAAAACCCCGAAACTGAACAGTGTCTTCCTGAAATGACATCACAGCAACGGTGCCCTCAGTTGTCAGGGAAAGCATAGAAAATTTTAATGTTTAAAGAAGTGCACTTTTCAATAAAATTAATCAAAAAGGAATGTCAACTAGTTTCATACATTTAAGAGTAGAAAGTTGCACAAAATATGTTCCTGAGAGAAAAATTCATCGCATGAACCCTTTAAACTATAGATACTAAAATTGAGTTGCACGATGGTAATCAGCATCTTAAAAATGCTGATTTCCTCACTTTGAAATTTAATAGTACATTTCTAACGCTCGTATTTGTAGGAATGCTGTACTAAGCCACTGCAATCATCAAGATTCCATTCCCATTACATCCAAGGAAACAAAATTACAGGAGGAATGTGATACAAATTGGGGGAGGAGGGAAAGGCTTTTAAAAACAAAATGGAAGCCACCTCTAATTACAAAACGAAAATTCACAAGTTACAAACAAGATAACGAAAGGTTCCAAATTAAACTACTGTCTATTTACTAAAAGACATGTGGACTATGGTATCACACGGTTGGGACGTGTGAGGGGGGCGCCGGTGGGGGGGGGGGGGGAGGGGGAAGGGGAACTGCTACTGCTAGTGTACTACAATCAGTTTGTGGAACAAAGTTTGCACATTTTTTCACAGTATGCTTGAGACTTTTATTCACTTACAGTCCAGTAAGGTATTTCATAACAATTTGGCAGTTTTTGTTAAAGTTTGCAAGCGTTGTATATTACCTTTGAATCCAACAGTTCACTACATTGAAACTTGTGCTACATAAAGCCACCAAAAAAAAAAAAAGTTCTGCTTCCGGTTTCCCTACCTACCCTACTCTGACAGCCCCTACCCTAATGTTTTTATAGGGAAAATGAGGAAAAACACCCTAAACCATCAATTTATACCTTTTACGCTTGACTACACGCAGACGCCTCCACATGATCGTGCACAAAGAAAATTGGACCCCAAAAAATTCACTGACTACCTACCCTATTTTTGAATGCCATGTAATCGGAAGCAGAACTATTTTTTTGCCTAAACAGTTTTTACGATAAATTCTGAGTTAAGAAATAAATGCATACAACATAATGTGCAGTGGTTGGCTGTTTTCTTCCATAGGCTCTACACATTGGGCTTTTGGGAGGGAAAAAAGGGGAGGGGGTAGTAAGGCTCTTGCTATGCTGTGTGGAACATTCTTAGTACTTACGTGTGGCCGGGCATCACTTTTTGCACGCTAGTAAATGTGAGTCCAGGTAGAGTAAGATGAGTGCGTTAGCGTGAGATTTCAAGAATTAATATTAAAAACTTTACTTTATTGACAAGACTGACACCATTACACACTTAAGTGACACTGAACCAAATAAATTTAGGTTTTCGGCCGGCAAATTTTTATATTGGAGTTATTCCAAACAATCTTCTGACACCAAACTTTTCATGGACTTTCTAAATTTTTGGGGGGAATATTTTGGTTCAACACGACTCACGAATGCCAATTCTGAAATGGGCCTTAAGTTTTTTTCGGCAAAAAGTACTTTGAATTTCAGCATCAATTAATGATAATGCAATGGTATGAGAACTTACATGCTCAGTAATGTCCGATAGCTTTTGCAAAAAAAGCAAAAGACAAAGATGCAAAAAAATACACAGACACGTATGAGCTGAATATGCTCTTCGAATGCATCTAGAAATTGAGTGAAAAAAATGTTCCACGCTCACCTCCTCCCGCAGCAAAAATGCTGAGCACTGCAGCGGCACACCCATCATCTTATGCTGACACCAAGTCAACGAGTTACTTCTCTCTACGCCTTGCATCAAGTGGCGGTACTTGGTGGATGCAAGAGCGCCCCCACCCCAAGCAGCCTAAAGGAATGAACCATGACGACATGTCAGAGTGATAGTTGAGTTAATCACAGTCAAATCACAAGTCAATCATAATTACTCAGTCACAGTCAAATCACGAGTCAATCATAAGTCAATCACGAGTCAGTCATGAGTTGATTGTAAGTCTCGCGTGGTCTCATGGTCTGATGAATCGGGTAATAACTGTAAAGCACTTTGAGATTGTGGATACGATGGAAAGCGCTATATAAGCACTACGATTATTATCATTATTATTAAGTCAATCATCAGTCAATCATCAGTCAATCACAAGTCTATCACAAGTCTATCACAAGTCTATCACAAGTCAATCACAAGTCAACCACAAGTCAATCACAAGTCAAATCACAACTCAACCACAAGTCAATCACAAGTCAATCAAAAGTCAATCACAAGTCAATCACAAGTCAATCACAAGTCTATCACAAGTCAATCATGAGTCAACCACAAGTCTATCACAAGTCAATCACAAGTCAATCACAAGTCAATCAAAAGTCAATCACAAGTCAAATCACAAGTGAACCACAAGTCAATCACCAGTCAATCATAACTCAGGCTAAGCTTACAGCCTTATTTCGAATGTCCTTTTTTATTTCGAGAGTTATTTTCTTGGCCTCGTTTTTTTGTAGTTTAGTCACTTAACTTCTGCGAGAAAAATTCCACCCTAAATGCTTTGACTTTATAGAATAACAGCACAAAGTTGACGAAAAATTTACATTAAATGTAATACAAAGTACCACAAAATTTACGCTTAGCATCTTAATGAAAATGGTATCTCATCTTTTTCCTATGAACTGTAAGAAACTTACGTCAACGTGCAACCACAGTCCGTGCCTCTCGCAAATGTCAGCGATGGGGTCGATAGGGTCAAAGGCTCCCAACACAGTCGTGCCTGACGTCGCACAGACAAAGTAGGGGACCCCTCCCTATAGAATGCAAGGAGGAAATTGTACAGGGTCTGAAACGACTGCTAGAAAGGAGACTAGTATCATATTCCCGTAAATATTTGATGTTTGACACAACTATGCTTACTTCTCTTTAATACTCTGTATATGTAAGATGGTAACTGTCCTTTAACAGAAAATAAGCAAGAAAGTCCATGTTTCTATGCATTTCTTGTAGGGTGTAGAGCAGATTTTCTAGGAATAATTATAGTCTTGATGATCAGGGTTAGTAGTTTTAACCAGTAGCATAGGGAGAAAGTTTTCATGGGGGGGGGGGAAGTTTACAAAAAAAATTCCCCTAACATTTCAACATGCTAGACGGCCGTGTTGGTAGTTTCAACCACGTCCGTATACGTTACGTAAATGGCAAGCAGCACATTCAGTGCATTGATCATCATGTGCGGCTACCCCCTCCCTTCTTGATCCCTCCCCCCCCCCCTCTTTTTTTGGTCGGGGGGGGGGGGGGGGGTTCAACCCAAAAACGCCATTTAATTGAGTGGATCTGTTACGATTAATCTTTCTTTCTTTCTTCCTTTTTTTTTTCCTGACAATACTTCTCCGCAGGTTTTCTCCTAAACCGTATATGGTATGAACTTGTAACTTTCAAAATATATCGACCCTCATCCGAAGTGGTGCATATCATATCTGTATGCTACTGCACAATCGCCTATGGTGGGGCTATCACGTGCATAGTACTCTGACGTCATGATGACGTCATCCAGTGTCAAATTACAAGCGATTTTAGGTGAAAAAAGGGTCCAATTACTTTCACTTATAACTCTTGAACAGCATAATCAGTGATGTTTATATTTTGTAATCAAATAGACCATGAATTGATTAACATTTCTTTTCGTAAACGTGAACTCACTTGACCCTTTCTTCCGGGTCAACCGGAATGTTAAACTTAGGTGAATTCAAAATGAAGCCTTAAATCAAAACAAAGCAAAACTTCTTCCATACGGTTTACGGTATGATCATAAAACCTAGTGTAAACTTGTACCACGTTACGAAGATACTATATATTTTGTTACGTCATCATTACGTCACCCTTGTGCTATTTTTTAGAACACGCGTAAAAAAAATGTTTTTAGAACTTGCAAAATTGTAATTTTTACCCTATTTTTGTCCCTCAAAAAGTCAAGTTGCCAGGATTCTCAGAATATTTTCCTTCTGGATTTGATCAGAGCCAACATTGGTCTTTCAATATCTGGTGAGAGAAGTTTTTGGGAATCGTCCCTCGCTAGTTTTCCTCTCATACCTTAAATGCAGACAATTACTCTTTCGTGCCATTCTTTCGTTAGCTCGGAGCAGAATTTTATTAGCCCATGCAAAGACAAAGATAAACATTAAAAATGAATTCATTTATAGATGTTAAGCGTATGTTGCAACATTTGTTGATCAGACAAAGTATTACACATTTTCATTCTAGTTCATTTTTTTTTGTTTTTGGGAATCGTCCCTCAATAGTTTTCCTCTCATACCTTAAATGCAGACAATGAATCTTTCGTGCCATTCTTTCGTTAGCTCGGATCAGAATTTTATTAGCCCATGCAGACAAAGAAAAACATTAAAAATACATAAAAAATTTTATGTTAAGCGTATGTTGCATAAAACTCCAAACTCCATACTAAAGTCTACCGATACGGTTTCTATTTTTGAGCTGCCATATTTTTTTATGTGCAGCTCCAGCCATGCGCTTCAAAAACTAGACCATGTCTTCCGTGTTTTATGTAGGCCTATGTCAGCCGAGTCAGCAACAAAGTTCATATAGTCTAAGAGTAAACAGCGATCAAACTTTTCTTTTATTGCTTTTTATATTAAAGTTGGTTGGCTGTCAAGAGTACAAAGCAGGAAGACAATTCCTTTAAGGCATTTTCAGCAAAGATGTGTTAAAGTTTCAGTCTGTCGTCCTGTGTGGAGAATATATATATTTATATATATTATTTAGTTGTATTCAATAGAAAAAGCCAACGAACTGAACCTTTTGTGATATGTGCTCAACATCTCATTCCTCAGACTTCAATTTTTGTTGCTGTTGAGTGATCGTGCCGATCTCGATCACCCTTTGTTTCTGTATTAAGATATATTTTTTGTTCATGGTGTAATTGGGTGATCAAGCACAACCCGATCACCGTTTAGTAAACTAAATCACAGCGCTTACATTATTATTACCCCTGATCATTGGGCCTGTTAGGCGCAAGGAAGCTAATTCAAACACAATAACCATCCATGCTCTGACAGGTAGCCATTTACTCCTGGGTGGACAGAAGCAATGAGTGACAAAGTGCCTTGCCCAAGGGCACACGCACCATAACCCCAGGCGGGACTCGAACCCACAACCTGCGGGATTACCCGCAGACCACGAATTCAATACTCCAGACCACGAGGACGGCCACGGCATTCAACAGATATCAAACTAACCACCGGTTATGTGTTATTTTGCAGCGTGTTTTTATTACTACAATGTAGTACTATTTGCCCTAAATAAATGTTCTTTTGTTCAGCCTTCGGCCGACATTGCAACTTTTGGACAAAAAAACAAAGAAAACTGCCCCCAAAACGGCATGCCATTCACATATTGAACTATAAAGAAATTCAGACATGACGGCTTTTGCTCGCACGATACCACGATCAGTGGTGTATGGCCCCGCAAAGGAGTTGTCAATCCACCTCCCCCCGTGTGCTTATCGCGGACAGATCAACTACAAGACAAGCTTCCATAGTGTTCTCAAACTTGACCTTGTGTCTTAACTGAGCTGTCTAGGAACAATAAAAAAAAATAACTGGTAAACGCTTGCTGAACTACTAACATTCCGTTAAAGGGAAAATACAACATTTGCAAACATCATAAAATAAAACTACCAAATCATTTTGAAATACCTTGCTGGACTGTTAGTGAATGACAGTGTAAAGCATCCTGTAACATCATGGCACCTGGTATACTGTCATTTTCAAGAAAAGTGGTATTTTTGTATCAATTTCCAACGCTGATCGGCCGATCAGCGTTGGAAAAAACTGGCTTTTTTTCAAATACTGGCCCCAGTTGACCATCGCACTTGTTTGTAATCGATTACACACCTATGAACGGGTACAAGCCAGCTAGACTGGTTCCCTGACCTTTCAATTCCCCAATATATGTAAACTGCTCTGTTTCTTCTTAAATGGAGTCAGGGAACCAGACTACAGGAAAATGATTGTTTTTCTTGTTTTTTATAGCATTTTCGAACCCAAAACCTCAAAAAAGTCAGTGTAACTACATTTGCTATATATTTCCAACCCCCCAATTCCATCCATTTCTGAAAATTACAGCAAAAGCAAATGATGTATATTCCCTTTAACGACGTAAATAGACATAGTGTTCTCAAACTTGACCTTGTGTCTTAACTGAGCTGTCTAGGAACAATAAAAAAAAATAACTGGTAAACGCTTGCTGAACTACTAACATTCCGTTAACGACGTAAATGGAAAGTTTACAATTTGTTTTCCTGAAAATCGAATCGTAGCGAGGATTGTACAACAATTTGTGATATCAACAACATTTGTTGATCAGACAAAGTATTACACATTTTCATTCTAGTTCATTTTGGTTTGTTTTTGGGAATCGTCCCTCAATAGTTTTCCTCTCATACCTTAAATGCAGACAATGAATCTTTCGTGCCATTCTTTCGTTAGCTCGGATCAGAATTTTATTAGCCCATGCAGACAAAGAAAAACATTAAAAATACATAAATTTTTTTATGTTAAGCGTATGTTGCATAAAACTCCAAACTCCATACTAAAGTCTACCGATACGGTTTCTATTTTTGAGCTGCCATATTTTTTTATGTGCAGCTCCAGCCATGCGCTTCAAAAACTAGACCATGTCTTCCGTGTTTTATGTAGGCCTATGTCAGCCGAGTCAGCAACAAAGTTCATATAGTCTAAGAGTAAACAGCGATCAAACTTTTCTTTTATTGCTTTTTATATTAAAGTTGGTTGGCTGTCAAGAGTACAAAGCAGGAAGACAATTCCTTTAAGGCATTTTCAGCAAAGATGTGTTAAAGTTTCAGTCTGTCGTCCTGTGTGGAGAATATATATATTTATATATATTATTTAGTTGTATTCAATAGAAAAAGCCAACGAACTGAACCTTTTGTGATATGTGCTCAACATCTCATTCCTCAGACTTCAATTTTTGTTGCTGTTGAGTGATCGGGCCGATCTCGATCACCCTTTGTTTCTGTATTAAGATATATTTTTTGTTCATGGTGTAATTGGGTGATCAAGCACAACCCGATCACCGTTTAGTAAACTAAATCACAGCGCTTACATTATTATTACCCCTGATCATTGGGCCTGTTAGGAAGCTAATTCAAACACAATAACCATCCATGCTCTGACAGGTACAGGTAGCCATTTACTCCTGGGTGGAGAGAAGCAATGAGTGACAAAGTGTCTTGCCCAAGGGCACACGCACCATAACCCCAGGCGGGACTCGAACCCACAACCTGCCGAATTACCCGCAGACCACGAATTCAATACTCCAGACCACGAGGACGGCCACGGCATTCAACAGATATCAAACTAACCACCGGTTATGTGTTATTTTGCAGCGTGTTTTTATTACTACAATGTAGTACTATTTACCCTAAATAAATGTTCTTTTGTTCAGCCTTCGGCCGACATTGAATCTTTTGGACAAAATAAAACAAAGAAAACAGCCCCCAAAACGGCATGCCATTCACATATTGAACTATGAAGAAATTCAGACATGACGGCTTTTGCTCGCACGATACCACGATCAGTGGTGTATGGCCCCGCAAAGGAGTTGTCAATCCCCCTCCCCCGTGTGCTTATCGCGGACAGATCAACTACAAGACAAGCTTCCATAGTGTTCTCAAACTTAAACTTGTGTCTTAACTGAGCTGTCTAGGAACAATAAAAAAAAAATTAACAGGTAAACGCTTGCTGAACTCCTAACATTCCGTTAACGACGTAGATGGAAAGTTTACAATTTGTTTTCCTGAAAATCGAATCGTAGCGAGGATTGTACAACAATTTGTGATATCAACAACATTTGTTGATCAGACAAAGTATTACACATTTTCATTCTAGTTCTTTCTTTCCTTTTTTTCCGTACAGCACGTTTCCGCGGGTTTTCTCCTAAACGGTTTATGGTATGAACTCGTAACTTTCATAGTGCATATTACTCTGACGTCATGATTACGTCATCAGGTGTCAAATGAAAAGTGATTTTTATCTGGAAAAAAGGACCAATTACTTTCATCTATAACTCTTTAACAAAATAATCAATGATGTTGGTATTCTGTAATCAGATAGACCAATAATTGTTAAACATTTTTGGTCGTATACGTAAACTCGCTTGACCTTTACTTCCGGGGCTACCGGAAGGTCAAAGTTAGGTGAATTCAAAATGAAGACGTTAGCCTGATATCAAAACAAAGCAAAATTTCTTCCGAACGGTTTATGGTATGATCATAAAACCTTAAATTGAACTTGTACCATGTTACGAAGATGTTATAAATTTTGTAACGTCATCATGACCTCATCAGGTATCAAATTACAAGCAATTTAAGGGCAAATTTTGACAACACAGTTTGCGTTATATCTTTTGAACTAAATAGAGCATCGTGTTCGTTTTTTCGTGAGCATAGCTGCCAACTTTTCAAAATCCCAATTAGTAATCAACCGGCGCGGTCATTTTCAACTGCTCGTTTTATCAAAAGCTTTACAAACATCGAGTACAGGTACATGGTTTACATGTACACATACATGTGCATACCCTTCTTGTTGTGAATAACAATGTACTGTAGGCCAAAATATATATTTTTTTTTTAAATTAAAACATTAAAAAACAAAATTAATATTTTTTTTTTTAATTAATTTTGTTTCAATGTCTGTATAAAATTTGTTTGTTGAAGTCAAATGAATAATAACAATAATAACATGTGTGCATATTTTTTTTGAGATGCATGCTATCGATGTGGAGTTTCGAGTTCGTATCAATGTTTTTACACACAATGATTTAGGGCCACCATATGCAATAGAAATATCCCGCCAACATACCTTGCAAACGCATGCTGATTTATCTTTTCTGGACGTTGTGACAAACTCAAACTCTATTACCAATTATTCCAACCATACTCTTATTAAATTCCATGATTAAAATCTCGCACTGATGGGTCTCATCCCGGCAATAAGCGACCGAATGTGCTCACGATCGTCACTGAAAAGCACTCACATACAGTACACACAACCACACATCCACGAGATGAACATAAATGAGGCCGTGTCCGAAACGGGCTTCCAGAGCTACGGCTACGTCTATTGTCAGTGCGTCCCCACGTATTTTCAATGGGCGCAGACCTAGACCTAGCTCTAGACAGTTGATTCGGATGCAGCCTTACACACCATTGAAAAAAAGTGTTAGTCTGGTCCTCAAGTACTCCACTGCGCACACTGCATTGATGTCTATCAGGTGCTTGACTGCATTCTTATTAGACTTGTCACCAGTCCATCCATTATTGCGACATTTCGCCAGAAGTTTTCGGTCAAAAACGATACTTTACAAGTATTTTTTTTTTTCGTTAGGTAGAAAATGGGAAATTCGTAATGTTTTAGTGGCAAATCGTATTTTCGTAATTTAACAAACAATTCGTAATAATTACGAAAAATTCGTAACAGTTGGTAGCTATGCGTGAGGTTGTAGACTAGGCCATGAAAAACATTTCTTGTCCCCCGACACAAACCCGCTTGACCTTCACTTCCGGTGTTACCGGAAGCGCCATAAAAACTTAATATAACTCGAAAGCGGAAGCATTTTGCTACAGACATATATATTATGACATTGTTTAGTGAGGAATACCAGACACACCAAACAGTGTGATGACGTCATCATCCGAAAGGGCGCCCCCTAGCGGCACATAAAATAGTGTTTCTTTTCTTTAATTTTAAAACCATATGTTCAAATTTTACCAAATCACCCCTTGATATTCTTTGATTAACCACAGATAACTTGGCAAGGTTTCAAATTCATGACGTCATCAGACCGGAAATTACTCCCATGAGAATTTGCCAACGATCATATTTTAAATTTCAATCTATTATTTGATCCATGTCGTATATTTTAGCCCCAAAAATGATACCATTACAATGTTCACCTTTTGCTTCCAAATACTGTGACGTCATCAAACCGGAAGTTCGGTGTTATGAATATATACACTTATATTTTCCAAATTTTCATCCGTTATTTAACTTTACAATGAACATCCACTCCGAACTAAATCAGTATTCACTTCCCGTTTTTCAAGCCAGAAGTAACTTGTATGTGTACATAGAATGTTTACTGAAATTTATCACACTGATAAAGATGCATTTTTTAAACAAAATAATTGATTGTCCCGGAAAGGATTTAATTTCGTGATCCTTTGTTCTTACTTAAAAAATATTCATAACTTAACTGGACAGTGTTTCATAAAATAGTTGTCTTCCCGACCACTCTGCGTTTGTAACAACAAACGCGAATCTCTAGTTAAATATTACATTTGATTAAATATTACATGCAAATTTGATGTCAAGAACATTTATAGAAAATCCAACACATTTTGCCATTTGTGTCCTAATTTCATGTAGTTTGAACACCGAATTCTTATTTGACTTCAGCCAGGCTAAGCTAGTGAGACTCTGCATGCTGCTCTACAAATAATATTCAACTTGTGTTGGTGATCTGATACGTACGTTATTCTTGGCTTCTATGACTGCCTTCTCCAATTCATCTGGTATCATCCGCCCACTATAAAATAAAATAATAATAATGACAGATTCAGATGATTATTTTCAAAGTTAGATGTTGGTTGACAAAGAAACAGAGCTCAAAGGTAACCTGAAACATTTCTTATCACCTGAGCCCTAACCCATGCCAAATACAACGGAATGCAACAGTGTTAAACAAGTTGTTGCATACTGTTGCATTTAGCAGTCAACTCAAGCTCCATGCTTTGTTGCTTCTTGTTGCATTTAGCAGGGTAACTGTTCATAGTGCCAAGGCTGGTGCCACAGAATCCACTGTTGCATTTGGTTGCATTTAGCATGGTTCTCACTTCAGCATACATGTGTTGGATTTGTTGCATTAAGCAGGGTAACTGTGGCTGGTGCCACAGAATCCACTAAACACTGGACATTGTTGCATTTAGCAGGGTATATCCTCATATTGCCAAGGCTGGTGCAACAGAATCCACCGTTGCATTTGGTTGTATTTAGCATGGTTCTCATTTCAGCTGTGTTGGATTTGTTGCATTTAGCAGGGTAACTGCTCATAGTGCCAAAGCCTAGTATGCAACAGACTCCACTTAACATTGGACATTATATTGTTGCATTAAACAGGGTAAAGTCTCAAATTGCCAAGGCTGGTGCAACAGAATCCACCATTGCGTTTGGTTGCATTTAGCATGGTTTTCACTTCAGCTGTGTTGGAACTTCGTTGCATTTAGCAGGGTACCTAAAATAAACCCAAATGGAGGTTAACACACTTTTACTCACGTTTCATCACACTTAACGAAGATGAGGTTGTCGACTCCCAGCCCAAGGAAAGCCATGCCCTTCCTGAGAGAATAGTGACTCTATTGAGAGCAAAACATAGAAATTCATCGCATCAGATAAGACTCCAACATGAATTACTGGCAGAGTCTGAAAAAGGGATTGGTTCTCATTACAATGCCGTTTCTTTCATTTTATTGAAAAATCCATGACAAATAATTTTCAAAGTTCGTACATTTTATTTTTTGGTCTTGTAAAATAAATAACAGTGATAAAAAAGGTCTCTCACATTATTTTAGCATCATTTCTGCAGTAATGTACAATTCCTGTCGTTTTCTGAACCTGATAAAAATTTGGCATTTTAACAAACATCTGGACCAACATACAAGTTATTTGGCATTTTTACTAGTTAAATGGCAGTTCCACCTGAGTTCACATGAATTTGCCACAAATTTCCGTTGACATTACGAAAGGGCAGAGTGTACATGTACTTTGCAAAGTAATACATTACTTCTTTCTCCTCTGTTGTTTGGAGGGAGGGGGGGGGGAGAACTCCTATTTATTCTGACCTGTTCCGATGTGAAAGCTACCAGCCTCGGGCAATTGTACAATCCTTTTTCTTTGATGTCTGGACAGCGTTTGTACCGAGCGAGATTCATAGCATACATGTTGGAAATCGAGCCACCTACGACAACAAAAATTGACAAAAATCAGCATTCGAAGCAAGGTATGCGATAGAGGAACCTCCCCCCCCCCCCCTTAGGGTTGGTCATTGTGATCCCTGAAACTTCGCATATTACTTAGTATCTTCTCAGACAATGAAAAAGAAAGGTTTGGAATGTCATTTGTGGAGAATTTTCAAAATGAAAACCAGGCTACATGGAAAAACAGAACAGATTCACATTTTATGACGCTTGCGAAAAATGCAATTTACACCGTGAAGCTACATGTTTTGAGATCACTGTAGGGCTACACACTTGTATTGACTCACCGATGTGGTAGTTTTATCATGCACACCTTTATGAACAATCTGTAGGGCAACATCCGATCCCAAATTTACATTTTTGGGTTGGGTTTCTTTAAGGGGTACCGGTGTGGGTTTTTTTTACAAAAAAATCCAAAATAATTGTAATCGGCCTATTACCTGGGCAGAATATCCCATCGCCAGCTTTGTAGCCACAGAGCTCTCGCAACTTTCGCATCACCTCCAATTCCATAACAGTGAATACGGGAGACACCTCGTATGTGTAACTGTAAGAGAACGATAAAACCTAGGATGAGACTTCATCAAAACTAACACACATTTTAGACTGGCAGTCACGCTGGACCAAATTGTATTAAATGCGACTCACCAAAATCAGTGGCGAACCCAAGGAGGGGGAGGGGGGGTGGGGGCTGGGGGGCTTGAGCCCTCCCCCCAGAGAATGTCAATTTTTTTTTTTTGGTCATTTTTTCCCCCCACGATTTTACCGTGGTGAAATGTGGCCTATTTTCAAGTAGTATAATAGGGGTGTAAATGGCACCATTTTTTTCTGCAGCCAAAAATTTTGGGCAACATTTTTTTTTTTTTGGCCAAAAATTTTGGGCAACATTTTTTTTTTTTTTTTCAAATTTCTTTAAAAAAAAAATAAAAAAATTGTGAGTCCCCCCCCCAAGCCAAATCCTGGGTGAACCACTGACCAAAATGTATTAAATGTGACTCAATCAAGTCAACCCAAACAGAATTTGGTTTCAGAAGCAATATTGTATTTAGTCCATCACAAGTCCTTTCGCAAGTCTTTTCATAAATGCAGTCACAAGGGGCTGGATGAACAGTGAACGGTGTTTGCATTCATTGTTATACTAAATTAGCATAACAAAGAACAGCCTTTGGGATGCCTGCAACGCAAAATGTCTATTGTAACAACGTATTCCCCCAACAACCACCGCCTATGAAGGACAAAGCACTTACATGCTGGGGTTGATTGCGTCGGTCATCCACTGACCGGCCAGACCGACTAGATCTTGACCGCCAAAGAGTTGGTTGAAGAAACGGGGGTGACCTGCAAAGGGTGCAGGCACAAAGACACACAGAACCATTGAGACATAAACAAAGACAAATATCTAGAACAAAGGTACTTTTTCTGTGTGAAGATGGTGTGATGTTCCTGCTTTGACTGTAGGTGATTGATAAGCCAGCTATGCCTTCCACTTCTCTGCTTTTGTCTGTTGACTGAATTTGACTAGTCACAGTGCTTGCTTGGAATATGATCTGACTGTTGGTGACCAGCCTGTGTAAAAGGCATGGCAGGGGAAGAGGATTGATTTTTTTGACTGTCTGTGACTGTTTAGATAGCAGGAGGGTTAGATGGAGTTATTTATAATGCTGTAGTGTAATGAAAGAACGCTACAAGGAAAAATTTCCATTTGTTAAGAATGGATGAAACACATATTCAGTGTGGGAGTTGGCGTAACATGTACCCGATCACGCCACTGCAAATATCAAGTCAGCTCCATATTTCCAATTTTATTTTTAATAGGAGAAAAGTGTATACTTTTAAAGCACAACAATATTTATCCATCAAAGACATTAAAAAATAACCAGAAATAGTTGACACATTTTTCAATTCAGCGTACTTCTGGAAAGCCATAATCATTTCCCCAAGTGCGAGACACACTTCTACTCCTTCCACACAATTCTCAAAATAATAATAATAATAATGCCCAACAAACAACATCCTCTGAGTGCCAAACAGGACAATGAAATGCTTTTTAGATAATTGACGCACGCAATTTGGCAGCAAATCGAATCAAGAAAAAGTGGAGACAGTTGCCTGGACTTGCAACCTTGGCACCTGGTCTACAGACATGACCATACTAGAAAGCTCCCAACACCCTACTCACAACTCTCGATCGTTTCTCGACATATCAAATGTTCCTTCTAATTAGTGGGCCCGTCGTCTTCAGTAATAAAATAAAAGGTCTTGGAAAACGCGTTGATTTCTTATCTATATCTGGAGTCAAATAAGAGGGGGTGGATTCTCTTTCCCCCCCCCCTCCCTCCATTTTTATCGAAAGGAGTCGGCAACTAATTCAATTAATGTAGCTAAATGGATATTTTTTTATTCCTTTTTGGTTTTTCTTTGTGAATTGTATTTTTCATGTGGAAGAGGTAATTAATGTAATTTTCTACCCATTAGCTCAAGTTGGTAATAATTTGTAGTGCCAGAAATTACCGAGTTGAAGCAAATTGCTTTTTAACAGTCAAGGTTGATTTCCGTAAAAAAAAAAAATCAAGGAAAAGAAATCAAATAAGTACATAAAGAACTTCTTTACACTTCAAAATTTGTAGGTGACTTTATTGATAAATCTGAGTGCTGCTGTATACATACATGTACATGTACATTGTACACAGGGAGCATGTACTATGTATGATGTGAATATGTCAGTACATGTACACATGGATAATTACAAGGTTATACACAATTTAGTGAGACCTTTAAATCTTACAAAATTCTGTCTGTTATATGTTATGTGCATAATTGGTCATTTTTTTTAAATATCACACTGAATAAAATATAAATGCTTTCCAACATTTCAAACACAATTACCATAAAAAAAAAATGGCTATAGAGTCCGTTCACTTTGAAAAAAAAAACGAACTCCAAAAAATGTTTACCAACTTCCCAACTGTGGAAACAATTCTCTTAAATTAATATTGCCAACAAAAATTCATACGCATCAGCTTCAACATTCAATTCTGAACCTTGATGAAAATGTAATACACACAGGAGTTTTCTACACAAGAAATTCTTGAACATACCGGGCCTGACGCTGTACTCAAAAGTCTGCTGACACAACTTCAGAAGTTCCCCTTGCGAGACGGGGTCATCCCGAATGGCCAGGTCAATTTTGTCTTTCAGGAGGTGAGGATGCACAAAGTTGACCACTGTATGGAAAGAAGAGAGTGTGTGGGTAGCCCAACAGAATTTATTCACAAGTCAGCCATATTAAATGGAAAGCAAGGGGAACTCTTCATTTTTGGAATATGCGAGTGGAAATGAAAGCAATGAAATGAAAGGTTCATTACAAATTAATACAAGTCTGCTCTGATGAATAATTAGGTGTTGGGCTGAAGGAAAGTTGTGAGTATTTTTCCTAATTTTTGGAAGTGGGCGTATTTATCATTTGAGTCTATGGCAGCTGTATTTACAGGTCTGCAACCAGTGGTGTATCCAGAGGGGAGGCTATTTTTGAAAATTAAAATTTGGTAGAACTATTTTGTGGGAAACTTATGGGGCTTATTTTGGTGAAACATCTGTCGTCAAGAGCGCATTATATGACCATGGCATGGCATTTGGTCAATTAGTCAATAATTTTTGGTAAATATTCCGGAGACAGACAAACAGACAGACAGAAAGACCGACCCACATGACACTAAGCTCCTGCTAGAGCTTAAACAGTAGCAATGCTGAAAACTGCAGCCAGACAGATGTTAATTGTGAAATTTTTGTTCAATTACCCCATGGAACGACTCCATTCACCGTGACGGCTTCATCTCTTTTGTATTCATGCACAAAGAAGTATTCACCATTAAAAAAAAAAAAAACACCCAGCTTCCAATTAAAAACGATGTTGCAAAACTACAAGAGTTCCTGTCTTTGGCTAATGCCATTCAAGCCTACAGATCCAATTATGCTGTTGTTTGGGAGTCTGCCCAGCACGAAATGCTTTGAAATCATATGACAATCATCGTTATTCACTCTGACTTGACCATATAACAACCCACACGTACATACATACTAATCAAATTTCAGTTTCAGGAAGAAAAAATATAGTAAGAATGCATTTTTTCCCCTGCACTATGGAGGTTTAAAAGCGGACATCTGCTTTTCTGCCAACAGAATAGCAGAAAAGCAGATTGAACGTTTTGTTCAAATGCATTTTTCTACTTTTCTGCTTTTCTGCTACCAGAAAAGCAAATTGAACGTTTTGCTAAAACGCAGTTTTCTACTTTTCGGCTTTTCTGCTACCAGAAAAGCAAGTTTTACTTTTTGCCCTTCACAGGCAGTTCAAAAAAGGACATCTGCTTTTCTGCTACCACAAAAGCAGATGGAACGACGGAGGCGGAGTCACTTGTAACCGTCCACTTTTTGGTGGGTACTAGAGTGGCATTGTTGCGTTCAGGAACCGTCAATCTGCTCAGTTTCTGTAGCAGAAAAGCAGATGTCCACTTTTGAACCACCATGACAAAATGTTCAATCTGCTTTTCTGGTAGCAGAAAAGCAGATGTCCCTTTTTGAACCGTCAGTGAAAAGCAAAAAGTAAAACCTGCTTTTCTGATAGCAGAAAAGCAGACAAGTAGAAAAATGCATTTTATCAAAACGTTCAATCTGCTTGTCTGGTAGCAGAAAAGCATAAAAGAAGAAATATGCGTTTCAACAAAACGTTCAATCTGCTTTTCTGCTATTCTGTTAGCAGAAAAGCAGATGTCCACTTTTGAACCTCCATACCTGCACAATATGTTTTTCTTCTTTATTTTATATTTTGTATTTACCTGTATGTCAACTTCAGAATATCTCCATATAAGTTCATTTACCCTAGTGTGGAAATATTATTGTAACCATCAAAATATGAAGAGTTTATCTCCAATACGCGACATACATGTATCCGAGAAAAACTTGGCGAGGTTATGGAACTTTCAAGAATAAAAACAGTGTAACACCGGTTTCTACACTTCATTTTTCGCTTTATTGTATTCTTATAAAGTTGTGTTTTTAAAAATATCTAACAGCCATCAAAATTGCATTTATCAGGAGATACTCTTGCTTTACAAGCAGTTGTCTTCGCAGATCAAATAAGTAGTCGTTTATTCATCGGTTTTCTTTGCCCCGCGGACATCATGCAAGTCAAGTTGTCTTTGACTTCCTGGCATTCTGGAGAGGCTCTCCCTGTTGGCAGAATGCACGCTTCAATTCTTTTCAAATGTTAACCCATACATGTCGGTCTAGAGATTAAAAAAGGCTTCATTAGGCTGACTCCACTTCTTTGCGCATCGTCTATCAGGCATTCTGAATTTTTTTGGGGGTAGAATATTTGCAGTGTCCTGTGGTTACTGGTTCGATGAGGATGATGCAAGATAGTCAAGTGGTAAGTTAAGTGGTTATATGAATAATCATGAGTTTTCATATGCACCGCAGTGACAACCAACATGTACAGAGTATGCCAAAAAAAGGGCAACATTCAGAAAACAAATAATCAAAACTGTTGAATGTTTTTTTGGCTGTTTCGGCAACCAGCTGAAACAGCCTTTGTTTTTGTCAAAGTTTTTTTTTCCCCCTTCTTTTTCAGCCACTCCTCATAGCATTTGTACACGTTTTTAAAGTGGAAGGCACTTTGGGCACTAAAATCCATCCGATTGACTTTATACTTGTTACACACTTAGACCAGCGTTCATCACTGATACAAGAAAAATTCTCTATCTTTACCTTTGCATTTTCCAGCTGTTGTTCTGTCGATAGCTTCGCTAACAATGAGATCACACATCTCCTGAAAGAACTCTCGCTGATTCATCTCCGGTATTCCATTCTGGTGATTGTTTGCCTGCGACTCCATCGTGCCACTAATTTTTCCTGGAAAACAAAAAAAAAAAAAAAATTTGAAAATCAAAAACTTGTAGTCTTGTATTTTACCTTGATATTTGAACAAAAATTGTTTGTCTGTTTCGTTTGTTTGTTTGTTGACAAAAACTTGTAGTCTTGTACTTTCACCTTGATATTTGAACAAAAATTGTTTGTCTGTTTTGTTTGTTTGTTTGTTTGTCCGTTGGCTGGTTTTTCCTCTCAAGTTTGGTTATTGAATAAAATGTTGGGGTTTTTTTAGGACCTGAACTGAAAAAATGTTGGACCCTGCAAGGATGCAACCTCAATCCTGCAAAATCCTCTAACTGCCTCCATGTAAACATTGCATACAGCCTCAATCCTGCAAAATCCGGAAAGATTTCCATATAAGAAGTTCACTCAACACCCTGTGTACAAACCCTATGAGAGTGGACTGAAAAATTCTAAGTGTTTTCTAAGGAAATGCTTGTATTTTCTCACTGCTCAAATTGACTCTGATGACATGAAATTGCTATCTGGGGGCTTGTTAGTCAATACAGAGGAAAATTAGTGAACTTCTTATATGGAAATCTTTCCCCAAATCCTCCATTATTTCTTGAATGTGGTCCTTGGGGTAATACCACAGCCTCAATCCTGCAAAATCCTCCAGCAATCACTGTCCTTCAATAGGTTGAGGTAGAGCCAGCAACATCCTGGAGCAGTGCGGAGGATTTCAAGTATAATGTAATCCTAAATTTATGCATGGCTGATCATAAACAACACAAGGATTCCCATATCTGGCCAGTAGTATGAGCAATCAGAAAGCGATAACAATTAATATATCTTAAAAAGTCAAATCTAGCAGGGAAAATGTTGAAGTATTCACTGAGAAAACACATACATTTTCAGACCAGTCTTGGGGTTTGTGCACGTGCACAGGGGGTGACAATGACTGATAATGGCCAGCTGAACTCCAGTCCCAACAATCACGATCACCTCGGCAAGCCAATTTGGGGAAAAGTCAAAGTCCAAACCATCTACACTATTTCCGGCTACGCGGATACGGAGTGGGAGTGCAGTGGAGCATGACGCATGGTACATTCATGTAGCGCTGAAAAGGTTTATGGAGGGCAATCAACCGTGACTCCGTAGCCGGCTACGAGGTGCACAGATCGAGAGGCTAGGCGGGCATTCTGCAATTGTGCCCCAAAGTGTATGATACGCTTACCTGTAAATGTTTCAGCTCAGTAACAATAAATCTGCAGACGGCTGGCAGCTTCCAACTCGAGCTTGGACTTCGAAGCAAATGGCAGAAATGATAATGCACCATCTTTATAAGGAAATTCGGAACGTGTGAAAGGCGCTAGCCACACGCGACGAGCAGAAAACTGTGCATGCTGCGTGCTAGCACATGACAACAAACTGACATGACCTAAGGTCACGGCTGGTAGACTTTTCCATTCATAAAAGGGGGAATTCAATACAGGAAAGTGTGGTTGGGGATAAAATAAGCCTATACAAGCGTGAAGACAACAATGAAAATACTTAAGTTCCCACAGCGGTTTTTTTTTTTTAACCCTTACGTCCTTATGGCTGTTTGGGGGTCAAGGACCAATATAGTACATGGTTTGTGCGCCCTTGTATGGAAAGAAATGCACTTATTAATACAGTGGGAATGGGATAAGACTTAGAGTGAGATTTGCAGTAATGTTCTACAACAAACCAGGAGTGAAATGCTTTTTCCTTTCGAGTTTCGTAGGAAATGGACTAGTGCATATACTGCATTGTACTTTTCAGTTCTCTTCAGTCCCCAATCAAAGTCGACAGATCTACCCATTTACCCTGTACCATCAACAAATCGAGAAGATTTCTTATTTTCCATTTATTTGGAACCATTTTAAAACACTGCAGCAGAGATGGTCGACAGGGCGGATCTAGCTTTCAGTAAGGGTGGTAATACGATCGAAGGAGGCGGGTTGAGTGAAGACGGGGTCAAACTTGAGCCACGCCTTTGCTACGTCTGGCATCCCAAAGCGCATAAAGTAAACAAAGCCATTACCTCATTAGGTCTCAGTTCTAACTGTTCGTATTCAGTGACACGCGCAGTTAAATAACCGAGCAAAAATCCTTTAAAAAAATGTTCTTTTTAAATAATCGGCATGCTTCCACCATGCTTCCACTAACTTCGTTGATCATAACATGCCTCAAATTTCATCAGGGCGAACGAGTGAGTGAGTGAGTGATTTTTAGGACGTGTTCAAGGACGTTCCCTACGTGATGCATTCAATGTGCCAGCGCCGGGCGCGATTCAGTCGAACCAAAATTATGTACTCCGTAATTCCTTCGCGCGATAATTACATGAAAACCGTACATTTTTAGGGCACTTTCACATTCTTGTTTTCGTTGTTTTGTTGGGGGGGGGGGTTGTCAAAATCTTTTCAACTACCTTCATTTCGTGGAAACGCGTTTCAGAGTCCGTCCAAAATCGGCACATTAATTCCTGAAGAAAAGACTCCATTAAACTCGACCTTGAGGATCACGTTTGCGTCATCACACACGCAGCGCATACAGCGTGCTGTGTTCGAGCGCGCACTAAATAAAACCATGATAAAACGGACTTCGATTACTCCTACGTACGTACATACGGTGAGGCTCACACTCAGCTAACTAGTATTAAAATGAAAAACAAGACAACGACAAGGTTAGTTTGATAATGTCAAATTCATGACTAGGTAAACACAGCTTAATTATTTATTGCGGGAACACAATGACGACGTGTTAGCACCACTTGTATTCCACACTCAATCCCACCTATGCGTCAGTACCATGGGAACAAGACGGGTGTTTTACGCATCTAATTAAAATGGCTGAAGAAAAAAAAACAGAGCATTTTGTACCTTTGCCGTTGATGCAACTGAGCCATAGAAAACTCATGTGAATCGTGCACTTTGTAGCTTGGTATAGCCTAATGTTCATGCATGTTTAAAACACAGAATGCAATGGGCTCTAACAAGTCGAGAGGGTTTCGTGGAATGAGAAGTTTTACCAATTATTGGTGATGAGGCAACCGTCCAGTGATCGATGTAAACTCGTGGTAAACCGCGGTAAAGCCGAGAATTTGCCAGTTGACCGCGGTAGAACAACCCGCAGCTCACCGCCGCACAGTATGAGGCTCCAGGGTACCAACGACTCCCCAAAACGTCCCCAGTCTACCAAATCGACAACCATCATCTGCAGTTCTGCGCAGTCTCAGAAAGGTAAACCCCGCCCTAAGACCAGCTGGGTCAGGGTTCCCTGGACACGCCCCTCGTCTGGGAACCGACTGCCAAGGGAGGAACTACAACGCCTGGCAGCTGACAGATGGAAGTCATGGAGGAGGCGGATGTGGAACCAGCGAAAGGAGGCTCGCCGGATGGACAATGAGGTGACGTCATTGATTACTTGAGATGCTTGTTGTTGTTTTTCCCTTAGGCCTATGAGGTCTTCAAGACACTAACAGTAGGAACCGAAGAGAGAAAATATGGCCTAAAGATAATATCTTTTTAATCAGTAAACGAAGAAGAGCATCCAGGGGACCTTATGGGTTTTGTTTTGTTTTAAATTGTAAGCCCACGAGATTCAGAGGATCGGGAAGGTATATCTTGTGATCTGTATATCTGTATCATCATTATAGAGAAAGGGTATCATAATAGCCGACAAAGCATTCTGGGCGGGAAACATCACACCAACTTAGAGGGAAGACAATGAGAAGAAATTACAGTTTTACAGTGATGAATCAGCAGGTTCATGTGTGTAAACGCTGGCACCTATTTTATAAGTCTAAAAAGCATGATTGAATGTACACTAGTTGGCAATGCATCCCAGACGAAACATCACACACCACCTATAGATGTGCATCAGTAATGTGGGACTATAGGTTAGTTTGAAACACCCATTTAGTAGGTTGCTTTCATCCACTAAGTTTTCGTGGATTTCTGCCTTGAATAGCTTAAATGGATATGCGACAGTTGGCTTTTGTTCTGTATTGAACTCAGTAGCGTGGGAGGAAAATATGAAACTATTTTCCAAATAGTTACTCAACCCCATGGTTTCTCCGTAAGGTCCCTTTCCAAGGAACATCCGAACACTAGAGGGCGCTCATAGACCCCTACTTACATTACTACATAAATACATTAATACATTGACTGAAAGTTCTCAGTCAGCCTGAACTTTGGGGGGGGGGGGGTAGCCTTTTATCTTTTCTATTTTTTAGCGAGCACACGGACCCCAAAGTGTTTTCCTATCCTGGACAGGCCACCGGCCTCGTCTCGTTTAGACGCAGTATTGATCAACCGAGTGACTTCTTACAAAACACGGAAGGATTGTCTCTCAACATCTTTTCACGAGACTCGAAATATATCGACTTTTCCCACCAGTTAAATCCACATCTTCTGAGTGAACCCCCCCCCCACCTCCCCGAAAAAAAATAATACCCCACGGCTGTTGTGTTGGTGGTGTGTGTTTTTAGGATTAGGGTAGATCCTCCAAACAAGACCATTCAAAATTCGCAGAAATGTGGGGCACTTCTCCGAGCTTTATATAGAACTGCGTTAAATTACCACGGTAAATTAGTTCAAATATAAAAGTGCAGTGCATGTGTTTAAATTTACATGGTGCACACTCACGTAGAATTAAACCGGACCTGTCTTTTGGTTTTCAGTAAAAAAATAAAGTCAATGAGTCAATTTTAAACCACATCTGTTTTTTAGTGTATATGTTGGAGAATATCATCGTGCGTGGGAACAGAGTTCTAGCACTCTGACTTTCAACTTGATTGATTTGTAGTACTCGACTTTGTTTGTAATGAGTGAATTTGCTCACTTTCTGTACCCATTGACCCCATTTCAAATCTGACTCAGTTGCAAATCAGTCTCCACATGCATCTTAAGTTGTCTTGGCTTTGGTATGATGGTCTGCAATATCACCACAGATTCGGCTCAGCTTTAGCGGGTATGCTCATAATAAATTTATACAGGGCTAAATGACCAGTCCTTTCAAGACCAACCACCACCGCGGCACCCGTCCATAATCCTCCCTCCCTCTGAAAATTTGATGAACTTCTCGTTAAATTTTCATCTGTCTTTTTATGGGTGGGATAGCTGAGATTTTCAGTTCAATCTTCAAGATCTGGCCGATGTTGTCTCCAAGTGGGCAAGTTTATAGACTCATCTTGGCTTTGCTTTTTCACCTGGATCTTGGATCCCGCTGTTTATGTTCATTTTCTGTGGCCGGTCTGAGAGCCTTTTTTGATCCCATATCGATCTGCTTATCGACTGGTACTTGGGCAGATCCGACCGCTGGCCAGTCGTGGGTCTATACCAATACGCCTCAACGCCCTCCGGTGTCAATACTTACCAAGGAGAACCCACTACAGCACCCCATCCTCTCTTTTCATTCATTTGTGGACCCTCACTGTGACCATCAACCTTAATATCGAAGAGCCGATTATTGCTTTCGTCACAGTCTGGAACAAAAATCGTGTCCGATTACTGGACAACCTGTTTGGTTCTCGATCAAAGAGGGTTTAATACCCTATTGACAAATGGCATTTTCAAACTAAACACCACTTATCTACCTGGATCAAATTTGGAGGAAAGGCCATGCAGCTATCATCAGGTACATTGGACTAGCGTTGACCTACCTTGAAGAATGCTGTGTGAATCTGCAGGACCTTTCCTTGAGGAAGCGCTGAACAAGCAACGGGCAGCATGACAAATGTCGTCCTGAAATTCTTCCACTGTTAATCTGATTTGGTTATCATCGAGATACTGTGTTGATTTTTCGAGCAAAGTCCAAATTAAGTGACCCAAATTGCGAGTATCGATGTCAAACAAAATGTTCTATGACGTGACGGACATGCAATTGTTCAAGAGGTCCTTTGAGGATGCGGCAAACTTTTCCGAAAGCTTTTATCACAGGAGAAATTAATTAAGCTTCGTTGTTCTGCTTCCTCCAAGTAGGAAGATTTTTGTGAAGGAATCGACTCCCCAAACTTGCAGCTTGATATATCTTTGGAAGGAGATGTGTAATTATGCATGGATTGTGAAGTAAAGTTTTGGTCCACGGCAAAAAATGTCCAGTGATACACCACCCAATGATAACTCGCTCGAGGAAGGGGCGGTCAGTTGCCCCGTGCCATACACCCCTTCCCCACCAGTTTCCCCCCACCCTGGGGGAGCCACTCCGAGATCCGCGTTGCCCAAGCGGCTGACGAGGCACTCCTACCCCTGTGACTCGCCCCGCTACGCCGGATCTCCCGTCGGCAGCAGCAGCAGCAGTCAGCTCTGGGTTTCCGGGAGGACAGTGCTTGAGTCCCCGGAGGAGTTCAAAGAAAACAGCGGGGATGAAGATGAAAAAAATGACGATGATGACGATGAGGAGTGTGATTTAGAAAGTTTCGGCGTCGAGTTTGGAGATGACGAAGAAAGTGACGACAGACAAGACGAAGGGAAGTTGGTGAGAGCAGAGTGCAAATGATTTTATTAATTGAAAAAAAAAATGAATTCTTGTACTTCTACTAGTCTTTACTGACGGACGTTGCCCTGAAACGTTTTTGGCCCTTGGCGGTTTCCCTATTTCCTTTTTGTATTCCTTTTATGATCTCCGATCATCATCGCATTTCTTTGTCTGTAATATATCGATTAAAGACAAAAAGGTATAACAAAACAAATACACAAAGTTTGCCTTTTCAGGGAAAAAAAGGTCGCCGTATAACAAAACAAATACACAAAGTTTGCCTTTTCAGGGAAAAAAAGGTCGCCAAAAAAAAATAAAAAATTCAACACAATGTTCGGACAGACTATCGTACACAATATTACACAGCATTAAAACTGTGGTGAAGTAAACTTTTGCAATATAATTATTTTAAGGGGAGGGGCTCAGAATGATGTGATGCTGCTTTGAGTTTGAAGAACCGGCAGCGTTTCGCTTGAATCGAGATTTTATTTTAAAAGTTTTCTAAATGTATATACCTACAGCAATAACCAAGTTGGATTTATTCAAAAGTCAAAATTAGTTTGATTCTATAACTAATTCATGCTTCCGTGGTCTTTGATAATAACGCATTATCATATCATAATATCATATCTGTGTTTGTTCAGTAATTCAAGCTCCGATGCGATGGTACGGCTGAAAAATGTCACTAAGCCGCTTAGGATGCAGTCCGCGCATAATTATAAAGACAAGGTGGCGGTTCTGCGTCAAATCGAAATGATTCCATGGATGCAACGCTGATAATATTCTATTATTATATAAACAGCGGATAAGATGAACAATGCAATACCGTTTGTCGTTTTGGTTGAAGTCCGTTGCTTGCAAATGCAACCACGCATCGCAGAAACTGAATGAATCGTGAACAAAACTGCTGCACTGACTGGATTGACCAAAATGTCATCAAACGTCAGTCCCACTATAACTTTCATAAAATTATAAACCTGATCTAAGAATATCGTAATTTGCTATTTGCTACACTGTCAAAGGTCTGAGAAAATTTGACAATAAGGCAAATTATTGAGGAAAAGAATAATTTGCAGTGTCTCCGGTCAACGGGTCTAACAGAGACTGAGACATCAAATTGAGTTTTGTATAAGGCGTTCGATATTCTGAAAAGGAAAATTGCCTGTCTTTCCTTGACAATAGACAACAAACTAGGACAGGAAAATAAAACAGGGGGAAAGAAGGGGGAAGAAAAGAAAAAAAGTCAAGCTCAGAGTGTTTCCATAGAGACATAATTGAATATTTATCTGCAGTTACACAATTGATTTGTTGGGGGCGCAAGCATAATTTGCAACACAGACCGAGGGAAAAATTGAAGAGCTATCTCTCTAGGGTCACTTTGTTTCCATGGATACAAAGGAGTTCCACTTGTTCTGTATTGATTATTGCGTTTTAGTTTGGTCTCGATGATATTTTCAAAAGTTTGGTTTTGCACAGGACGACAGATCGCATTAGGGACCGTTGTATTCAGCAAATGTGATATAGAAAGCCCCATAGCAGTGGCTAATGAGTATGGTGGCAACAATACAGTCGCCGCATTGGAGATAATCCCATTCACTGAGGGTCGATATCTCGGCTTGATCCCACCGAACGTCATTACGTCCGGATCAGTGGATATATCTACCCAATGCTCCCCTGTCAGTTTGGCAAACCTGCAAGAACCGTCGTAATAGATGGTTTGCACTGCAGCCATGTTTGAGGTGTGTGCTTTCTTGTGCATTCATTGTTAATGAATTAACATAACAAAACAAACCTCAAACATGGTTACTGAATGCAATCCATCTATCCGACATTTTGCATTCAGCATAAATCTTCAAGTTGTCTATTATTATTTTAATTCATTAAAAAAAATGAATGCAAAAGAGGTATAGTACTCATTTGTGTCCCCCGTGAAACTACATAAAAGCAGCAGTATCTGTCAAAGGCGGCTGTAATGTAACTGTTCTACGGTCAAGAATTTTACAACCAAAACCATCTAGGCAGTAAAACCGAAGATTCATGACGTCATCCATGAGATTTAGACTGGAAACCTGCATAGGAAAATTATAACGCCCCCCCCCCCCATTGATTGGTTCCTCCTCCCCACAAAAAGGTTTCAACTTTTTGTCCGTTTTCGTATAATTTCCCTGTCTGTACGTAGGCCTGTGTTTTGTTTCTAAAAGTTGACTTTTTTTAGCGCATTGCAATTCTTGTGGTGATTTGTCATGGAAACCTTGCTCAATAAAACTACATCTTTTAAAATTTAATTTTGGAGTAAATCGGCGTCATAAAATTATCATCTCCGAGTCCCCCCCCCCCTGCCATTCCTTCCATTCCACGCCCATCGATTCCATCGTAACAAGTCAGCTTAATTTGTTTATCCTTCATATCAGGCATTCCAAACCCCAATAATACCCCCATTCTTCACCAGAGTCCTCACGAAACACCTCAAGGAGCATGGACTGAAAGATGTTTGGGGGTATTTTCGGCGAATCCATTGTCGAGTGGATTTAATCGGTTTGCAAGGAATCGATAAACTCCTAATTCGCTTTTTCAATAATTCTCAAGAGCTGTTTTCCCGTGGTAATCTATAATCCATGTGGTGTTTTGGTTGCACTTTGGGGATGATCTCTTATGGAATGAGATCGAAAGCAGGCCAGGAGAACAGTATGGAATGGCGGTAACTAATGATGAAAATCAAATGTTCCAATGTTATGAATCTCAATTAAAGACGTATTAATTCCCCGTGCTGTTTTCGAATTTCATCTCGAAAAATATATTCCTCTTCTAAATTGATATTTTTCTAGCAAATACAAAAGTTACTCACTTTTGAATGAGACATCGACCGAAGAACAAAAATCGGCCCACGTTTAGTTAGTGAATATTCTTATTCACGATTTCGAATTATTGGCTGCCAGACAATAATTTCGTTCTTGAGTGGGAGGCTGTTTCCCGCCCCACAATCAGTATCGATAATGTACAGACTGGAAGACAGTCTGCTCGCAAAGCAGACCTGTTTGTACCCAAAACATCATTTTTTCCCCCGGAGGGTTGTAGACATCCAAAAAGGGGGGAAAAAAAGGGTTTGTTTAGGGTTGGAATAAAACACATAAGTTGAAAAGTTATTAAAAGGACGGGGAACGCATTTGTGTTCCCCTTTAGAAATGATGATGGACGATGCACTGTTTTCTCCCTATAAAAAAAGGACAGAAAACACTTTAGGACAAAATAATACAAAACATGCAAATTTCGATAATTTGAAAGGGATTTGTAACTAAAAAAAAAATCCTTATTTAAAAACTGATATTGATTTCACCTGAATTTAATCATTCTTGTTTCCTTATAGGAGTCCCGGCAAGCCTCATCATCAAAATTGGCAACTTTGTCGGTAAGCTTTGAACTTTTGTATCACGTTCGACATTTCTTGTATGTGTGTCGACTTGGTGTCGACCTCATGAAAGTGTCGAACACAATATTTTCGAGAGTCGCGTGGTACATCTTACATCAGCATAGGTGTGATCCTAACTTCAACGCTACTGATATACAAACACACTCCATTTTTCCAACAAAGATAATGTAACATTTTACTATGTTCTTCTTGCTGTCAGATCACATCTTTTCGCTCAAACCTCCTTATTTTACAATAACATTTCAATTGTTTTTAATTCCCCACCAACCTTCCCATCGATTTTTAACATGTCAAATATCAAGCTCCAGTCTTAATTGAAAGTATTAATTTATCACCCCTCCCCCTTTTTTTAACCTCCGAATTCAATTTCCTAGCCTCTAGCTCGCTTCCTCCGTGCGGCACGGCAGGTCAAAATGCTCTGCGCGGTCCAGATAAGTCTGAACCGGTGCGCCACGGAGGCGGGCAAGGGGACATTCGGAGCCACTCTCCCGGACCTTGTGGCTAGTCTCTCGGCCTCGCCTAGCGTGGTCTACATGCCGTCCACCAAAGAGAAACTCACCTTTAATGCTGGCGAGTTCAAGAGCAATTATGAGGTGAGGATAGTGGATGATTGTTATGGGTTAACTTAATTAATAAAATTACAGGCGCCATTGCTCCTGCTGCCTTTAAAACTAATTGCATAGGGCCTATAGGTCGGGAGATGCAAAATAAAATTAGCTCCAACTGTGATGACATTTTCTATTCTGGAAAAAGTCGATATTTTATGTACGCAAGATTTTTGGTCGTAAAAATTCACAGTGATAATGGAACAAAGTGAAGGGCAACATTCGGAACACAAAGGGTTCCATCAGCCTGCATTCGGAACTAACCTACATTTTTTTGTATGAGCTGAAACGTTTGAAAACGTAACAAAGTCATGAAGTGTAGAAATACATTACCGTCGGGCCGCAAATACATGTGATTTGAAATTTGTAAAGAAATTATTCCATGACTAAAGTGCGCCGATTTTTGTTCCAGTCGATGTCTCATTGAAATATGAAAAACCTTTGCATTGCTAACAAAAATAGCAAGTTACTACAAAACGTATTTTTCACGATGAATCTCGCATGTAGAACGGACAGTACAGGGTGTCTAAAAACAATTCCGAACTCTGCAAGCTCCTTCTTTTTTACAGCTTTTACAAAAAATACATCGCAAATATCGATACATATTTGGAGAGTATTCAGCAGCTTTTCAACAACGAAAACATACTTCCTATCGGGAAAATATTTATTGAGTTATGGCCAATTCAATCTTTCCATCTGTCCACGGTCTCAATAATTGTCATTTGTCAGGAATGTAATGGATTTGGGGTGAGGAAAGTTTTGCTTTCTTTAATGTTTTAATCTTGCAACAACGGTAATTTATCCCTTTGGTATGAAGCTCATAGTATGAAGCCCGGGAAGGGACAGGGTGGATTTTTTTTTGGGAATTTTCTAATTCGTTGGCACGAATTGCTAGTTCGTTGGCACGAATTGCTAGTTCGTTGGCACGAATTGCTAGTTCGTTGGCACGAATTGCTAGTTCGTTCCCACGAATTGCTAATTCGTTCCCACGAATTGCTAATTCGTTCCCACGAATTGCTAATTCGTTCCCACGAATTGCTAATTCGTTCCCACGAATTGCTAATTCGTTCCCACGAATTGCTAATTCGTTCCCACGAATTGCTAATTCGTTCCCACGAATTGCTAATTCGTTCCCACGAATTGCTAATTCGTTCAAACGAATTGCTAATTCGTTCCCACGAATTGCTAATTCGTTCCCACGAATTGCTAATTCGTTCCCACGAATTGCTAATTCGTTCCCACGAATTGCTAATTCGTTCCCACGAATTGCTAATTTGTTCCCACGAATTGCTAATTCGTTCCCACGAATTGCTAATTCGTTCCCACGAATTACCAACTCGTTCCCACGAATTACTAACGCGTTCCCAGATCCACGAGTTCGATGGGTAACTGTTTACTGTGCTGTTCCGTCTCTGCCCTGTGCTTGGTAGCCCTTCTCACGGATGCAAGTTCCGGCCCGCGTTCTTATTGCGGCAGTGGCCATAACTCAATAAATATTTACCCAATTGGGAAGAGTTTTTTTGTTGTGAAAAGCTGATGCATTTTTCTCTCTAAATATGTATATATATACATTTGCGATTTTTGTTTTTAAGCTGTGAAGAAAGGGCGCTTTAAAGGCCCATTTTTTGTTGGATATATCTTCAAATTTGTTGAATGTTTTTGTTTTGGTCCAGTTCACCTGGCCGAAACAGGCTAAAGACGCCGTGGACAAGAGGCCCGAAGATCGGACCGAGGCCGACCTGCAACTGATCGGTGGTCTGATGAGGGGCCTTCACAGCTTCCGGAAGTACACACGGGCCCACCAAAAGCTGATATGCAGAGTGGTGCGGCTCCAGAAGTGAGTGACAACTCGATCATTTTGTGTCCAGCGCAACTGTGTTTTGTGTGTGCCGCACCTGGGCCTGGGTTGCCATTTTGTGCCCATATTGTGTCGAAATGTGTATCTGCCAAGACACTTCTTTGCTTGGAAAATCTCTGTGATTAGCAGCTCACGAAATTTAGCCCAATTTTTAATTTCGTTGGAAGAATTGTCAACACTGTGTCTCCAAGACTCCTTTAAAACTCCTTTAAAATACCCCAAACACACACAAAAATGGAAGCAAATCACTTAACGGGCAACTGCTTCCGCTTAATATGCAAAAAACGTCAGTAATTTACTTAACCTAGAAATGATAATGTTAATTACCTCCTTTTTTGGGGTCCTTCTTTTTTTCCCAACTCGAGGTACGGCCGTAGGAGAGTGGTTGTCCGCAAAGGCCACTTGGGCTACGCCTTCTACTTCATCTTTGCCGGCGCGGTCTGCGTCACTCTGGACGAAGATGAGGAGAGCGCGTTTGTCAAGAAGGAAGTGACGATCCTCAGGAAGGGGGCATGCTTCGGGGTAAGGCAGGACAAGTGGCCGTAAAGGGAAATTCTAATATCCTGTCTTTATATTCAAGATGAATTTCAGCTATTTTTCCCTTTTCGTTCTGTTCGTACTTTTTGTTCTGTTGTACGTTCTGCCAGTCTCGATAATGTCAAAAAGGTATTTTTTGGGGTTTAATTTCTGTCATATTTTCATTTTTTTAAATACTTTATTTCCTCCAGAAATTGCATCTGAATTTCTGATATTCATTTGGGGGTGGAGTAGGGGTTAATTATTGGTAATTTTTAGCTGCATCTTACAATTTTTTTTACCCTTTTATTGACATGAAAGTATTACGATTTAGTAAAATATAACTAACATTTTATTGTCAACTGTTATTTTCAATTTTATATTTGTAAACTTTTAACTACATTTTAGTCATGGTCTAATTATTGACAATTAGATATTTTGGGAACGAATTTCATGAGCTATCATGATGTGTATAGTTCACAAATATGTCTGAATATTTAAAGAGATCCCTTGTTATTTTACCAGATATTTATTTAATCAGACATAAATACAGTCTTATAATTATTTTTAAAGTCTTATAATTAATTATAATGTTTTTTTTTTTATGTTATATAGGAAATTGCCTTGTTGAAAGATTCTCGGCGTAGGGCCACCATTGTCTGTCTTCAAGAAACTCAGTTCTTGGTAGTGGATCGCGATGATTTCTTCGAAAAAGGCCTCCACCGACACATCCAGGCGGAGTTTGAGTATAAATTTAACTTCTTCAGGTTAGTGATGCATACAGACATCAGGTCAATAGGTGACCTAGGGGCAGGAGTGCGGGGGGGGGGGAGGGGATGGGGGGATTGCTAAAAACTACTCCTCAACGTTCCAAAAAAGTCACAAAATCTAACATGGATGTCATAGTGCTCTCTGATAAATTTCCTCAGATGGTTATTTATCCAAAAGCTATAGAAAACATGTTTGCAATTTTTCGGGAAGAAAACAGACAAATTTGGGGAATGTCGGCGAAATTTTATAACTTAAGAAAATTCAATTTAGAAGCATTCGCTGAACCACAAGAAGATTCCAGAAAATTTGTGTTGGGGTGGGGCTAAATTGTCTTTGTGGGATAGGCTTTAACCTCTTTTGCCTCCCCCTCCCCACCCCCAATAACTGAGCACATTACCCTTCCCTCCAGTGCGAGTGCATGCTAGCACAAATATTTACTTAAGAAGCAGCTGCCTCTTCCAAAAACAAAACAAAAATTATACAAACAATTCATGAATAATTTAACAGCAAACGCTCCATCAACCTTGTTGAATAGGCAGACCAGCTGATAAGGTGACGGGCATTGATCACGTTTTGCCAACAACAAAATTATTCCTGAATTATGTTGTAAAAAAAAAGGTCTTTTATCAAGGCATCCGGGTGCTGCATCTTTTGACATGGTGTCCTCTGGGAGATGCTTATTGATTAAATCTGGCGACAATTTCCACTGAGCACAGAAACTTGCTAAGCTCAGAAAAAAAATGCTTAGTAAAAACGGGTTACCAGCCAAAAACTCATGCTGTAAGCAGGAGCTTAGTGGTTCGAGTCACACCTGACAAATATTAATCTTTGTCGTCTTTGACTATACTCAGGAGGTTGGAGTTGTTCTCCAGTTGGCCCGATGACAGGCTGGAGGAAGTCAGCGACATGGCACGCATTGAGGAGTACAATCACGACTCGGTCATCGTCAAAGATTCGAGGGAAATCCACTGGCTTCTCTTTGTCACTAAGGTACTATTTGCTGGACAGCCTATTGTCATATGACTGAGTCCCTGACTGACCAACAAACTGACCAACTGACTGACTGAGGCACTAAATAGATAATGAAATAATGTCCATAACTGAGACTTCCAGAGCTCAACAAAGCAAATCTACTCTTTTTTTCTAACAGGGTTTTGGACTTGAATTTTCAAACAGGCCTAGTTCAATGGAATCAGGAATGAAGGGTTGGGATAGAAAGAAATTGTAACGTTTAATTGCCAGAACCTTATTTTTTCCAAAAAATTGAGAAATTATTTGATACATTTCTGAGAAAAATGTAAAATTTTGAGAATGGGAGAAATAAAGATAAATAGGACAGTTAAAGGAAGAATTTTAAAACTTTGGGAAAATGTTGAGAAATGTTTAAGGAAACAATGGACCCAACCAAAAAGTTATCAAAATTTCACGGAAAGGGGAAGAGATGGTGCACAAATCTCCTTCGGAAAATATGTCTGATGTCTGGGTATCAGGTATTTCACTCAATACATTGTGAGAACATTCACTAATCAGCTCTTCATGTTTTGATCCAGGGCCGCTGTGACGTGCTCAAGCTGGTGGACCTCGCAAAGGTCTACGCGGCCAGGAACGAGGACGAAAATGACCCGAGGGGACAGAAGAAACAAGGAGGGGTGTCCACACTGCTCAGCGGGGACTACCCACTCAGCCTCCTGCCGGAGGGACATAGGAGTCCCTTCCCCTGGCTGACGCCCCATAAACTACCCGTCAATACCAGGCCCAAAACCACAGGTAAACCAACAATTCTGCAAGACTTTTTCAACGGATGAAAAGACTGTTTCTGTGGAGCCAAACCTTTGCCCCGTCTTTTCTTCTTCTCTGGGACAGTGTTGCGGGGTTTTAAGGTTGAAGTTACACTCAGTTAAGTTCTTCCTGAGACTTAAAAATCTAGCCAGTTTCCCTTTTACAGTTTTTGACTTTCTTCAAGTTTTGACAAAATCAATATTGGAAACTTACTGCAAATTTCTAATAATTGTAAACATTCGTCCTCATTTCTGAAAACAAAGTCTTGGAAAAAACAACTGGTCAAATTCCACAAAGAACTCTCCAAAGAAAACATTAAATTGACTAAAATCAGTCCTACGTAGACTTCTAAGACTTGGCCAACATTTTAGTCCCTTGAGGGAGGACACAGGTTCCAGGTCTTAGGGCTGTCACAGGACTGTGACAGTGTTCCCCCAGCCATCTACTACCTCCGAGGTTCCTCAAGGGGGTTGGTGTCGAGGGGCCAACTGCAGTAACTTGAACTACAAGAATACCTCTAAGTTATAACAACCTGTTAAAATTCCCTGGCCCCTTACAAGGATGGACTGAAGAGGATCCGAATGGGTCTATGTGAAAACAGTAGAGTCGTCGTGAATAAACATCGGTGACTCTCAACACAGGATGACTGGGAATTGATTTCTGGATAAAAAGGGTATTATTTTTTTTTAATCCAATGCTCCCCTGCAGGCCATATATACAAAAAAAAATCACAGTAGGGATGCATATAATCTATCGTGGGTCATTCTATTAATTTAGGGTCCAAAGTGTGACACTTTTCCTGCCCGTTACCTCTGGACTGAATGACTTCAAACTATTTTTATTTGTTGAGACGGTACTTTGCTTTCCATAATCACCCATGGAGAAGGGGTGCATTCAGGTCATTTTATAAATTTGGGGTCCACTTTTGTCCCTGTCCATGTTACATCGACATATCTGATTTTATAATTCTGATGCACTCCTTAATGCAGTCATCCTCCAAGAGTGCATACGAATAGCAAATTGCTTACCCGACAAATAAGAGATCGAAGATATTTCTTAATGATGCTTGAATGGTTAATTACGAAGTCCGGAGGTAAAGAGGACAGGAAAAATGTCAAACTTTGGACCCTAAATTATCTAGAGAATGACCCATTAAGGAGTGCGTCCAGAATTTGCAAAATCATAAAAAATGTCACACGCAGCAAAACAGGAAAAAAGTGGACCCCAGATTTATAGATTGATCCTTATACTTTTATAACAAAACAAAGGTCATCAAATGGTGATAAGGAAATAATGCTCTTTTCAATACAGGTGTAACAGGTACATTAACCCTAACTCCCCTGTGGAAAAAAAAACCATATGAAAATATGTGCGGCGTTCTGGCAAAATAAGACAGATCTGGGCACCAGCCTTAGTGGAGAAAAATGAAGAAAAAAAACGGGGGTAATTTTTTTTTGATTTTCAGATTTTTTGATATTTGTAATCTTTGATATGTCTCCAACACACATTTTAAGGAAATAGTATAAAAATTGTTGAATAAAAGTTTTTTTTAAAAGGAAAAACAATTTGCATCTTTCATAATCAATTAAAAAACAGCCATAACTTGTCAATGGAGTGTCTGATTAAAGTACATGTACATCAAACAGTATTGTAAGGGGAAATTTGTTCTCATCCATAATGCCCACAAACACTCATTTTGACTTCCGCCCAGTTCTCATTTTGCTAGAACGCCTGAAATATGAGGATTCAGGATTGTTGGGGCAAAAAAAAATATATTAAGATAAAAATTCTTTCTGGTAATAAAATTAAGAGTTTCAGAGTGCACAGGCAGTGTAGCTAGAAGGTTTATAGAGAAGCACAGTGAGAGAAGGAGATGAAGACATGTTCAGTTTTAAGAGGTGGGAGGAAAATCACAGACTGATATTCTGGAGGACCTCAGTAAGGAATTAGGCAGGGACTGAAACCACAATCCACATGTCGATCCGGGTGGGATTTGAACCCGTGTCGTGGAGGCGGAAGACAAGGAAAGTTCCACCATGGGTTGAAGCAAGGCAGGGCACTTTATGACCACTTTTGAGAGTCAAGTGGACTTCACCTATGGGCTCCGTGCGCAAGCGAAAGAGGGTGCCCTTTTACCTAGCAACGACGTCCCATGTGCGGGACATTTAGCTGGTTGACGTGCACCATTCCTTGTGTGTGACGCAAGTACACCAGGGGATTTGTACTATTTACACGCAATGGTACGGCCGCGCGTCGCGGTAAAATTGCAGTCAGGCAAGATGGCGTCGGTCTAGGTCACCCCGAACTGTACTTTCTTTGCCGGTGAGGGGGGAGCGGATAGTGTTAAGTACGTAAATTTTATTGTGAATGTGCACAAAGCCGTGGCATCTTCACTTGAACATTAGGCTTCATCAGGAATGCGCGTTCAAATGTCTCTTTCAGTGGTGTCCCCCACATCTCCCTTTCTTACCATTGAGGGGGTACCTGTGCACAACGCCCATGCCAACCTTTCACTTGTATAATCAATAGAGTCCAGATGTCATTTTCACTCGTATATTCTCTCGTAATTCTCCAAATAGGTCAGATAAACTGCAAGTCCAAGGAGAAGATGGAGGCAGAAGCCGAGCCGAACCCAAACCACCAGCGTAGCAAGAGCGCCAGTGTGAGATACACTGATGAGGTTTCAGACTTGGACATACCATCCGAGTCTTGCTCCAGAACAACAATGACCAGCGGTTTATCCATGCACAAACGCAGGTATGTTGCAATGTTGCCGATTGCCTCTGTGGATGCTGTGTTACTGTGGACTGGTCGTGTACTTGCTGAACAGTCAAAATTTCAAAATGCCCCCGTTAATGTAAGGACTACTGTAGACAAAGTTTCAATACAATAACTCTGTGCATGAACAGTCGATACCAGTACATAACCACACATGAGATATCAATGTTAAGAACGCACTGCTTGTACGCACTGGTTCAATTGCATATGGCACAAATTATACACAATTGTCATCTGAATGGCCACAAACCAGTAGTGTCTTCACATGAGAAGAAACATTCAACAGTCCCTCCTAACTGTCTCCTTGTAACTGTTGAGGAGACACAAGTACACAGAGTCCATTGTTTGAGGTGATGACAACTTCTCAGAACCAAAGTTGAATCTTCCTCAGTTTATCCTCCAACTGTGTCTGAATCCCATGCTGAATCAAGCTTCTTGTCTCATTTGGTAGATCATCCGATCCTGGTACCCCTCACAAACTGCCCAGTCACATCAGTCTGGGCATTGCTACCATGAAGGGCGACGGCGTGGAGGCTGGAGTCTACATTAAGGTGGACTCACTCAGGCCTGGACAGTGCTTTGTGAGTACACGTGTGTTACCGCAATTAACAGAACTGGGCTGATGTACCCTGGGCCCAATTTCACGGCGCTGCTAAGCACACAAATTTGCTTAGCACAAAAAAGTCAGGCTTATAAAAGCAGGTTACCAGCCAAAACTGCATGTGATTTTCATGCTAAGCAAACACCAGCTAAATACTAATCATGAGCAATATACATCACATGGAGTTTTGGCTGATAATCTGCTTTTATAAGCCAGACTTTTTTGTGCTAAGCAAATTAATTTTTGTGCTTAGCAGCGCCATGAAATTGGCCCCTGGTCAACACTCCCCTCTGTGTTCTTCTGCAGCTCTTGAACGACTGATTAAGATGACTAATTAAGCACATTAGTGGACATCAATAAGATATTTGTTTGGGAGGGGGATGATGTTACCATTTCTGAGTTTTAAAGAGGATTTCGGATCCAATTTTTGACTCAAGATTTACACTTGGAAAATGCTTTTTGTGACACTTCTACTTTGTTGAAATGTAAAAATACAAAATAAGACAGGTGTTCTCAACAGTTTATTTGTTACTTATAAGATTGAACATTATGAAGATGTTTGTTTCTTGCCCAGGGTCTCGAAGGAATCTCAGGTAAGATGCCACAGTACTCCCTCCTCAGCCTCGGCTGTGAGCTGGTCCGCGTCTCCATGTCTAAATTCCGCGAGTACGCTTGCGAAGAGACCTTAGAGCGGGTCCAGCAGCAGATCCCGACGTACCCGAACGACCACTTCCTCTGGACGAGCTTCAAAAAGCAAAACCGCTGGACCAACTTCAAGAACGGCGTGGTCAAGGACATCATGGACGATGCCTTGGCACAGAGCGCCCCCAACACCTTTGCCAGGAACTTGCGCTCTGTCCCGGGACGTGTCGCTGAGGCGAATCGGCAGCAGAATCCTCAGCGGTGGAGAACCAGCCTGGGGGGCAGTTTTGCCAGCAATGTCATGCCACAGATTTCAAACGTGACAAACGCTTGGACGGATGAGAAGAGCTCGTCAAGAAGCAAGAGCAGAGGTGAGTGGAGGTTGTTGCTGAAGGATAGACAGATTTGCTGAGTCCCTTACAAGTTAGGGATTCAGTACAGACACAGTAGATGGGGCTATGTGACCACTCAACAGTGCACAAACTGGTTTGTGTGCGTATGGCGCAGAGATTGCAAAACTTTGCTTGGGGTTCAAGTGCCATCACATCTTTCTCTTTGTCACCGTTGAGCACCCTTGTGCACAGAGTTCGTGTGTACTCACTAAGGGCGCTGTTTGGCTTGGGCCGCATCCAAATTTCTTCATATATGGCTTTCAGTAACACACACGTCTATGGGAAGTGGATTCGGTAGTTTCCCATAGGACAATGCGTTGTCAGCTGTAGCCAAGAAATTCAGACGTGGCTTAAGCCAGACGTCAAGGTCAACTTGCACCAAAACAAGGCAAGCTATTCTGATGTTCCTCTTCACGTTTCTCATTTTCCTTTCTCAGATGGTGCTACGTCAAGGTCCAGCTATTCTGCCAGCCGACCCCAGTCTTGCCAGCCACAGCCCAGTCGTCCTGCCACGACGGCGACGACACGTCGCAATGCTCGCAGTGAGAGGTTATCCGCATTCGTCACCGAGCAGTGCACCGTGCGCGCCATGACTGCCAACCCCCAGAGGACACCACGGGCCCGTACGGCTCGGTTGACACCCTCACCGACGCGGACGTACAAAATACCAGAGATTGATAAACTCATTAAACCAACGTACACGGGGAGTCTTGCGTGGCGAGCACTGGCCAAGTCTTAGTTGAAGATGTCTGAGACTGAGAGATGGATTAGGAACTGTCAAGATCTTTGAAAAGATGAAAGGCGCAGGGTGTGTAACTGTGAGCCCGACACTGCGGACTGGTGCAAGAAATCAAAGCTATAGAGTGTCACCATTAAAATGGTCATTGTTTGTCTTTCCTACATAGAAGAAATATTGACATCTCGAGATTGTGTGACCGTTGAGCTGATGAAGTTTGCAGTGAAACACTGAATACTCTTGGGGAAAGAACATCGGATGAAAAACTTGTTGCTTAAGAACTTCTTGTTTTTTTTCTCCAGGGGTTCAATTTATACAAAACAGAATTGAACGATTTCTGTTGGGAATTGAGAAGTTCATTTACGGTGCTGATTTGATATAACTACTGCAAGGGGTAAGGGTAGAGGAGGCATTTACTTCCAAAATTTTCGTCTTTTATGACGACACTAAAAAAAATGTAAGTAATGTTTGTGTTTTATGCAACTTGTTCCATGGAACATGGGGTTCTTTCCTGCAAAAAGTGCTTCGCACACTTATACTGGTATGGGGGCTTGTGTGGGCTTTATGTACATTGAAATTTGACATTATTCAAGCCCATAATTGATAGTTTTATTCTGCTATTTTGGTTAAAGTGGGGTTATTATTTGGGCCATTTTACTGTCCATCACAAGTTTCTCACAACTTTACATTGTGTGAACCAGACTTTAAACACAGTACTTCACACTGTATGGCATTTCCGAGTACTATTTACTGTCGAGCAAGTAACTTGCAATGGGTGTCAGTTATGTGTGTACATTTGAATGAATACTAAAACTTGGAAACCGGGGTTCAACAGAATTTCAGTAATATCCTACAGGCATAAGTAGTTTCCCAAAATGGTCCTTTTTATGTAAATTGGGTTTTGGCGCTGGCAAGACCAAAATGCTATTTTGGGATATCTCTTTATAGTTTTTATGGGTAGTAAAGATACACACGAATGGAAAGCTGAAATTCATTTAACCAAAACAAAAAAAAACTAGACAGAAGATATGTTTGTGATGTATATATACAATATGTACAGACATGCTGAGTTTATTTATGAAAATCAGATATTTTATGTAAAAATATGAACAGAAAGCTTGAATATTTTGTTAAAAGGGGCATTATTTAATAATGTTCTAATAAATATATATCAAGAATGTTGTGGATTTTAAACAATGTGGTGTTGAGTTACTGTCGGTTGAAAAGGAAAAAAAAATGTAGCAAACATAAGCCTGATCTATACAGGTTCCTCCCCCCCCCCACCCCCCCCCAACCCCCCAACCCCCCAACCCCCCCAATCTTGTAAATATTTGATTAAATCAAGCAGTGCTTAATTGTAAGTGTCCTTCAACTTTTAGAAGAAACCTTTAACAATTAAAGTTTAAGGCACATAAAATACAATCCATATTTTCTAACCAAAATCCACCAAACTCCAAAACTCACATTTTGCACTATTTTGATGGATTTATCAGCAATGGCTGTGATGGATTTCAGTGGATTAAGGGAACTTCCAAGCAAAATTGCTGAGAAAGTTCAGGACAAATTTAGAGGTTGTCGATCAATTACCATTCACGTAAGTTTAGCAGGTAGAAGGCGTGGACGCTGTATCTTCCAAAGGTCCGTGCCTGACGTCCATTGAAAATATTGTCAATAGTCGCCTACATCCCAGTATAAAATGTTTCAACTGCTATTGGTTCTTTACTCCATAAAAAAAAAAAAAAAGTTCGCCTCCGGATCCCAAGTTCTTATGTCTCTCATTTCCAGTGAGATCATGGTTTGAAACAGAGAGCTCACCTCAAAATGCAAAATGCTTACTGGCTTTCTCCACACAAACAAGACTTGGTCTTCAACCAATCATTGAGTGTTAGACATGGTTGCAAATACAATCCAAGAGCCTCCAGCTCATTGGCTGGCCCGCAAACACAGCAGTAAGGATTGGCCAATCAATGGCTCTGTTGTTTAATCATCGTCGGACGAGTCTCCTTGTGGTTCTTGAGGTGGTTGCTGGGCACCGACTGCGGTCAAGAGATCCGTCCCCTGGTCAGATTGTATTCTTTCTCCTGTGAGAAAAAACAAACAAGTTGCACAACTTGATTGTATTACATTGTATTACATTGAGTGACATGTGCAAATACAATTGTAATACACTGTTGATACAATCCATAAAACTGGGAGTAACAGGAAGGATGGTTTGGGGCAGAAACAGGAACTGATGAGTTAACCCTCACAGATCATTATAATGTAACCAGCTTCTGGAGGATTTTATTGGCCTGAGGAAGGTAGAGCCCCAACACTATTCTTTAGAAAGCGGCTTGATCCCCCACGAAAGTTGAAGTAAAAAGAACAAAAAACCAGGAGTCATGTCCACTTTGCCAGCAGACTACTTTGCCAGCAGTCCGTACATTATCGATTCAGATTGTGGGGAAGGAACCAGCCTATTCCACGAGATTGAAGTTATAGTTTGGCAGTCGTTAATTGGAGATTTTAACCAAACATGGGCCGATTTTTCCGGTTGATGTCTCATCCAAAGTGAATAACATTTGTATTGCTAGAAAAATAGAAATTTACAAAAGGAATCTATTTTTCGGGACGAAACTCAAAAGTAGCATGGGGAACGCATCTTTAACTGAAATGCCAAAACCCAATTCCCACGGTAGCAAAAATTAACTCTGAACTTACACACATTTTGAAAAACAATACAGCATATCATAAAACACTCACGGATAAGTTCTGCAATTGCTCTTTGTGTCCTCCTCTCAAGTTTTTCCAGTTTGGGGGCGATGTCTCTCTTCAGATCCCTGTAGAGCAAAGAAAATAATCGTCCTTCGATCATACTTTACACATTCTCATTTCATGTGTATCTGAGAACAAGCCAATTGGAGGACAAGAAAGGTGGCATTTTCAAAAAAATACATAAATTCATCTTCCTCTGGCCAGAATACAGAACATACCAGTCAGGTTTTCTCGGTGCGAGGTTCACCAGATCAACTTCCTCCACAACCGGGGCCGGTTTGGCAGCCTCAAGCTGGTCCTTGATATGTTCCTCAACTACGACAAAAAAGCAAATCAGAGTTTCAAAAATGTATCCGACGTTTTTTCTCTTAATATTTTGGTGGTTGAATGAACGGAAAGAATGTTGCATCCTGACGCCACTTTTTTTCAATATACAAATCTCGATAAGTCAAACCCGAAGGGAACAGGTTCAAAATTTGACTTAAGCAGAGTTTTGAGTTGAGCAGGGTTCTATATCAATGTTATACTACTGAAGGAAACGGATTCTTTGTTTGACTTAACAGTAATTTTGAGTTTTCAGAGTTTGACTTATCGAGATTTCACAGTGTAATCTCAATGAAGGTCAGTCATTGCAAAAATGTTGAAAATACATGAATCTGGGACTGAGAAACATTTCCAATTTTGTTAGAAAACACTTTGAAAATGCACTCGACTCTCTTTGTACAATGAAACAAACTAATTTTTTAAAACAATTTCTATGTACAACATGTAAAACAATACAGTTATTTTTCAGTCTCTCGATGGCTTGTTGCTGAAATATTCCAAGAAATATCCTGAATAAATGAAGGAAGAGGGAGTGGTTTTTCTTGGACAACTGGTCGGTTTTGTACTTTGATGCCCAAATTAGGCATAAAAAATTTAAACTTCAGACTGACCTGACGGCAGTTGTGCTTTGGGTAATAACTGCTCCTTCAGTGCGTCATCACCGGGATTGTAGTTCTTGAACACTGGCTTCCTGCACATAAAAAAATAATGAGCTGTAAGTAATTTCTGAATAATTACTTAATTAAAAAAAAAAAAAATTTAACTTCAATCACCTCCATCTGATACATCAGTGCCATAACTTTAAAAATCCGCCAAAATCCAACACTATGCAGCAAAACAATGACACTTTCTGTACATTTTGTCCCAAAAGAAGGAAAAGTTGACTTTTTTGGGGGGTAATTGTACCTTTCTTCAGTGATTTGTTCATCTGTGAGCTGCTTCTTGGCCGGTGGTTCTGTATTCTCTGTATCCTTTAAATAAGAAAGTCATGATAATTGATAAATCTTACTGGTGTTATGATGAGCAAGGAAGGCAAGATTTAACTTAATAAAAGAATGTCTTTCTATTTTTGGCATGATGACTGTCGTGGTGTCTAATCCCATCTTTCAATTAGTTTTTTTTCTTCAAATTTTAATATTTGTGATGAATCTTTACCCTAAAAGTTAAACCAGGAACAGTAGCATAGCGATTTTTTTTTTACAGGGTTACAGTCATTACATTTTAAAAATTAACAATGGCTAATTTTCATATGCCAAGTTTGATCGTCTAATAAAACTGAACTTGCATTTTAAAATAATAAAAATGTTTCTATGATTTCTTTAATTTTATTCCATTATTTTGGCACCAGGTCCAAGACTGAGTGATATTGGCCTAGATTAACACATGTAACATGACGCCAGCTTTTTTTTTTAAAACTTAGTAAGAATAAGCATAGCTCTATAAAGCACACTTTAAAAAAAAAGTAAGACCAATTCCTGCTGTACACAACAGATGCATGCATCATCTGCATGGCGCCCTCTCTTGACAATAAGTACAAATACAATGGCCGACACTAGAAACAAAGACTTCATATGGAAATTTACCCCTTTATACAATACACTGAGTTCAAGAAAGTCACACCATAAGATTTGTACATTACAAAATTTACTCCGGTACCTCTGATTCAGGCTGTTGTTTCTGTCTTAACGCTTTTAAACGTTCTTTTCTCCGCATCGCTTGCTCTTGCATCGATCCGACGGGGGTCGCCATGTTGAATAGTTCAAGGAATTGTGGGAAGTATTCTCTTTTTTTGGTAATACATTTTCATTATGACACGAAACTTTAGAAGTACGTTTACAGTTTTGTTCGAAATTAAATTTTCTATGAAATATTTATTCAATAAACTTAAAATATGTTCGACAAAAATATTAATTACTAAAATAATTTTTACATTAAACTACTGACCAATCACACGTTGCCAAACGACATCGGCGGCAAAACCAAACCACCAATCACAAAATGGGATAGAGGGCATGTGATTAAACTCCCGCGAAAGTTGGCCAAAAAAATGCCAGCTGACCGGGGGAGATTGTAAACAACCGGGTTGGCCAAAATGCAGTGCTGATGTAGTCTACTAAAAAGTAAAACAAAGGGCTTGGGGATATGGAAAAATGAAACCACCCGTAATAACTAGAAAATAGTTTGCTTCGTCGCATATTTACTCAGCTGCATGTTAAAATGGATAATTTTCAGAAGATTGAGAAGATCGGTGAAGGAACGTATGGAGTCGTTTACAAAGCGAGAGACCGAGAATCCGGAAAAATGGTTGCACTGAAGAAAATCAGACTTGATACGTGAGTGGCTTATGTGATGATGTGAAGGCCAAGAAAAAAAGTGTTGTGTTTCCTAGGCCTAACTCAGTAACTGTGACTAGTATTAGTGTTATTACATTGAACAAAAAAAAGGTTCTGAAGGTGGGATGGGTGGGTAAAATCTGTCGTTAATTTTGCTCCAAACACTTTGCCTAAACCAAGAAAAAATTGGGTGGGACTAGCATGACTAGACTGCGAATTTCAATTAGGGCCTACATGAATGATTTTGGTTGATTAATTTTTTTGGGGGGGGGGGAGGAGTGTGTGTGGGGAGGAGTGGGTTGGGGGGGGGGGGGGAACACAGGTTTGCAGTGCAATGGCTACATCTTGTGCCCATGTCATGTATTCACAACCAGTGAAGGCGTGGACGTAACTACTCGTAATAGCTCAAAATACTGATGGGAGATTCAGCTACATTAATGACACATGCGGAGAAGTCGCAACGATCCAAAGGTACTTTTTGATGTAACTAATTGTGAACTTGGTAAGGTTTCTACATGGATCAAAGCAAATAAATTAACTGTCAACATAAGGAAAACAAATTTTATGATATTTAGCAAAAAGAAATACCGAATAACCCCTGACATATTTATTGACAATTAACATTAAAATCAGCCAGACTGACTCGGTCAAGTTTTTGGGACTTCATATTGATAATAATCTCTCTTGGAAAACACATATTAACCATATTTGTTCTATTATATCTAAGAACATTGGCATTATTTGCAAATTGAGAATTTTTTTTCCATTTGACATCTTAATGACTTTATATAATACATTAGTTTTACCTTACTTAACATATGGCATACTTGCATGGGGTCATTGTGGTTCTGGTCTGATGAATAGGATACTTAGACTTCAAAAAAAAGGCTTTGAGAATAATCAACTCCACAACTTTCCAGGAGCACAGTGATCCTCTTTTTCAGAAATGTAAAGTATTGAAAGTAAATGATATTTATTGCCTTCAACTTGGAACCTTCATGCATCAACTTAATAATTCTAAACTACCCAAATCTATCTGTTCAATGTTTATAAAAAATGAGAATATTCATCACTATTTTACAAGGCAATGTACTGAATTCCATCGGGTATTTAAGCTTGCTTCAATGACAGTAAAGCATGAGGGTCCCAAATTATGGCATTCACTGGATACGTCATTAAAAAATATTTGTAGTCAATCATTATTTAAACATAAATATAAGGCTCACTTGCTGAATGATTACTTATAATTACTTAATCATGTATAACGGGTTTACTACTCGTCAGGTTACTCGTCATGTTCATGTTCCCTTGTAGTAAATTGTCTGGTGTATCTGTATGTGTTATGTGTATGTAGTTTGTGCATGTGTGTTAAATGTAATTGTTGTAACTCACATTAAATGAACAAATCAAATTAACTTTTGGGGTCACTACTCGACAAGCCTTGCTTTTTAGAGACCCCCATCCACATTATTATGATCTTATGATTTTCTCTGCATATTGTTCTGTATTGTTATGTGGTAAATAAAGTAAGATTGATTGATTGATTGATATGAAGTGACATGCTCTCATTCCCCTTGGATCTGTCACTGCCTCGCCACAGCCTTGGCAACAGCAAGGAAAGCTGGCAAATATTTATTGTATTCTTAACTTTCTTTTGACCTTTTTATCATTAAAAAAATGTAACATAATTTTTCCAAATTGAATGCAGGGAATCTGAAGGAGTTCCAAGCACAGCGATCCGGGAGATTGCACTCCTCAAGGAGCTTGATCATTCAAATGTTGTCAGGTAAACACAACAGTCATTGCCATCAAAACAACTCAAATTTTGCTTGAAATGGATACTTCGAGAAATTTCTGGAAGTCAATTATAATTTTGGGTGAATAATTTTGGACAATGATCTTTCTATTTGAATTTTGTAGATGACCAACAGACCTTAGCTTTTTTGTTGGCAAGGATTATGAATTCAAACTGAATTTTAAAAGAAGCATTTCACTTTTGTTACTTTTCTTGAATATTGGAAAAATGTATTCAATATAGTTTTTTTTTTGCATTATTTATAAGGTTCTATTAGTAAGTCCTTTTGGTTTTTCTTACCCCGCAGATTACAAGATGTAGTTCACAATGATAAGAAACTGTACCTCGTGTTTGAGTTTCTTGATCAAGACCTGAAGAAGTTTATGGACAGCTCTACGCTAGGCTTACCCATGCCCCTAATAAAGGTATGACGACTGTGTCTTGTGTTTTAAATCCCTCGCATTAACATCTTTGCACAGTCTTATTTTATTAAAGGGAATATACATCATTTGCTTTTGCTGTAATTTTCAGAAATGGATGGAATTGGGGGGTTGGAAATATATAGCAAATATAGTTACACTGACTTTTTTGAGGTTTTGGGTTCGAAAATGCTATAAAAACCAAGAAAAACGATCATTTTCTTGTAGTCTGGTTCCCTGACTCCATATAAGAAGAAACAGAGCAGTTTACATACATTGGGGAATTGTAAGGTCAGGGAACCAGTCTAGCTGGCTCGTACCCGTTTATAGGTTTGTAATCGATTGCAAACAAGTGCGATGGTCAATTGGGGCCAGTATTTGAAAAAAAGCCAGTTTTTTTCCAACGCTGATCAGCCGATCAGCGTTGGAAATTGATACAAAAATACCACTTTTCTTGAAAATGACAGTATACCAGGTGCCATGATTTTACAGGATGCTTTACACTGTCATTCACTAACAGTCCAGCAAGGTATTTCAAAATGATTTGGTAGTTGTATTTTTTTATGTTTGCAAATGTTGTATTTTCCCTTTAAAAGTGAGCCTCATCAGTTTTTCTCTGTGGTTTATTATCTTTTTGTTGATTTACGTGTGTTTTTCTCACCGTTTGAAGTGACTGGATATAAAAAAATAGATACATTAAATTATACATTTATCATTTTTTTTCAATTTTTTTTTTTAATTATTATTGCATTTTGACATGATTGACAAAAATATTAATGGAAGAATTATTTAATTATTGTGTGAACTTTTTGATGTAAAAACCCTGTGTTTGAAAGGAGTTTAAGTCTGCGTGTAATATTACTTGGCTCCTGCATCAATTACACAAGGCGTCTATGGACGTGGCTGAATCCACTTCCCATACACTGTAGGTGGAGGCAGGCTAATGTTATTCGATGAAAACATCTATTCATTTGCACCCAGTTTTCATCTGTTGCTATATGTGTTACCATTCAGCACTCCAGACTCAAGCACCATTGAGTTTCAAGAACATAGGTCTGGGACCGACCTATAGACATTTGTTTTTCTGCTGGTCTTAGCCAATCGTAATTCAAAATGCAGCTTAAGTAAATCTTTTTTTCTAATCTTCTATTGCAGAGTTACCTTCATCAGCTTCTGAAAGGCGTAGCGTATTGCCACTCACACCGAGTCATCCACAGGGACTTGAAGCCCCAAAATCTCCTCATCGACAAACATGGTAGCATCAAATTGGCGGATTTTGGACTTGCGAGGGCATTTGGGGTACCCCTTAGGACATACACACACGAGGTAGGAACATCTACTTGTAATTTTCAAATATTTCAGTTTGTCTCAGGAATATTGGTTTTTAGGTTGACCATTCTAAATTACTGCGTTCTAAGCAGAGAAAGACAACTTCAGTACTGTAATTACAAATGACAGATTGAAAGTAGACACAAAACCTGCTCGAACAAAACATACCCAGTACAGTCGATTTGAACTGTCCCATACACTGAAAATGTATTCACAGTACAATATTTGTTTCAGAAAAATATGGTAAATAGTTGTTAAATATCCAGTGTCTCTAAAAGTTTGAGATTTTTTAAACAGATATTTTTGGGGTACATTCCCATAAATATAACATTAATGCGAAACTTTTTCATTTCATTTTATTTTCTCAATTCATTTGGCCTTATTGTGTTATTGTTGTTTCGCAGGTTGTCACGTTATGGTATAGGGCAGCTGAGATTCTGCTAGGATGCAGGTTTTATCTTCCAGCAGTTGACGTTTGGAGCATAGGCTGTATTTTTGTTGAAATGGTATACTTTCTTTTCACTGTAAATGTTGTCTTGGCCTGACAATTCCCTGAGTGTATAAATTGTTTCACTTCATCTGAAGCATCAGGTCAGGGAACCAGACAACAAGAACAGCGTTTTTTCTTTTTTTTTTCTTGCATCCATGAACACAAAACTTTGAACAGCTCAGTGGAACGATATTTGCTATAAAAAATTCTAACCCCCAAATCAATCCACTTCTGAAAATTACACAAAAGCAGATTTCGTGTGTTACCTTTAAAGAATAATATTTTCAATGGTATTGGCAACAAGTCTTTTTACACATAATTATTAAAGTTGAACTGTCATCAAGTGGAGCCTGGGCATTTTGTTTTATTCCAAAGATTCCACCATGGATAAAATTTCCAACAATTAGGTTTGAGAACAAATATAGCAACACACAATGCGTTTCAGATATGAACATTACATAAACGGACTGATCAAATTTGTTTCATCAAGTAGTTGAAACTAGACTCCATTTACACAAAAAGTACGTAACTACATGTACAATAAAACATTTCCCAAATTGTCCAATTGTATGAATTATTTTTTGACAATTTCCATGTGTTTTTGTTGAAATACTATTTTTTGTGTGATTTTTCTTTCCAGATAACAAGAAGGGCATTGTTCCCTGGAGACTCCGAGATCGATCAACTCTTCCGCATCTTCCGTACCCTAGGCACACCAGACGACACTGTGTATCCTGGCGTCACCAAGCTCCCAGATTACAAGTCAACGTTTCCTAAGTGGAGAAAACAAGACCTGGGTAAAGTTGTCCCCGTTTTGGACAGCGAAGGGAAAGACCTATTACAGGTGAGCTGTTTTCAAGACTTCTAAAAAAAACGAAGCTAATTTGGAGAAACCTTTATCAGGAATTTTTTAATATTTATCTTGCTGAGATTTTTTTAATATCAAGTTTAAAACAGATGGGCTGAGGAATGTTCTACATGTTTTTATACGTTTTAAAGATACTTTACATAAAGTTACAGCTAGCATATGTGTAATGAATTCATATGACAAAGAGGTGTTGAATAATTAAGGAGTAGCTATAAATTTAAACCATCATGCAATGAATTTTTCTAAGGAACACATTTTGTGCAACTTTCTGCTCCTCTTAAATGTATGAAAACTGTTTGACATACATTTTTTGATTGATTGTATTGTATATATTTGCTCATTGGCTTGCTGCCATGTACTGACACAACAACGAATCACCAAAGAAAAGAAAATTTACGATAGCAAAATATCCAACATTTTAGCAACTTTTTTTTGTACTGTAGTAGCTGTAACATTGAGGTTACTGCCCGGAATGACATCACACTTTTGCTCATGAATATTAACAACACAAAAATGCACCAAAATACCCTGGCAAAACGAAAATTGAAAATAAGGTTAAATGTGACACATGGGTGGATTGCATTAAAACAATTACATTGCATGGGCCCTTCAACTCCAATTACTGGGCATCTCTTGTATTGACAATCGTATTTATTCCAACCCAACAGAAAATGCTGTGCTACAATCCTGACCACAGAGTATCAGCAAAGGCTGCCTTGAGCCATCCCTTCTTCAATGATGTACAGCTGATCAAACCTCAAAACATGGATTCCTGATGGACAAATGCTCTCCACCAATCAGTCTGGTACACGGATGATGTGTCCTCAGACCTACGTATTCTATCCCTGGTTGTGTGGATATGTGTACTATATGGAACTGAAAGGGTCACTTGCTGAACCAAGTACTGCAAACGGTTAATCTTTGGCAGATTTGGTTGTCAGATCGTCGAGATGTAAATGAAGTACAAAAATGCCGACCCGTCTATGTCAAGCAAGGACAAGATACATATGTACCAACTGATAGAAGTGCTGTGAGGAGGCTATACAGGAATTTGGGGAGACCAAATTTTAATCATTTAGCCCTCCGTATGGATGTTATTTATTCCCGGTACTATTCATTGTGTACTCTCCATTTGAAACACAGAAACAATTATGAGGAAGAAACCGGGCCATTCCATAGCTGTGTGAGCCATGACTCGAAGTCTCATACAGCAGCTGACCCTTAATTTTCCCACACTTATGGAAAACAAAAATGTCTGCTACAAGGCAAGCACAGTTTAGGTTCACGTTTTGTTTGATTAAAAAAAGAAAGCTCAGAAAGAGGAATTCATTTGAATCTCCTCAAATTGTGGAAAATATGTATGAACCCACCAATCCAGGCACGTTATTCTGTCACGAAGACCCCTTCAAAGGCAAAGGCATTGTGTAGCTATTGTTAAGATAATTTGTCATTGGGGCAGTAGCTTTGCATAATAGCGTGCACAATGGTTTCACCATTGAAGGGGGCCTCATTTGTGTACAGACAATGATCACGTGCCTGGATTCCTCTGTAGTATAATATCTTACTTTGGATCTGTCGACCAAGTAGTTGTCTTTTGTCTTTACATGAGTATAGCAAAGCAGAATTAGTGGGAGGAAGAACAGTGCACAGTGTGCAAAATGATGTTCTCATTTGGTCAGTCATTGAAATGTGGAAAACGTGACACACCCCAAGACTTTAGTGCCTTTTATGAAATTCTTTAGCGTGTTTTGATTCACTTTATGAAGGTTTTAATATTAATTTTGTTTTAATGTATTTATTTATTTGATTTTTTAATTTGGGAGGGGAGGGAGGCTTGGGTTATTCTTTCAATTTTTTGTTTTTTGATTTTAAAATCATTTGGTCTGAATTCCAGGTGTTTTCATTAATTTTAGATTTGATGAAAATCATCCCGTGAACTTAGTGGTTTTTTTTTATTTGTATGTAGTCGTACTGCTCATTACCTTGATTAAGTACTTTCAAATAATGTGTTTGATGCAAGTCCCAGCTTGTATGAGCAGTAAAAACACTGTCTAGATGTGTTTATGAGTTTGCTGCTTGTTTTATGCATGTTTGTGCATACTCAATTTATTCCATCGATTGAGCCGTGTATGTTTTCCTGTGAACTCTATGTGGACGTCAAGGTCAGATCATATGGCTCTTGTATTTGGACATGCATAATTAAGCTTGCCTGACAAAGGATTGGCTCGTTTCCAGAATGTTTCTCACTATAACCATCTGGTTTTAATGATTCCATTTTTTAATAAAATCAGAATGATGCCTGAATAAATAGAATTCTACACACGGTGCAAGTCATTTAGCTGCATTGCCAATCTCTGCACATATGACTATATGCAATAACTTATGTTGAGGAGTTGTTTAAAGGCATTTTCAGACTCCAAGTGCAAATTTTAGGGGTAAATGAGTGTTTAAAGAAAGTCTAAACAGTCTTTATCCTTCAATTTTAATATGATTGTTCACACACCTTAGGGAGTTGGGGTTAACAAAACCACTGCTTACATTTTGTGTCGTTTCAGTAGGTGTTCTAGGTCAAGGGTCAGCCAAAGACCTCTTCAGCTGAAGTTTTAGAAAAAGATATGCAAACAAGTACAAATCGGAAGTTCCTACATTCTAAGTAGGCCAAGTAACTTAATTTGAAGCATTTATTTTAAGATGAAACTTGGACAAGCCTTCAAAATTCACTTGTGTTATCCATTGTGAATGTTAATCACCAATCTGATATAATTTGGTTGAAAACACTGAAATAATTCAGAACAGAATATTAAGGAAGTTAAGAAACAGATGCTTTTCATTCTTCAATAGTATTTGAAAGAGACTTTTAAACCAGATTTCTACATTCACTAATATAACTTCACTACTTTAGAAGAAAAAAGAAGATAACTTTAATATTTATCACACAACATTGCATAATATAATATAATTTACAAAATAGTTATTACGTAACGTTGACTACATTAATATAAACTTTGTGATTATAAACATATACTGTTTAAGGACAAAAGATATTCAGGTCCTGAATTTGTTTTGCCTTAGTGTTTCGTGTAGCTGTGGATGGAGAAATTGTATGAATCTTGTCATATATTAGTTCATAAAAGCATTTGCAATTTGGTTACTGAACTATTACTTTTTAAAAAGAATTTTACCCCCAAAATGTAAATTTTGTGTGATTTTTATACATCGATGTTACGTTTTGAATTTCAATTTACCACTGTTGTGCTGTGTCAATGCGAAAATAGCATTCAAAAATGGTAATTTTTTTTGTACAAAAACGCTGTTGTGTTTTCTAATTATTGATGAATATGTACACTTACACTTCGCATTGTTTGTAACGGTTTTATATTTAGTTCCATCTATTTGAATAAATTATACGAACGGGAACACCTTCTTTTAAAGATAAAACGCTTGGAAACTGTCTTTAGTGTCAGATTATTTTAAAAATTTACCTTTGGGAATTAGGAGGGGCCATTACAAGAGAAACTATTCTTAAAAGTGAGAACTTGGTAATTATTTTAGAACGGTAAGGACATGCGATCCGTGATATTCAAGTTGACTTGAAATAGGCCTTAGGGGGAGTCGGTTCCAGCAAGTGCATTCGGATTTTAAATAGGTTCCCTGCAACTTGACCCATAACCACCCCAACCCTTTAAAATCCAACTGCATGTTTTGTTGGAATCTGTTGGAGTGAGTACTGCACTACTAAACTTATTATAATACATGGGGTTATACCATCATAATCAGAGTCCAACAGTTTGGGTGTCGAGTTTACCATATGGTATTGGATTTTGCAAGAATGAGGAAGGTTCCTTAATTAATGCAATGTCATTTTAGAGCACCTATCGTTCGGCACTCGTGCAAAGTTTTCCCGCACAAAGCTTATACACCGCATTCATGAATAGATACATGTACCGGGTACAGTCGCACACCTTTATAACAAGGTCCTTGGGACTTTACAAATTACCATAACAGGTAGCTTGCATTATATCAGTATAAAAAAACGAAGAAAAGCAAAGACTCGGGACCTAAAATTGTCCTTGTTAATAGATGTTGTATTAGTGCTCTTATCAGGGTTCCTATAATTGAAATGGAGACGTTCCACGAGCTCCCTTGCCTTTTTCTTTAAAGTTGCATACTCCGAGATCTTCAAAAAATTGATTTCTTTTTCCTGCTAACGAAGTTTGAATTTGTTTGTTTTGTTTTAACGAAAAAACTACTTGATTCCGATTTCGGGCGTCTGCAGCTCTCTGAAAAAAGGGCTTTATTGCGCACAAATGAACCCGCCCTATACCCTACGAGAGCCGATTGTCTGGCACTCAGCCATTTCAATTCGATTTTAGGAAGTAATATCAGCACTAATAACGTCGCAGATTTTTTTCGTTTGAGGCAAATAGCAAAGTCTATTTTTCGAGGTGAAAGTCAAACGCATTTTTTCAAGACTTCTTTTAGTAATTTTCTCTCCCCCATTCTGTAGAAGACCTTCGACCACAGCATTTTGGTACCTTAATTGTTGCTAAAGGCAAGGAAACGCAAACCCTTTTTCGCTCGTTCATGAATATTCGTTGTAGGCACCATCAGTACATGTTTAAGTCTGTCCCCCCTAAATAAAATTAAACTCGCTCATTATGCGTCCACTGCATAAGATGTTATGTAACTTTTACTGCGCCAGACAGTTGTACCAGGAGATCACTGGGATGTAGCAAAAACGGCATTGTTATTCAGAGCAGGTGGAATAAAAGGCGGCAATAACGTAAGCGCACGTGACGTCCCATCAAAAGCAACCTACCATACGTAAGTGCGCGCAGACGAGGTAATCAATCATCAGTGTCGAATGCGGAAATTCATAAACAACTTGACGTAGCATAGCAATAAAGGTGAGTTATGATGCAGACCAAATCTATACCAAATATCTTTCAAATTTCTATACCCATTTGGTCTGATCACTGGTTGAAACGATCATTTCATCTAGGTTTTGTCAGTTGTGTATACAATTCTCACTTCTAATAATACCATGCATGAAAATTGTCAAAGTCGTCAACGATGCTCGATCTGAGTGCCATTCGTTCAGTTCACTTTATTTCCACAGTGTTCACAAATAAAGAAATATGTAAAAGTACTTTAATATTTACATTATAAATTGTAGTTGGATGTTTTGAATGCCTAGGGTCAGTAGGAGGAGTTTTAGCATCACAAGACGAGCAAGATTTGCTTAGATATGGCAATATGACAATGTACACAAGCGGTCCCTAGATCATCGCGTGTATATGTGTCATGTTCCAATATGTAGAATCCACTTCCATGATTACTTATTACTGCTGGTACGCTTTCACGAGCTTTTAATTGTGATTGCTAATTATTGAACCTAGCTTCACAACTACAAAGGCCGGACTTCTGTGTTCTGTTTAACGTGGCACCATTGACATTTGCCTAGACAAACATGTGTAAACCAACATTTATGGACTCAAGTCAAACAGAAAAGGTTTATTGCACTGAAAAGTGGGGGGAGGTAAAACATTTACCACAAGGTATTTTAGGACCTCATTTGGCTAAAATTTTGGAATTTTGGAGGCTGGAAGGAAAAAAATAATACAAATTTTATTTTGAATTTTTCAGGAAAATTTTTGTTTGCAACTTTTCTGGAACATTTTAAGAAGCGAAAGCAAATTTCAAATAACTCTATAACTATATCTTGCTTTAAATTTGTCGGAGTGAAGGTAAACATCGTCTGATTCTTCCTGAATTTTCAACAGAGGACAAACATGGCGAATGCATTGTTGCAGGTTATCCTTGAGCGCCTGTCTTATAGTTGGTGTGCAATCGCAGCCCGACCCAAATGTCTGCACCCCCCACGGTCCGAAAGGAGAGGGACCGCCCCTTCCCCTTCTTCCAGAACAGTTTATGTTGAAGGTGTGTATAAACACGAGCATTTTTATTTCCTGGGGGATGGGGGGGGGGGGGGGGGTTGTCAATTTTTGTTGAAGGAGATGTCTGTTCTTTTAATTATTTTTAATCAAGACTGTTTGGTAATCTTTTGAAGTATTGACTGAAAAGTTCTGAAATGTATTATTTTTTAAAAATATAATATGTGTTTCTTTTCAATTTTGCCAAGTTTATTCTTGAATTTGTGACATGAAATTTTATTCTGATCATTTCAAGAATTTCTCTGATCTGACCATGTTACAACGCAGATGTTGTGGCCATAGACAGCCATGTACATGAACAGTTTTCTGTCATGAAATTGTAAATTTTATTTGTAATATCACCATTTGTTTGGTCTTGAATTTTGTGAAAAAAAGTTAGTTTTGGGCTAAAATAAAATTCTTCAGCAGAAAAATATCGAATTTGTTGAGGATCATGGACAGAACATTGTACATCTTTAAGATGTTTTGAATATAGCATTTTCTTATTTTTTTTCAGTCTCACAATTGTTTTTCTAATATTCTTTACAAATGTGTCTGTTTGAGTCATTCTATGGATTTTTATTTTTTGGTTACATTTACTTGAACAGGTAGAGGCAAACATTCTTGGGTGGAATCATACAATCGAAGTGGTGGAGTACTACGACTCTATCAATAATCGTGGCGCCGTCCACAATATCTATGCTGGACATATTTCACAGACAGTGGTCAACTATGAGACCAAGGAAATCATCAGGGTCAGACCAGGTAGGCTTGTAGCATTTGTTAGTTTTAACATAGACGATTGTTCATAAAAATTACACGATTTATTGAAATTTACACATCTATTTGAAATTTAAAAATACATCATTTCTTTTGTTTTATATGAACAACAAGCAACAAAATTACATCATCCATAAATCCCCCCCCCCAAAAAAAATAATAAACAGAAAAAAAATTGCCCTAAAATGGAGGAAAAGCAAACTGATAGAAAATATAAGTTGTAATGTTCAACAATGTTTGTCAAGGATAGTTTTCTTCTTTTTAAAAAATATTTATTTTAGCAAGACTGCACTGCTAGAAATTTGCTGATTAATTTTGCAGGGTTACAAATTCGTTCTTAAAGGGAATGTACAACATTTGCTTTTGCTGCAATTTTTAGAATTAGATGGATTTGTTGAATGAGTATGCTATAGCAAATACTGTTAAATTGACTTGCGTCATGTTTTGGGTTCGGAGATGCTGGAAAATCCAAGAAAACTAACAATGCTCATGTATTCTGGTTCCTTGACCCCTCTTAAGATGAAACAGAGCAATTTATAGACTTTTGGGAATTGTAAGATCAGAGAATCAGTCTAGCTGGCATGTACCTCTTCACAGATGTGTAATCAATTGCAAAGAAAATGCGGAATAACTTAATTATGAGCAGTTTTTGAAAAAAGGCCAGTTTTCTCCAACGCTGGTCGGCTGACCAGCGTTGGAAAAATACAGTTTTTCTTGACAAGGTCAGCACACCAGGAGCCACAATTTTACAGGATGCTTTTACAGGACTGTCATTCCCTAACAATCCAGTAAAGATATTTCGCGATAATTTGATCATTTCATTTTGTGATGTTTGCAAATGGTGCATCTTCCCTTTAACCAAGTCATCTTTTGTGATTGAAACAATTGGTATTATTAATACTTAAAGACTGTTAACATAGGATTGTTCCATAGGTAAAACACTGGTGTGGCATTCTGGAGGTTGCCGGTTCGAATCCTTCAAAATTTCAGAGGAATTTTGTGAATTTTGTACAGGCGCTGGCTGCCATGTACAAAACCTGACGGCCAATGGTTTCAACATCTTCGGCTTCCAGCTACAGAACGGCACAGCCCACATCGGCAGCGTTGCCGACATCCTCAAGTTTGGCGCCTCCTACAACGAGACTTACATCGGCACCACGTACATCCGGGGAATCCCCGCAGACCACTGGCAGAGCTGTCTGTACAACGAGCAAACCAACGGCACGATGTTGCTGGACTATTACTTCACCGTTCCTGAACACATTAACGCTGAAGGGGATTCCCAGATACCACTCAGATTGGCGCTGAATGGAACAGGTGATATGATTAATTAAGATTGGGTAATTGTTTTCATTACCTTTCTTGAGCAAAATTAAGAAATTACCTGAAAGAAATATGTTACTGTCTGTGCTGTGTTTGACGGAAAGAATGTTGCATCCCGACGCCACTTTTTTCATTGTACAGGGGGAGTGCCAAAAAAAAGCGGAACCCAAACCCCCGAATATATATTTCATATTTTAAAAAAAAATGGTAAATCTCAGTGAAGGTCAGTCATTGCAAAAATGTTGAAAAATTGTGAATTTGGGACTGAGAAAAATTTCCAGTTTTGTTAGGAAATACTTTAAAAATGGTTTTGACTCTCTGTAGACTTTCTACACAACCGCTGAAGTGGATACTACACTCTCTCCTTTGTTACTTCAAGCTTGAATTTTTTTCTAAATTGCTGGGGTTTTTTTCTTCTAGCGATACAAAAGTTTTTCATTTTTGAATGAGACAATAACTAAAAAGGCTCACATTTAGTTACGGAATTTTTATTTTACAAACTTTAAATTATTTGCCTCTTGATGATAAGCCAATTCTTAATTGCAGGGTAGATTAGTTCTCGTGCCCATTTTAGTACTGATCATGTGGGGAAGATCCATTTGTGCATCAAAACGACATGAAAATAAAAGCCTATTTTTAAGAGAAAAAGAACAAAATTGGTGAAAAAAAGTGTAAAACTTTAAATAATGTTCGGTGTTGTTAAGGTTCGGTTAATTTCTTTCTCGAATTTTTTAGCTTCCAACCGAAAGTTCATCCACGGACATGTGGTGCCTGTGAATGGCACTCACTCCTACAGTCACGTGTATGAGTTCTTTGACGTACAGTTTCATCCGGAATTTCCTGATCGCTCATTTGAGGTAAGCTGAAATACTGTTGGTGTACCCTAACGTGGCGTGGCCCTCAGGCCCGTCGCCAAGGAGGGGGGGGGGGGGGGGGGGCTGGTGGGGCCGGGCCTCCCTTGGCGAGCAATAATCCCCCCCCCTCCCCCGGCAAAAGCCAGAAAATATGTATTTTTGTATTGTTTAAAAACGTTTAAGCAGTTCTTAAAATATTTATTTCTCTTGCTGTTTGTCAATTCCTAATTTCCTTTGAAATTTGTGTTTTCTTCACCAAGTTCCCAAATTTGGTCAGTTCTCTGTAAGTGGATCTGCTGTGAGTCTGCATATGTAAGGGAAAAACAGAAACTTGGAAAAAATTCAGTAAAATAATACAAAAGTTTTTGAATTAGATTGAAAAGTACAATGTAAATTGGATCTTGACATAAAGAAATGTTTTCCAGTTGCGCAAAAAAAGTTGATTTTTTAAGGATTTGATTAAAAAAGACAATTGAAATAAAACTATGGAACGCGTGAACACCGGACACTGGCCTTCCCAAACTTAAAAATTTGTAATGCAAGATTTTACGTTAAATATCATGGAGTTATAGCTCCATGCTTATATTGATAGAAGTTTCCAGAAAAATAAATCATGAACAAATGCCTGAATTGATTCTAAATTTTCCTGTCATAATCAGCCTCAACTGGGAGTGGTGTGCCCAGGCCGTAAAAGTCTCAAGCCACTACCGAAGATACCCGATCAGTTCTCCATGAGCGTTGAAGTTGTGCTCCCAGGAATGAAACAAGTCTTCTATATGTCGGTAAGTCATTGCGTGGATAATAAAAAAGGCATCCAGAATATGAAGAGTTTATTTCTAAAGTTAAAAGAAAACAGAATGTGATTCTTGTTTTTCTGTGTGTGTGTGTTTTCACTGAGCAAAAAAATGAACTTTATGTCGATATCTTAAAATAAAATTCATTTTGATAGTCGTGTTTTGGGTTGAAAACTTCCATTAATTGTAGTGGTCCAGAGTAAAGTGAATTCTTTAAAGTCTTTGTACCAAATGTCCAATATTGACTGGTTGCTTTCTATTTCCGTACCTGAGAAAAAAACTCAGACTTTTGCTGCCAACTTATACCAAAAAAGTGACCAATATTGACACAATTCAACATAATTCTCCATTTTGCCTTAACATTGTAGGAGGTTTATAACTACAAGAGCAAGACGGTTGTTGCCTATTACAGTTTCACAATGAATGGTTCCATCGTACCGACGTCGTACCGTTCCATGGATGACTTCAATACTGGTACTTCACTATTTGTTCCACTAATTTGAAGCATGTTTCACGTCTTTAGACAGACAAAGGAGGAAAAAAAATTGCCTTGGGTGTCAGGAAACATACTGTAACAAAAAATACTTCGCCGCCTTTTGTTAAAAAGGTGTGCCAAAAAGGTCCACATTTACCCAATAAATTCTCAGAAAGCCTGCATATTTTAGTTAAAGATTATTCAAATTTATGTTCTGCGTAGTGGTTGGTGGTAAACTTCAACAGGCCTATTATCGGTGATATTTTTATACTTCATTTTTCAAAAACTTTAGTTCATATTCCTAATCCTCATTTTTGTTTTGCAGGGCTGACGTACCGAATCAACCAGAACACTGGTTTTTGCAACGTCACCCCCATATCCCTGTTTTCCTCGGACGCAGAATCGCCCGACCACGTTCACGTTCAGATGAAGAGTATTGCCAGTTTCATTCACTATGACACCCGAGACTGGCAGTACCAAGGAATAGTTAGTACCCAGAAAAAAAATTAATAAAATAATTATATTGCCAAAAAAAAAAAAAAAAAAAAAAAAAAAAAAGGGTCAAAGTATTAGTGATTTTTGTGAGTTGTATATATACCCCTATTTTAAGGGGCACTGCGTCCTGAAATCCCCGAAATTTTCATGTTTTGGATTGTTTAAGGGGAAAAAAAGGGATGAAGATATAACATGTCCATTCTTAAAAGGTGAAATTTATCTTCTGCATTTTGTTATTTTTTGTGGGGGGGGGGGTAAGGAATTGCAAACCATACTGAATTGTTATTACAAATTACAATAGGCAAAGAAAAAGTAGCAAGCTCAAGTTCTGCCTCTGAACATGTTTGGTAACCACCCTTCTCTCAAATCATTAGAAACTTCAGAAATCTGCAAACTTTGGGTTTTGCCGAAGTTCCAGCAGACCTGCAAAATAATTTCTCAAACTTCCTGCAATTATTTCTCTTGCGTTAGACCGAGCTACGTGGAATGCAGGCAGAATCCTGGATTGTGGCCACGAACGAGTGGAAACCAAATTGGCTAACACATAACGCATCATCTCAAGTCAACAGTACCTGGGAATTGTTCTACACAACTGTAAGATAGCTTTTGTCAACTTGTGTTTTCATCTGGGGTAGGGCTGTGCATCGGAACCGGGTACCCGAGTACCCGACCGTTGATGTCAGGAACCGGTTCTAGATTATGGAATCTGGTACCCGTTTGCAACTTAACATATTAATTAGTAATTTCTCAGACGATGAAAAAGAAAGGTTTGAATGCCATTTGTGGGGAATTGTGAGGAAACAAAACATACTTCACATTCATGACGCTCGAGAAAGTTGCAGTTTACATCGTAAAGCTATAAATCTCACTGTACACACTTGTATCTTGCTGTTTTTATGCACCAATGTTCCTGTAGTAGTATTAGCATGTGGACCTTTATGAACAATCTGAACAGCAACTTCCGAGATTTGAATTTTAGGGGTTATTTTTTTTTAACCGGTACCTGGGTACCGGTGTTTTTTTTCAATCTGGTACCCGGCTCCTGTTCTACCTGTAAATGCATACCCCTAATCTGGGACCATGCTCCAAAATTTTATACACCTGATTTTTTTTGGGGATATTATATTACCAAAGTTTTAAAAAAATGTATTATTCACACAAAAACCTAAGATTTGTGGCAAGTTAAACACATCAGCTTGTTGCCAAACCAGTCTTAAATAATCAAACCAGTCTTAAATAATCAATATATGGACTTGATTTTGAAAACTTTATTTTCAAAATGCGATAGATCTTTTTGAAAAAAAAGTGAGAAAGTTGCACGGATGTGAGAATTTATAGAGCATACACAGTATTCATAAACACCTCAGACAGTTTAGCCATTCCTATTGGTCGAGAGCCCGTCACGTGGCCGGTATTAAACGGATGATAAAGACATGGCTAGCTGGTCTTAAACACTTTTCCAGTGTCACAATAAAATGTGGACTCCTAAAAATCCAGTGCCTCTTATCGTTTCATTGGTTGAACGTTCACAATCCTCACGTAGGCATGCGCAACACTACCAGGGAGTTAGAATTTTATAGTTCTAAATTCAAAACGCAACGCGCCAGGTGCGTTCTGCGCGACATCGCATAGAACATGATACGCGCGCGTCAATGTCCATAAAAGGGTTGTTTTCATCTTACTCGCCAGCTGAACACTCCATTATTTTGCAGGAGGGATGATTCAAAAAGCATAAAGTGAATTTGTTGAACAAAATCGGGATGTTTTGAACGAATTATATGATTTTTTTTTACCGAAAAGGTATTTATGAATGGGAATAAATATGTACTCCGTCGGTATTTATCACTCTGTTTAATACCACTTAGAGTCTGGGTGCTGATAATTACCCTCGCCTCCGGCTCGGGTAATTATCAGCACCCAGACTCTAAGTGGTATTAAACAGAGTGATAAAAACCTCCGGAGCACACATTTATTCCCTTATTAAAACAGCTGTTTTTAAACTACATCTTTCGCTTTGTGCTCTTAAACCGTGTTTAACAATATGACAGTCATCAAAACTGACTTTGAAAAAGGTAACAAAATGGCATTTATCACGTTTTGGAAACAAAGCCTTCATTTGAACATAAATTGACAATTTAAATTGTAATTCGTGTCTTCTTTTTTTCATTTTCATTAAGGATGCATGGAACACCCAAGGAGGATTGAATAAGTCCACCAATATGCCCATCATGTCTAAGGTTCATTGGACCATGAAGGTATTTGATCTATTACGCAGCGGGCTCAATTTGTATAGAACTAACTGAAGCTGCAGCCATGAAAATGCAAAATATTATTGTTAACCATCGCATCAAGGTCATTGCTGACATGTTTATGGTTCATCACGTGTGCCCCTCTAATTCAGTTAAAATTATTCATATGATAAAAATCATGTTCGTCTTTGTTCAAAACTTGTTTTTTTTTAATCACCGCTTTACTATTAACAAACAAAAGAGGGACAATAGGGGTCCCTAATTGCAGGCAAATACACACTTGTATGGGTGCGTTTGTTTGTGGTGTAAATCGAGGACACACACGTGCAACATCATCGGTGAATTGAGGACAGGAACCAAATCGAGGACGACCTCGATTAGAAAACGTGTACAAAACCAATGAGAGCTGTTGCGAAAAAGTGAGTACAAACAAAGGAAAAGGGAAGGGGAACAAAAGAAAAACCTTGATTTACACCACAAACAAATGCGCGTGTGTGTGTTCACGAGTTGCCCGACTAAAGAAGCGGTCGACAGGCAGAAAAGCCGCCTCTCGCCTGTGGAGCAGGCGACAGCCTGCAAAGCCCCCGCTAAACCGCGAGGCGAAGTCTCGTTGTTAATATTTTGTTTCTTCTTGTTGTTGTTGTTGAAGACGGACAAAGGCAAGTTGGTTAACGGGAGCTTTGATATGAACCATTTCCACTTTGACACGGCCAATGTGGATCCTTCCCATTTTGACCTCTCCCCGTGCTTCGATAGCGGGAACAGCAAGGAATTTGCCTTTGACATCTTGGAGATGGGTAAGAGTTTCCTTATATGATGGATTTTCCTCCACCCCCCTCCCCCCCCCCCCCTCATTCCTCAATATCTCTCTGCCAAAAAAATTGTAATTTTTCTGGTAAATAGTTTTTTTTCCAGATTTTTTTTCATGAACCTTCTAAACCTTCCCAACTCCATCAAAATCCATACCCCCCCCCCCAATTCGGTGGATTTTAGGGGGATTTAGTCCTGCAAGCCATAAAAAAAGAGGGAAAAAAGAAAGATAACGAGGCGCGATATCATAATGTTGTTAATTGAAAGGGTTAGGGGGGGGGCCAAATGTCCCTGCCCACGCTTGAAAAAATGATAAATCGGGAAAATGCTGGAAAATAGAGGGATTTTTTTTGGGGAAAATGTGCTTTGCCCCCCTCTAGAAAAAAATCTTGGCGACGCCTATGCCTGCAGGCCTGGTTTGACTAAATATTGATGGAGTGTGATGGACTTGGGCCTGGAAGCCTTAAGCAAAGCACACATTGTGAGCAGTGTGATGCATGGATTTGGTGGACTTGGTCCAGTACTTAGTAAAAGACAGTAGGGAGTTGGGATTAAGCAAAATATTTCTTCAACTCTTTAAATAACGTTTAACAGCTTTCTTCCTCAAGTTTTTAACTTTTCACGATGATGTAAGAAAACTGTCCAAACTTTTCTGTAAAATCAGTTCTCAGAAATAAGAACTGCAACAGCACAAATACAAATCAGACACTGAAAAGAGACAACTAAAAAATAAGCACATTTTTGTATTTTTGCATTTAGGTATTTACAACATGGTCATTGCAAACAATACCATTGGATTCTACTATGGAGTGGCGCACAGTCTGGCTACGGCCGCAGGAATCTCACCGACAAGAATTGCAAATGTGTTTGTAAGTTTTATAATCAAGTTTTAAATTAAAATAAACCAACAAAACGTTTTTAATAAGCTTTCCATTTTCTGTTGTGTAAAAAGAGACGTTATTCAACATCCTGAAAGTTTTTCTGATCGGATAAACCTTTTTTTGGTAAAAAAAAAAAAAATTACATTGAAACAAGTCAAACAGCAACTTGGACACTCAAAAAAACTGCTTCTAATAACCGGTACATGGCATTTGAAAATAGGGTGGATAGGTAGAGAATTTTGTTGCCACTTTTTTGTACGATCATATGGAGGCGTCTGCGTGTAATTAATCGGTAAAAGGTAGAAATCGATGGTTTTGGGTGTTTTTTTTCTCATTTTTCCCCCAACATAATTAGGTAAGGGGCTATCAAAATAGGGTAGGTAGGGAAACCGGAAGCAGATTTAAAAAAAAAAAATTTGGCCTTATGATCTCGTTTGACATTTGAAAGGAAATGTTAGAAAAGAAAGACAAATGTGTTTATAAAAGTTTTATAGACCAAGACTAATCTGATCAAATGAAATGTTTTTAAAAAACCATCCAAGTCTTTACCCCCTATGGCCTTAAATGACTACACAAATTTTTAAAAAATGCCGTGATTCTGTTGAATGCACAGGCAGCGGAGGACATCGATAAGGTGACTACGGTTTTCTTCGACCTGCTTGGAGTTCCCGCGGTCAAAGGAGACGCGGTGGATATGATCAAACAGCCGTCGCTGACAGATGCTGCAGTGGCCCTAGAGCTGCTGATCAATAGCGTCAATGCGGAGGAGCCGTTCCATGTCAAGTTTAACTACAATGGCACGGTAAAGATTACTTGTGATATATATTCAAATCATGGTGCTATCCTTTTTAACTCTAACTTCCTTGGGCTGTGTAGTCCACACAAAAAAAAACCTTCCGAATTAACCTAAATCTTCCACTTTGCGGGAAACTGATGGCACATACTTTGTTCTTAAATGTCCAAGGAGCATCAAATCTGTGTAAAGTGACAGTGGCTTGGATCTATAAAAACAAAAATCAAATATTCTAAAACGTTTTGGTGGATTTTTGAAGGATTTGGCAAAGTTAGCTTAAAACTTCATGTTCAAATAAGCAGTAACACATAAGGAAGTCCTTCAAAGTGTTGGGGTTACAGCAATTTAACAATTAAATGGGCATTTCCGTTAGAGATGTTTTGTAATGCGGTATGCGTCGGTGGTAGACGACATAATTTTGAAAATCTGTTACAATAGTTCCCTCAAGAAATGTCTGCACATGCTTGTTAGGTCACAATGTTAACAGGTGATTTTGTTAGTATGAAGTGAAAGCTATCAGCAGAAAATCGGACAAAGAAAAAGTATCGCCAGACATAATTTTACAGTACATATTGTGAAATGTTGAGACACTGTTCAATGCTTCACCCAAATTGAACGAGACATTCATCAGAAAAAAAAAATATATATAGTCTAAGTAATAAATATCTTGGCAATGGCTTACTGAACATTATGCCTGATGAAATATTTCATAGTTTGATACCTACCACGCACTGTTTTATCCAAATTTATAAACAGTGAAATCTTGACAAGTCAAAACCTGTTAACTCAAAAACCCTTCTACATGTAACTCAAAAGTAAAAACTTATCCCCGTCAATTGTTGTTGAATAGAAAATCGATTGGATAACTCAAAACTCTGCTTAACTCAAAATTTGACCCAATTCCCCTGAGCTTTGACTGATCGAGATTCCACTGTATCAGAAATGGGTACAGAGATATGATAGATTTGTTCTGTTTAAAAACTTAACATGTTAAGTGCCCTGTGAACATAAGACAAGTATAGTGAGTAGGTCCTTCCAAGATCTATTAATAAGCCTCTGTACTGATGATGTCGCACTTTGTTTACACGAGTGCTTTCTTATGGGAGCCTGCTTGGGACGACGCTTTCGTAGCCCCGTAGAAAAGCGCACAAGTAAACAACATGGGACGTCACTAGTAAGAGGCTTATTCTTGACAGCGTTTTGAAAACATCTCCGTGCTGGTTTGTTTTCTCAGGAGAAGTCTTTGACTGCGAAGCCCGACACCTTGCGAAACTCCTTCAAGCAAAGTCAGCCTGAAGACAGTGGCTCTCAACAGTTCAGCACTGGTGAGTTTGCTCGTTGGGTTGTTGGGTTGTCTGTTTGGTTGTTTTGGGGAGTATGTTGTTGAGGGATCTCCTCCCTCTGCCATTGCGGTACTTTTGAAGATGAATCAAATTAGGGAAGGAAGAATCATATATCCCGGTTTTGGAGCCAAATAAATTTCTTGATTTTGTTCCTTTCAGGAGCTTTTGTCGGTTTTGGAATCGCCATGCTGATAATCGGAGCTGTGCTGGGTGTTGGCATCTTGGTGTTCCTTCACAAGCGGAACAAACTGAACATTCCTTACAATGTGCAGTCTTAGGCGGCCCATCTTGTTTGGATAAGTTTGGAAATGCAGGAGAAAATAAAATCTTCTGTAAGTAATCAAATAATATCTCTGGACATTTTTTCCCTGGCATAAAACTGTCTTATCCTTTAGTGTAAACTAAAATCATTTTAACAAGTGTCTTTCAGCTATTAAAAGATCTGATATTTAATATTTTTTATGCTTTGGTTGGATTAAGTGTATATATGTTACTTTTCTGAAAGCGTATATGGAGCAATAACTGTTACTACATGTACACAATTTGGGACTAGAACATACAATGTATGGTAAAATTCTAACTTACATTCCATAATCTAGGTTTTTTTTTAATGATTTTGATTCAACAACTATTCAATTTGTATTGAATATGCCTTTGAGAGGATTTAATGTATTTCCTTCATATACAGTAGTGACTTTTATTTGATAGAAATAGAGATGAATTGAAAAGGAGCCGTTGGGCAAGGGTGTAATGTGACTGATTTTACAGAAACAGTTTAAATTAACATTATAACTTAATTTTCAAATATCAAACTGATATTAAGAAAGTTTATAAAGAAATATGCAGTCGTAATCAAGCCATCACACGTCATGTGGCAAGTCATGTGGCAAGTCATGTGACAAGCTATTATATTCGTGAACTGTGACATTTCTTTGTCATTTTGTCGTCCTGTTACTTGTGTCTGGACTTGTGATGTGGCTTGCTCCGGAATTATGAAAATAATTGCATTTCCAATTTTTATTTTGTATAAATGATGTGTGCAGTGTTCCCTAGGTTTTCAAGAAATTTACGGCCTTCGAAAAATAAAGGTTTTTTTTTGGCAACCCAGTCAATGGAGGTGATGTATTATTATTATTTCTTTTTATTTTTAATAATATGCGTATTAATGGTGAATGGAATATTCATGGTAATAAATATTAAAAGTACTAATAAGCAATACTTTTGTACATAACAAACGGCACGTTTTGAATGAAGTAATGAAATAACACCAAGTTTGTTTCACTCAAGTTGCTCTTACAATTGAGTTTTATTGAAAGTCTTACTTTTAAGAAGTTAACTTACATGAATGTAACAAACAATAAACATAAGACATTTTTGTGTGTGTACATACTTCAAATAGAGGGGACAAAAAGTGACGATGCATGTATTTGTATTAAAAATGTTTTTATGGATTAACATGCTAAACAAGAAATTTATATCAACAACTGGTGGTTTGTTACTCGCTTGAAACCAAGAATACCATGTCGAATACGCCTCTGTACCGATGACGTCGCACTTCGTTTACTTGTGCGCTTTTCTATAGGGCTATGAAACCGTCGTCCCCACCAGGCTCGCATAGAAAAGCACGTGTAAACAATGTGTGATGTCATCAGTACAGAGGCTTTACATCTAACCCCTTGATGCTGACTGTCGGTGGCTGACAGCTCCAGATGCAGCTCGATAAAAGCCGGGGATTGCTAGTGCCGCATTCCTGCTGCATAGCGCATCCATTCATAGACAACCACTGAATGCCTGCACGTACACATTCCACCCGTTGTGCTGCTGTCCGTGGCTGAACAATACCGGCGAGAAGGGGTTAAAGCAGCAAATTATTTTGTTATGGAACACCTCCGTCCCTCTAATTGAAATGCGATTTAATAGTATTTTTCAAAAAACAAGTTTTAACAAGGCCGCAGCAGATCTGCTCCACTAACTCCAACAGTGGCAGTCATTTCCATGAAGATGCCTTCAACACTTATTCGATGGTAGATTTAGATAACGGGCTCTCTACACAAGTACCCGCTCAACGGTAACAAAGGAGAGTTGGGGTGACCACTAGAAGGGACAGTTGAATGCATTACCGACGCCGCCTGACGCTCATGCTAAGATGCTATGCCTTTGAGCACATTCAACATGAAATAAGTTGTGCGTACTTTCTTTGCGCCATACGCGCACGATCAAGTACGTGCACGCGAAGTGTTGCGTTAACTGGGCTCTCGAAAGTGGTCAGAAAATGCCGTTTACTGTTCATGTAAGGAGTCTATACCTTCATTTACATAAAGGGGTGTGGCCATCCACCCATTGGTGGATATTCAAACTCTTCAACAACAGGAGAAGATGCACATTGATAAACACAAGAACCTGGCGTTGAGAAATGTGTGGAATTTCTACATCATTTACAGTTGGTAAAGGTTTACAGTATTAGGAATGCCATGCAAAGATGCAAACCCAATCAACCAATCAGAGCCTGAGTTTTATGTTGTCTGTGGTATTCACTGGTAGTAAAAACAAAAGCTTGGATTGGTCAATAGTTTCTTGGTACTTCCATGGAAAAGTTTAAATATTAGATTTTAAAGCAATGAAAGCAATAACCGTAGCCATATTGACATTCTCTCAAAATATACCTTTCCTTACAAGAACAAATTATTGGAAACTCTTTATCTAAAATGCAAAATATGACACAAAAACTGAAATGTGATGAAAGCCTATGCCTGCTTCAAAACATTATATGCAATTGTTAGAACAATGGAGTCCGATATTCTTATCTGAGAGTTTATGGAACTTATTTGAAATCTTGCTCCGGTTTTTCCAGTGTCAAATGACCTCAGATGCGACCCTTGAACTTTGACCCCCTTTATTTCTGCTTTGTGCTACGTCTTCATGGGCTCTGACTGGTCCTTGCTGCCCTGTTTTTCAAGTTCCGCTCTAAAAAAAAAAAAAAAAAAAAAAATATTGGGGAAAAGCTTTTAATTTTACTAAAAAAAAATCTCAAGCAGATTGATGTGCAATGAGTTTGTTTTCATCTGAGGAGTAACAATAATTTCTCTTAAAAAATCCTGAATTTATGGAAACCAAATTTCTTGTGTTACTTCTCAAAAGGGCATATATAAAAATCAGCTACGTGAACTTTTTTAGAAGACCTTACAGAAAGATTGGGCTGACATTACGAAATGAAGTTGTGATCAACTAAATTACTCAGTTTGTGGTTTTGGGATAACAAGTAACTTCTGATGAAAAGTCAACTGTTGCCGTTGTGAGAAATAACTCCAGACTCCAGTCAATGGAAAATATGTACATAAAGTTTGCCTACTCTGAAACCTAACTCTATTTGGATTGACCAGAGTAATTCCTCATACATTTTAGTTTGTTCGGAAAGATTTCCATATAAGAAGTTCACTAATTTTCCTCTGTATTGACTAACAAGCCCCCAGATAGCAATTTCATGTCATCAAAGTCAATTTGAGCAGTGAGAAAATACAAGCATTTTCTTAGAAAACACTTAGAATTTTTCAGTCCACTCTCATAGGGTTTGCACACAGGGTGTTGAGTGAACTTCTTATATGGAAATCTTTCCGTTTGTTACTCTGGAACATCATTCTGAGACAGGTTTAAGATAACGGACCCCTAGATACTCACCTCAGCTGTTTTGAGAAGTCATCTTCGACGTTATCATCATCCCAATTGTCCTCCCAAACGTTGGAGTCTGTTGGGTCCTCCTCTTCACTTGCCCACTCTGTATGGATAGAATTTAAAAGACCAGAAAATCAGCACACGCATGGTTTTACTTGCCGTTTATTTTTGGTAATAAGTGATGATTTTCGTTTTTTCCCCTCATTTCCCCCCCCCCCCCCAAAAAAAAAATACGGTAGGGGCTGCCAAAATAGATGGGTAGGGTACATTTGTCCTACTGGAAGCAGAACTATTATTTTTTTTGGGGGGGGGGGCATAAACAACGTTGCAATTTTTTGTATATTCTTGAACGTCAGAGAGTACGAGTTTCTTCCTTTTTTTTTTAAGGCAGGGTGTATTTAGCCAGTGCCGGTCAAATTTAAGTAAACAATATTTTGAGCCAAAAAAAATTAAATCTTAAAATTAATGTGGCCTGACGTTGCGAACTTAGCAAGTTCTTCTTCAGAGGCTAAAACAGAGGATGAAAAAAAGTAAAACTGCTGCAAACTGCTTACTGACTGGGTGGACCTGAAATATATAAATCTTAAAATTAATGTGGCCTGACGTTGCGAACTTAGCAAGTTCTTCTTCAGAGGTCTGTCTTAGCTTCTGAAGAAGAACTTGCTAAGTTCGCAACGTCAGGCCACATTAATTTTAAGATTTAAACAATATTTTGCTGGCTAAGCAAAATCCTCCAGAGCCACAAATCACAAAAAGAAAATGTATTCTGTAAATTAATGTGGTAATCCTTACTTTTAGGACACCTCTATTTTTTACGAGTTCTGTTCATAACTGACTTTTGCAGATGTCTGTCCAGTACCAAAGTGACTTTTGCAGGCTAAAGCAGTCTTTAGAAGTCAAGAAGGTGTCATTGCCAATTGTTCAGATGTGCCAAGAAGTATCAGAATGTCAATTTTGAGTGTCATTTAGTCAACTGTTTTGGTGAGTCTTTCCCTTCCTATATAGGAATGGGGTCCTAAAAGTAAGGATTACCATTAATGTTGGACTGGAGTCAATTTAAAACATCTTCGTGAAAAAGAAATAAAAAGCTTATCATCAACGCAGTGGCTATTGTTACGGCAGCCGTAACGCATTTCCCATTTTCTATCGTTACGGTAGACTGCAACCTGGCAACTTTTATAAAAAAACATGACAAAAAAATATAAAATTAGAAGGAAAAAAGTGAATTTGAACTTTATGAAATTCGGACTTTATTTCCCTTTTAAAAAAAATCCTCAAAAGCCTCAGGTTAGAAAAGGAAAAAAATTTGAGTGCAAAACTGAGATTCGAACCCGCAACCTCGCGGTGCAAAATCCTACCCTCTATCGGCTGAGCTGGCGCACTGCTCGATAAAACGTGTGGAAACAAATAATTATATACCTGCGTGCGTATCAAAAAAATATCGTAGAGGGCGCTAAACAACAAGTGCCGTAACGATAGCCACTTCGTATCATCAACAGACGTGATACCCCTAGAACTATGGGTCTTGTGTAACAAGACCCGTTCTAGGGCCACAGACAGACAGAACTTTTACAGAAGCGACTGACATCATGACTGAAAAAAAAAACTATGTGCTTGACTGTCAAGAAGGGGGCGAGATAGTTCTTATTTCTACTATAGATTTTGTACACATCTGCCAAGTCGCCCCAAGGTGCCGAGCGCAGTCGCGGGGCTGAGTGAGTTTGATAATTAAAATGATTTTAATGAACACAACCCAAAACTTTTTTGAAGTATTGTTCTAATAATGGGTTTAAGTTTATACTGACCTTCCGCTGGAAACTCTTCGAATTCGTCATCTTCCTCGAGCAATCCAAGATCAACCTTTTTCTCGGGAGCCTTTTTCTCCTGTTTCTTTTGGTCTGCCATGTTGTTTGTGCTTACTCACGGAATATAGTAATTGTGTCGCGTGTCCACATCTAACAATACTGTTTATACATGATTCAACATAGGGGAGCAGACTGTATTAAACCCTGTATCCTTATTCACTATTGTGCTCAAGATAAAATAAGCCTGAAGGTACCAGACTAACTGACAAACTGTACATTTCCATTTTTTCATTTTTTCTAATGAAAATTCAGGAAACAGAACTTTTATTATCCACAGAAACAAAACCCAAAACAGTCACCATCATTAGTCATTAATCATTGGACCGTAAGGTGACATGACTCTTTGGTTTGGAATGGTTAAATTCTTTTGAATGGTTAAATGACTATTCATTAGGTCATTACTTAGGGGGAGCTCCTACCGTCATAAATTTCAAGACCTATTCTTCATACATTGCAAAAGAAATATACTATGTGATTTTCTTTATTCAAGTGCAAACAGAAATACCATGGGAATTTTATTCCATCCAATCACTTTATTTTTAATCTTTTTATCATGGCGCTGTAACTCAATGGTTCAATTATACTTCTTTTTTTCTAAGGGCGTCATCTCAAAAGTGGGGGGGGGGGGGGGGGGGGGGGGGGGAGGGGGGGGACATACCTTGATCAGCACTATACTAATGCGTGCGCGCAGCACGACAGAAGCCCTAACTGCCTGCTGGGCGTGGGGTTCGGGCCCGCCCGCTAAGGGCCCCGCTCTGTGGTGCAATCTGAGGCAATTTCTGCTCATAAAATTCGGCCGACTCGGACTGGAGTGTTCTCCATATAGCTGTGAAATAAATGGGGTTCCTATGGCACACTTGAACAAATCTCGGAAAATCCCACATAAAAACGTTAGAAAAATTCGTTAAAGTTGATAAATTCTGATAAATAATTATTTTCTCCACTAACCAACTTCCGTGACAAGTTGTCAGAAAAATAACTTTTCAGACTGCAGAGTGCACTTGGAAATAATAATCGGAATATCACGCCAAAATATAATTTCTCTCATTTGAACGGGTATGTTTAGAGCTACATGAAATTTCACTGATTGCGAACACTGGTGTAAAACTTTTGCACTAGGGCCGAAAAATTGAAGTGCGCCACGACGTCACGTGGCCGCATATTTTTTGGTACCATTTCAGTTTTGTTCCGCGTGGCCACGAGTCATACTGTTATAATGGACCCCGAATGGACCCGTGGTATCATAGGGCGTACACCCCGCACACGTTGTACGTAAAGTACAAGAACGTCATGCGTTAGATATTTCCCGCATGCATTGCACACTGCATCTGCAACTGAACCACTCAATACGCGACAGAACTTCCGTAAGTTGCCCCAAGATTTTCTGGTATTTTTCTCTCTGTTTATACTATTTCTTCACAACATTGATTCATATGAAGATATTAAGGTTCTATGTATATGTTAATACAATCTAATGTAGATTTGAATTTCGGTAAATGGAAATTTAGTCTATTTATTTATTTGAGATTTCATTGTAAAAGACGTGAAAAATATAACGGTGTTGTTCTCCATGGTACTCTGCTGTTGTTCAATAACTAGCATAATGGAACGGGTACCAGTGTGATATATAGGGATTTTAGAAGTTGTGTGGTTTGTGAATTGTGGTTTTTAGGCCTAGGCCCACTTGTTTTCCCTGTGAAAACTTAATTGATTCTCTTAATATTTCAATAGAGTGTCTTTAAATGATACAGTTAAGTAGTTGCCAATGTTGTTACAGTTTGTTAGGTAGGCCTATTTTTTTTGGCAGATTTTTTAAATTTGTTTTGACCAGGCCAAAAAAATAATTCTTCTGCTTCCGGTTACCCGACCGACCCTATTTTTATGCTGCGACCCTAAAATTTTTATCGGTAATTAAAAAAAAATAATAATAATAATGATTGAATAAATAAAAATAAAATCTTGTTGTCTTTTCTGTCTTCACAAATACCTCTCAACAACCATGACAACCTTTTTGCGTCAAATATGCTTGTATTTATTTATTTTCTTACTTACATTCGCTTTTGTTTTCAAAAGAAACCTCCGTTATTTTTAAAAAGAATTCGCTTCGCGATATAACTACGTTGCAATTTGATGTCACGGTGACTATAATCATGTGCGTAAACGTAGCTCAATGCAGCGACGACTGGTTCCCGCCGCGCTGCGCAGGGGCCAAATTAGAAAACATGATGAAAATGCGGTAACTAAACTGTGCATGCCCATGAACAGATAGCGCTAGCATTGCTGTGCATTGCAGGCACGTGCACTGTCAACTGGTCGGATTCGACATCGTGAAAATGCCAAAAAAACAAAGATGGAGAAAGAACATTTCTGCAAGTTAATTCACAGAATTGATCTAGTTTGTCTGTGTATGTATTTTCCGTGTTCAGTTCAAGAGTTCATTTTGAGATCGCAATACTCGTATTTTGGAGTGATACATGCAGCGTGTTTCCCAAAATTTCGACCATAAAAACGAGGTCTGTCGGCCGCGCGCCACACGTGCACAGTGCATCACACACTTCAGAGTTTTGGCCAGCTTCCCGTCTTGACTAGCGTTGTGCATAATGGTGCGAACGACCTGAATTTTCCATTATTTTTTTAAGAATTATCGAACATAAATATATTGACAATAATTAAGGTAGGTTTGATTCACTTTTTGTGGCCATTTTGTGTATAGCTTTGGAAATAGTTTAGGCTAAAACTTTGCATATAATTGAATACCCCATTCAATCTGCATAAAAAAAATTCCAACTGACCGACCCTATTTTTGAAAGGCATGTAATCGGAAGCAGAAGTGTTTCTGGCTAAACACGGTTTGTTTGATAAAGAAAAAAAAAATACAAAATTAAAGTCTTATCAAATGAATTTCTGTTGGTTTTTAGTTTTGTTTTGTTGATGTTTAGTTTTTGCTTTTCCTTCTTTCCCCCTTCCAAGGTTCCGGGCTGAGTGGGCACTGAGTATTTAGAGTAACAGAGGATATTGTTTGGCAGTAACAAGAAAAGGCTTGTTGAAATCCCAGTGAGTTTCCATTTGTGTTTGTCCCCACATTCAGGACACGTTAAGTAAATTAACACTAACCCCCTAGACCCTCTCTGGCTAGGCTGCAACCTCAATCCTGCAAAATCCTCCAGTTGCCACCAAGAAACAATTTGGATTCAGCCTCAATCCTCCAAAATCATCCGTTATTTCTTGAATTTAGTCTGTGGAGGGTGACCACTGCCTCAATCCTCTAAAATCCTCTGCCAATTACTGCTACGGTTTGAGGCAGTGCGAATGGCATTCAGAAGCCGTGCAGATGAAATACAAGAAAAACACAGGAGATTTTGACATAGGAGATTCACAGATTTTGGAGGATTGAGGAGGGTTAGGGCTAATCAAAAAAGGAAAGAAAGAATTTCTGGAAAAAAAATAATTTTTTATGTTTTCAACCTTTTTCTTTCTTGTTTTTTTTCCTTCAGATTTGTTGTCTTTAGCTTGCTGTTTATGTTTATTAATAAAAATTAAATACAGTTTTACTGACGTGCAATTTCAAAACAAAATCAGATTGATGACTGTAATCACAAGATTGAAAAGTTGATATTTCAACAATTGGATAGAGAAAAAGACAGATTAGAATCAAGTATTTCTGACTGAACTGGTATTGCTGAAGAAAATGCATGCCTTCTAAGAGTAAAGTCCATTTGCCAGATGTGACTAATAAAATCAGATATCAGGGTTCTCATGGATCAAATGATAGTCTTTATTGTTGAAGGTCATATTAGCATTTACCTCAGTGACAGCCAGCTATTGCGCATACATGTACTCATGAACGCATGTTGAACAAAATTAAAAACTTGAATTTTGGCCTTGAAAATGCAGACTTTGTAAATGTAATAACATTTACATTGAAGTAGCATTTCAATGCACCACACGTATAGGTGAAGCTGTTTGATTTTGATCATGCTTGCTGAACCACTTTTTCTTCTGTAAACTATGGGCATGTCATCCAATTTGTGAGTGAATTGGCTACATGATGGTTTTGAAAATAGGTTGCATGTGCATCATAAAGTGAGGCATTATTAGAATATGTAAACCAATGTGCATTTAGGAACTTTGCTGTTTGAGGGCAAGGCAACCACCTTCGGTCAAGGGCAATTAAGAATATCTGTTGGAATATTTCAAGGGGCAACAAGGCCAAGTCCATTGCACATGTGCAGTTTCAGCGGTTGTTTACAACTGACAAAAGACAATGTCCTTCACTCGGGCCATTTTTGCTCGGCCTCCAGACGTGATGCACAAATATGATAGCAAGTTGGTCTGCATTCTGTAGCAGTACACAGCAAGGATGATGACTAGCACTGGGTTATGAGTCACATGATTCCAAACTCTTTTGAAATCACTCGGCTGACTTGCTGTACTGCGACAGATAAAAGCAGACTGCCTCTCTTTTTATCCAACTTGGTGTCGTGTCCAATTTTGAAGGGTAAACTTTTTAAAATCCATTTCAGTGTAAACGTCATTTGAACACCATTTATATAAAAGCCATGATATTATCAATATTTGGCATTCTTGCGCATTGAAGTGTATATATTATCAATATTTGGCATTCTTGCACAATGAAACGTATGTGTATTGATGTACATGTACATTTATTTCCATGTCGACAATTTTTCCCATGACATAATTTCTCACTTGATCATGTTTTTCCCAGATCACAAATTTGTGTGATGTCTACTTTTACATGTACTTAGCATATTAACCCTAACTTCCTACTGTCTTTTACCAAGTCCACCAAAATCCATCACTAACTCTGCTTCCAATACATGACATAATGGAATCCACCACTGAAGTACTGGTGGATATTGATGGACATAGTACACATGGCTTATACGACAACAGCAAAACAGGATGCTAGGCAAAATCAATCAGATTCACCTAGCACTGCTTCAGGCCTCCAGGCCCAAGTCCATCATACTCCATCAATATTCAGTCAAACCAGGCCTGCAGGACCAAGTCCCCAAAATCCACCAAAATGGGAGGATGGAGTTGGGGAGTTTAGGGTATTGTGGTTTTTTGTAAACAAAAGTCTTGGAACCACAAAGTCGCCTTTACCTTAACATTTTGATTGGGGCAATTTTCACTGGGCCAAGTTCAAAATAAGTTGATAAAGCTATAATAATTCTATTGAGTCCTATCTAATTATCCCCCTTTATTTTAATGTTTAAAAAAAAAAAAAGAACGTTCTAGAATACAGTTGAATATTTTCTGTTTGGGGTCATTCCCTGAAATGTTTTACTGAACTCACAGCTGTTGAAGTATCTTTTGATTTGACCTCATCTGTTTTCCTCCTTCAGACAGATGAGAGAGACAGTGATCTAACCTTGAATGTGTCATTTTATCTCCTTTTTGTTTGGCAGCAAACACTTTTATTTATGAGTAATAAGCAGCCCAAACCCGTCCTCACAGGCCAGCGGATTAGGACCCGGAAACGGGGTAAGTCAGGGCTGCAATTCTTTTCACAACATTTTCGTTTTCTGTGATTCAACGTCATACAATGTAGTACAGGTACTAATAGTGGGGCAGAAAGGGGAAATATTTGGGGGATTCTTCACTTTGACGATAAAAACATAGGAAAAAATGTTGCAACCTGACGCCACTTTTTTCTTCATATATCATCTCAATGAAGGTCAGTCATTGCAAAAATGATGATAAACATGAATCTAAGACTGAGAAACATTTCCAATTTTGTTAGGAAATAGGAAATTTTCTTGAGTCTCCATAGATTTTGTACACAACCGCTGAAGTGGCGTCAGGTTGCAACATTTTTTTCCAAAGCATGGCATTTGGCACACAGTCGGAGTATGTCTTAGAGAAAGATATTTGCCTATAGGGCCATCGCAGATTTGTCCTTTGAAAAAATATAGGTAGAATAACAAGCAATTTTTGAATTTTTCAAAATGGCTGCCATTGCTTGTTATTTTACTTATATTTTTTTACTTATATTTTTTTAATTGACAAATCTGCGATGGCCCTATAGCCAAAAATTGTTCTCATGACATACTCTGACTGCGTGTCAAATTCCATGCTTTTATCATTCACTGAACAATCCCATCACCAATGTGCTGTACTATTATTGAGTTAGATTCAACCCATTCAATTGACCCCATTTGTTGATGGAAAATACACCCCTGGTTTTTTTTTTGGGCCATCTTTGCAAAATGATGTTACAGTTTATCCATTCTCTGAGCTTTGTCCAAACACGTCCCGAGGACCTCCACCTCTATCTGTTGCGAGTCAGTGTTCTACTGACTTTCTTCCGGACATTGGCAGCTGGACCTTGGGTTCGTCGTCTGGACAGGGAGGTCCGGTCATATCTCAGGTCAAATGTCTCCTCGGAGCACGAAACTTGAGATTAGCTGACTGTGACTTCTTGAGCCCAGTGAAGATATTGAACTTTCTGATTGCTACATACCCCTAACTCAAGGAATATATGCTTACCAGATAGCTCCAAACATTAACCCTAACTCCTGAGGCATCCTTTGCGAGAATCCTTCTTGAATTCTCCAAAATTAACCAAGGGGCGCAAAGTCTGAACTGATGTACAAGTGGTAAAGCCTTAACCACCCTCAATCGTGCAATGACGGAAAGAAAAAATCTCTCCCAAAATTCCTTGCTTCTTACCGAGTGGTTGTTTCAGACGAGTCTCACTCAGAATCCGAGTAAAACCTTCAAATACTTCTTTTGCTGCAGCAATTATACCTCCAGGAAACCTGTGTATCTAAACAACATAGTAATTTTAGTATCGTCGCTCTTTTTTCTCCCCAAGTAAAAAAAACCAACCTGACAAGGTCATTTCCATTATTGTTTTTGCATTTAAAAAAAAATTCCCCGACTCGGTAACAGATGAGAAAGAGAAGTACCACCCTAATGGCTTTAGTGAAATTCTCGTGAATGGTCTCAACGACGTAAACGTGAATGATCTGGAAGAGGTCGCCAAGTATCTGGATGGTGCTGGCAGCAAGCTTGACTACAAGCGTTACTGGGAGACACTCTTTGATATTCTGTTGGCCGGCGGGATCTTAGGTGAGTGTTACACCTTCTATTGGATGTGATCTAACTTTCTTGACTTTTTAATAGATATTTTTGGTTCACCTTGGATGAGATCTAGTCGGCGTGATGGATCATAAGACATCACAAGTTCATCACAAGACAATCACAAGTCATCCAGTCCCAAGTCAAGTCGCAGGCTATTCTAATGAACCATAACAAAGACATTCCTTTTATATTGTTTATCTCCTGCCTCTCGTGACTGGACTTGTGAATTAGTTGTGACCGGAAAGTTTGATGTACTTGTGATTCATCACAAATATCCCGACTACAACGATACCTGTTCCTTTTGGTCGAAAGCCCGTCACATGGGTAGTTTTAAACTGCCGGTTAAAACACCGTGCGTTTTGCGCCACATCGCGCAGTATGTGACGTGCGCGCGCCAATTTTCATAGAAGCACTGCGCATGAGGCTCATACCATAGATATGGTCAGAGGGGTGTTTCACAAAACCTGAAGTGAAATTGTTGAACAAAATCTTTGGAAATTTGTGATTTGCTGACTTTTTGGCCCAAAGGTATTCAGCGGTTGTTTACAACCGACAGAAGACAATGTCCTTCACTTGGGGCATTTTTGCTCGGCCTCCAGACGTGATGCACAAATATGATAGCAAGTTGGTCTGCATTCTGTAGCAGTACACAGCAAGAATGATGACTAGCACTGGGTTATGAGTCACATGATTTCAAACTCTTTTGAAATCACTCGGCTGACTTGCTGTACTGCGACAGATAAAAGCAGACTGCCTCTCTTTTTTGTAAAACTTGGTGTCATGTCTAATTTTGAAGGATAACTTTTTAAAAGCCATTTCAGTGTAAACGCCATTTTAACACCATTTATATGAAAGCCATGATATTATCAATCTTTGGCATTCTTGCCCATTGAATTGTACGTGTATTGATGTACGTATGTATTTCCATGTCGACACTTTGTGATTTATTGACTTTTTGGCCTAAAGGTATTAATAAATGGGAATAAATATGTGCTTAGGTTATAATAAACAAGTTTGTTTAAAACCGGCTAGGTCGCCCATAATTTCGGCTTGGGCCATAATCCCCTGTCCAGACCCCTAGCCGGCTTTTAACATACATGTTGAAAACCGGCAAAGCACATGTTTATTTCCTTATCATTGCCAAGTCTTGGCTTGGATATGGGTTCTTAACTTTTAATTGGATATTATCTGGGGTTTTGACATTTGACGTGCATTGTTCATTTTTATGCCCCGCGGCGAAGCCGAAGGGGCATACTGTTTCCGCCTTGTCCTTCCGTGGGTGGGTGTGTGGGTGGGTGGGTGGGTGGGTGTGGGTGTGTGTGTGTGTGTCCGGACAAATCTTGTCAGCGCGATAACTTGAGAAATACTTAACATATGAACTTCAAATTTGGTTTGTGGATTGTTCTTGGTAATCCTAAGAAGCCTTTTGCATTTGGGGCCAAAAGGCCAAAGGTCAAGTTCACAGTGGCTAAAACAATAGAAATCTTGTCAGCGCGATAACTTGAGAAATACTTAACATATGAACTTCAAATTTGGTTTGTGGATTGTTCTTGGTAATCCTAAGAAGCCTTTTGCATTTGGGGCCAAAAGGCCAAAGGTCAAGTTCACAGTGGCTAAAACAATAGAAATCTTGTCAGGGCGATAACTTGAGAAATACTTTACATGTGGACTTCAAATTTGGTTTGTGGATTGTTTTTGGCAATCCTAAGAAGCCTTTTGCATTTGGGGTCAAAAGGCCTAAGGTCAAGTTCACAGTGGCTAAAACAATAGAAATCTTGTCAGCGCGATAACTTGAGAAATACTTTACATGTGAACTTCAAATTTAGTTTGTGGATTGTTCTTGGCAATCCTAAGAAGCCTATTGCATTTGGGGCCAAAAGGTCAAGGGTCAAGTTCACAGTGGCTAAAACAATAGAAATCTTGTCAGCGCAATAACTTGAGAAATACTTAACATATGAACTTCAAATTTGGTTTGTGGATTGTTCTTGGTAATCCTAAGAAGCCTATTGAATTTGGGGCCAAAAGGTCAAGGGTCAAGTTCACAGCGGCTAAAACAATAGAAATCATGTATTTATTCTGAGATTACATGTATAGGGATTAGGGACTAATTCATATAAAACCTACAGAAGACACTAATGCTGTCAATGAATGTTCCATGTGACCAAGGTACATGTAAGTTGATGTTAAAAGAGTGGTGTTATGTCATGGGAACTGTCACCGTTGCGGGGCATTTGTGTTTGTAAACACACCTGACTTGTTTTGTTTTATCTTGCCTTCCTCAGCCCCTGGGGGCAATCTCCTCCAAGATGACGATAAGAAAGAGACCGCCATTAGTAAATTCTGCCTCTTCTCAGCGGAGGAGACCACCGAGGCTATTAAGGGTGTTGCCACGGTAAGAACGACTTCCAGCAAGTTGTGTTCAAGGTTGCTTTGATTAACCACTTAAAACCCTCCAAGATCCTTCAGAGCTGCTAAGCAGATTTGTGTGCTAAGCAAATATAAGAGCAAATCTGGGCGAGGACGATGGTTTACCCTTAGTTGAGCTAATCTCACTCGAATTCAGAATGGTTGGACTACTGTAGCTGACTTCTTGGAATCTGAGCATGGGGCATGGTTCCATTACTGGTTGCCAATAGCCATGTCGTCATAACACAAAGCAGGGAGTTTTATTATGACATTTTGACCAGCTTATTAACCCTAACTCCCTAGGCATTTTTGCCAGGATGTAACCTCAATCCTGCAAAATCCTCCAACTGTCTCCATGTAAAAATAGCATACAGCCTCAATCCTGCAAAATCCTCTGTTATTTCTTGAAAGTGAACCTCGGAGGGGTGACCACTGCCTCATTCCTGCAAAATCATCCAGCAATCACTGTCAATATGTTGAGGCAGAGCCAGTGACATCCTGGAGCAGTGCGGAGGATTTCAAGTATAACATAGGCCTAAATTTATGCATGGCTGAGCATCAACAACACAAGGTCCGGCCCAAGATCTTGACACAGTGCATTCTCCGAAATCAGCAACACACTTTTGCCATGAAGCCTCAATCCTGCAAAAATCCTCCATTTTGCAAAGAGGCTTTTGGAGGATTTGGGAAGGTTAGGATTAAAGGAGACGTTTGCACATTGCTACTAGTATAAGTTACGCAGGTATAAGTTACATCCCAAATCAACTACTATTCGGCTGAACTTGGTCTGAGTTGATAGCCTGTAAGGACGTTACACCGCTTGACATTTTTCGCTAAAATTTTTGGTACAGGCTTACGGTAATTCCTTCATTTGCTATAATTTCATTCAATGTGATACTTTTTTTGTATTTGGACAGGTGTTCCAGCGATTGACGAGACGTTACAGGTACTTGGGAAAGAAACTGGAGGATGATGAGATGAAAAAGGTAAGACGTTCACTATTCTAACAAATGATGTATTTGATGACATGCTATGATGTTACCACATTAAACTTACTGCTGTCTGAAATCAATCCTCGTCCCCTGCCATGCCTTTTTACACTGGCTAGTCACCAATAATGAGATATTATTTAAGTAAGCACTGTGACTAGTCAATGACTAGTCAAATTCCATCAATAGACAAAAACAAGTAACTGGTTCGTTCAGCTGGCTTATCAATCTCCTACAGTCAAAGCATAGCTGCAATAAAATTACATAAACAGTCACAGCCAGTCGCCATGTTGGATTTTGTTGATCTGTGCACTGAGCATACGTTGTTGGGAGTTTGTTGAATTAAGCAGGGTCCTCGCAAAGTATTTGGATCAAAAATACCTGTGGGAGTTAGGATTGAGTTCACGGCGACGGATCTTGGTAAATCCGTGAATGATAACAGCAAAGGTCCTCACTTGGCTTCAAAGCTGATTTTAAAACTTGTGTATCTCCAATCATTTTGGATTTTTGTTTTTGCTTAGATCCTGTCGTTCCTGAAGTCTTTCAGCCCGTCGGAGCGCAACAAGCTGGCCATGTTCACGGGGCTGTTCCTGAGCACCGGCGAGAGTCCTGCCAACTGCCTGGAGAGCTTGATGAACGAGACTCTGGTCAAGGAAGGTCAGATGGGAAAACCTACTTAGCAGAAGAAAAAACTTGCTTAGCAACTTATCAAAATGCACTTAGCAAAAAAACAGCTGAGTACCAGACACGAGTATGTACTTGCATGACACTTTGGCTGGTTACCTTTTTTTTTTCGCTTAGCAAATGTTTTGTTCTCAGCCAAATTTCTTTGCTTAGCACTCCATAACCTTTGACCCAGGGTCTGAATACAGTGAGCTGCTTAGCAGGAAGTATTGCTTAGGAGATTTATGCGCTTAGCAGAAAATCAGCGGAGAACCAGTTATATGCCATACACTTGGCATGACACTTTGGCTGGTAACCTGTTATCGCTAAGCAGATATTTTCTGTGCTGAGCACATTTCTGTGCTGTGTAGCTCCATGCAATTTTTTCGCATTGACCTTTTGTCTTGAATGACTGGAACGCAAAGTGAATACACCTTGAGCATTGGTCATTCTTATACAGACATTCTTTACTTGATTTACTACACCCTCTAAAAACCCTCCAATATTCACTTGAAGTGTGTGCCTCGTGCTTTTGATGAGTGAATGAATCCCATTCAAAAAGTATCAGTCTATCTGGTTGCTTGCTTTAAAAGTACACTCGGAGACCAAGATTTCTAAAAATCAATTGTCTTCTGTCTAGCACCCCTTGAACAAAGACATTGACGAAATGGGGAACTGCCATCAAAGGACTGTGTAGCTCAGTCGGTAGACCACCGGAATGGCAATCCGGAGGTCGCAGTTTCAAAACCCGCTCCAGTTAATTTCTTTGTTCCACTTTTTAAAAAAATCCATAATAGTCCTGAATCCTCATATTTTAATATGATTTTGTTTTCATACACCTTAGAGGGTTAGGTAAATCAGGAATGTGTCTACACTAGTTCCATAACTTATTTTCCAGAATGTCCTTCTGTCATGTCATTATTAACTGATTTTAGTCGTTTTATTGATTTTACTTCTTTTTCTGCATTTGGCCATATTTCAGGGATTTCCCTGGAGTTCTTCAAGGTGATGTTCCGCACTTGGCTTGGGGAGAAAGACATGAGCAGTATCGCCAAGGTCCTCCGCAAGGCCTCCATGGATCGTAGACTCCTGGTAAGCGGACAGGAGAGGGCACTGTTACCCCTTGTAGTAAAACCCTCATCTGAAACCGAAATTAACAGAAGTTTAGTCAGGTACCGTTCCAAACAACCTTGGTTTGTGTACATTTCTCACAGCGGTCATGACCGAGTTTGACCAAGCTACTGTGGTCACCTGATCAAACGTCATGATCTAAATGGTCAATACGCACTGTCAAGCCCTGCCCACCTGTGGTTTGCGTACATTTCTCACAGTGCTCATGACCGAGTTTGACCAAGCTACTGTGGTCACCTGATCAAACGTCATGATCTAAATGGTCAATACGCACTGTCAAGCCCTGCCCACCTGTGGTTTGCGTACATTTCTCACAGTGCTCATGACCGAGTTTGACCAAGCTACTGTGGTCACCTGATCAAATGTCATGATCTAATTGGTCAGTGCGCACTTTCAAGCCCCGCCCACCTTTGGTTTGTGCACAGTTCTCATAGGGGTCATGACCGAGTTTGACCAAGCTACTGTGGTCACCTGATCAAATGTCATGATCTAATTGGTCAGTGCGCACTTTCAAGCCCCGCCCACCTTTGGTTTGTGCACAGTTCTCACAGTGGTCATGACCGAGTTTGACCAAGCTACTGTGGTCACCTGATCAAACGTCATGATCTAATTGGTCAGTGCGCACTGTCAAACCCCGCCCACCTTTGGTTTGTGTACATTTCTCACAGGGGTCATGACTGAGTTTGACCAAGCTACTGTGGTCACCTGATCAAATGTCATGATCTAATTGGTCAGTGCGCACTTTCAAGCCCCGCCCACCTTTGGTTTGTGCACAGTTCTCATAGGGGTCATGACCGAGTTTGACCAAGCTACTGTGGTCACCTGATCAAACGTCATGATCTAATTGGTCAGTGCGCACTGTCAAACCCCGCCCACCTGTGGTTTGTGTACATTTCTCACAGGGGTCATGACCGAGTTTGACCAAGCTACTGTGGTCACCTGATCAAATGTCATGATCTAATTGGTCAGTGTGCACTTTCAAGCCCCGCCCACCTTTGGTACGTGTACATTTCTCACAGTGGTCATGACCGAGTTTGACCAAGCTACTGTGGTCACCTGATCAAATGTCATGATCTAATTGGTGCACTGTTTGATTGACGGGCAGGAAGGGTCTGATTCCATTATGATGTTTTGACAAATACAAAAAGCACTGCACAATACAGAATGAAAAATGCAATGGGTTAGTGTGATAAGTGTGGTCTCTGTGCACAAGAACCCGGTCAACGTCCATGTGTTGAGGATTGGCTTTTCGGAATGACCAGCCAAAGAAAATGACATGCAGGAAACCCTCCCCCTTCTGCTTGTGTTCAAACACCAATGTACGCATTGTATTCTTGGTTTGCAGGAGGTCATCCCTAGTACTAAGAGGACTGAAGCTTACTTTGAGAAATACTTCGCTGAGGCCGGCTTGGATCAACTTGTCACCTTCCAGGTGGGTGGATTGATTGAGAAATGCACAAGAAAACGCGATTTGAAAAATTGACCAACTTTAAATGGGATTTTCTGGAAACTCGGTTTTGCAGCTGTCTGCACAGATTCGTCACTTCGTCAGAACGGTGACGATATTACTTTTGACGGAGTTGGTTTCCATACAATCCGAGGCGGATTTCTGCTAAGCACCGATATTTTGCTTAGCACAGATTATAGATTGTTTTCTCTTTCCGCTTTTTAGAGGAACTTGCAGCATGACGACAACAAGAACGTCTTCATGACAGAACTGAAGGAACTGCTGGAGAAGGAATCTCCTCCCACGCCTAAAGAAGTAAAGATCTATCTTCAATTTGTCAGATTTCATTCTTAAAAAAGCCCTTTTTTTCACTATTCAAATGAAATGGAGATTTAACGACGCTCTGAAAGTATTTGGTCTTGTACTTTTTAAAAATATTGCCACATTTTGATTAGTATGAAGGGAAAAAAAGTTACGATGAAACTTTTATCATTAATAAATGTCGTGTCTTTATTCAATTGCCAAAGTGCATTTCAAGTATTTTAATGAGATGGCCATTCTTGACACTGTGCAAATTCGATTGTTCAATTTGCAACACACAACTTGCTAATTTCCCCATCCAAAAAGCAAGTGTCATTAAACTTGGTACGTAGGAAGTTGGCATTTTTTTGGGCTGGCATTTTTTGAAACAAAGTTGGTGGCCATCAAAAGCAATATTTATCAGGCAGAACTTGGACTTATAAAACAATGAGATTAAAACCTGTGCTGATTATATTTTATTTTTCTAAGCAGCTTTGCTTACTTAGCTTACTTATAATTGTTGTCGTTGTGTCTGCACAGTTGATTGCAATCTGCACCGAGATGCAAGCTAAGACGTTACTGACTGAGCCAGAAGTGGCCAATCTGGTAAGAGTACAGACCCATTTTACCCCATTTCTGTCATGCAAACCCAAATATATTTTGGTTTAAGCCTAACTCCCTACTTAGTTTTTCATTGCTAGACTATGGAGTTGTTGCAAGCAACTGCAAGTAATTGTTTCAAATGTCGAACTTAAAATTCAAATCTTAAGAAAAGTTTGATTTGGCATGATTATCGGGACCCCAGTCCAAACCAGGAATAAATTCACTCTGTTTCAAATATTGCAATTGCGTATCAAACTGAAGTGGCAGGGCTTGAAAAGGAGGAGTAACTATAAAAGAATTGTAGGAGTTTTTTTTTATTTTCCATTTGGAGGTTTGGAAAAAATTATGATTCTTTTCATCTATCAAATATTTTGGAAAAAAAAAATCTTAAGTAAAATTCCTTTACTGGGATTTTTTTCTCGACTTTTAAGTTAAAAGTCAAGAAAAAATCATAGTAAAGGAATTTTACTTCAGATTTTTTTTTCCAAAACTTAAAAAAACAAAAGAGGCTTATAATTTGTATAATTGTGAAAGTGGGGAGTAGTTCAAAATGTTATTGTGATAATTTGCCAAATTGGCGATTTTGTTACAGAAAAATCCAAGCTCAGTTTTGCTTTGAACATCCCATTTAGAAGTGACTGTTGTGGACTTAAACACAAAACTGAATGCATGCTGTCCTGAGAATGATGTTACTCACCCGATAGACTTCTGAGATTGGCTTAAGACACCGGCGCTGAAGTCAACATTTTCTTGACTGACTCTGGACAGCAATGAAGTATCAGTTTTTACATATATGATTACCGAATCAAAAAATGAACGCCGAGAGGCTTAGTGTTGAACTTAATTGTGTCGTCACTCTGCAAATTGAATGTTTTGTGTTCTGATTCCCGTCTTTTAGATCTGGAACTGTATCATGGACATTGTGGAATGGAACAAGAGAGAAGAATTGATTACTGAACAGGCGCTGAGACACATCAAGGTAGGCCCAAAGGCTTCCTCCCTTCAATGGCTCAAATCTTCACTCAAAACCCTGGCCCCCAATCACCCATCCCACTCCACCTCAGAAACCTGTATCACATGTCTCGGACAGGTCTTGCAGAGTCACACCGAAATTGGTTCAGAGAGGTGAACCAATAGATAGCTTGTTAGAAGGGTGAATGGTTCTGATATATACGTCAAGAAAGCAATAATTGTGTTATAGAAATTTGTATCGTTATTGGTAAGAAGACAGAGATGCACTTCATTCCTCAGATGCATTATGCATAGCCAGTGTTTGCCTAAAAGTAGAAACAATTCATTTACCTGCTGGTATTTACCTGCCTTTTGCTTGAGTTGAACCAAGCGGTTCTCTATTTTTTTTTTTTAACCCTGTTCAGCCCTATACACCTATCCTGGCTGGCTTCACCTCTCAGGCAAGCACCGAGTTGTCTCTTCTGTACGAGATCCAGGTCAGTACGCTCATAACATTTTTTTTCAGTTGTCCTTAATTCCCTGATCCATAATGCCACTGTTTATTGAGAACACAGTTTTTTCCCATTGGGATAATCCTGGGAACAGAAAGTATCCCTAACACACCCAAAGGCAAGCTAGGATCATTGTAGTTGGAAAGACTGCTTATTTCCATTGGAAATGCACCACTTTACAATTGGGAAAGATCTTCAGTTGGGAAAGATCATAGGTTGGGAAAGGACTTCAGTTTGTTGTCATCTCTCATATTGGCTTCATTAGTTATGTAGTATGTGTGATTTAAAAACACTGGCTAAGCAGAGAATATCATACGCTTTTGTGCTTAGCGAAAATAGGCGGGAAACCAGCCACAAGCAATACAAGTCCCACAACATGTTGGCTGGTAACCTGTTTTTGCTAAGCGAATAAATTCTTTGCTTAGCATCATTTCTTCTTTGCTAAGCAGCCTTTTGAAATTGGCACCTAGCTGACACGCTGTCCTAAGGATGATGTTATTTACCCGATAGACTCCTGAGGCTGGCTTTTAAAGCAAGCTCCGATGAAGTCAACATTGGTTCACTGACTTGGGACAGATGAGAAATGTCAACCATTACGTTCACACTTCTTGCAAATACGAAGAGAAGTTGACGTCATTAAACATTCACTGCGAAATTCACCGGAGTTGAGATGTGTTCAACTTTTGTAAGCTCAGTGTATGAAAACTCGACGCGACCTTACAATATTTGCATTTGCTTGCGCGCCAAGTATGCACCGGTGTGTAGTCACTTGAAATGCACATTTATCCTCAAGCTTAAAAGGTTTCAAAATTTTGTGAATTTTTGTTTCTCTTTTCAGGAATACTGTTACACCAACATCAACTTCATGAAGACTTTTCAGAAGATTGTGTTCCTTCTCTACAGAAGTGAGTGTTTATGGCAGGCCTAGGCATGAGAGTTTTCTCTTTGAATCTGAGAGAGAGACGTTATCAGTATAGGAAGAAATGCAGTTTTTTTTTTTTTTTTTGATTCATCCAATTTTCAGCCCTTTTTAAAACTTGTGTATGCAGCATGTATCTAGTGCAATACTGAACTAAGTGTGCCCGAGTACAACTGACCGATTTTGACTTATTTTAAACTTTTACAAAAAATCTTGTAGCTGATGTCCTGTCCGAGGAGACCATCTTGAAATGGAACAAGGAATTCCAAGTGGGCAAAGGCAAGAGCGTCTTCTTGACTCACATGAAGCAGTTCGTGGAATGGCTGGAGAATGCGGAGGAAGGTAGGTGATGTATATATGAGTCCAGACAAGTTTTAAGATGGCCAATTCCGTTTCCAGGCACAAGTACCCCCTCGCTTGGCTACAAAGAGAGCAGTAGGCCTGGATCATACTTGATGCGAAGATAATTTGACGCAAGGAAACATCCGCTGCGAAATTCACCAGAGTTGAAATGCGTTCACCTTTTGCAAATTCGCAGTGCAGATACTTGTCATGACGTCACAAATTTACGTTCACGTTTTGCTTTCTTGCCTTCAGAGGGGACTGCAGTGTCTGGCTTCGCATGCAGACAATACAGGCTAGTGTGCATTCAAAATAAAAATATTCATGTGTGCTTCGCGCCAGTACCCGCATATGCGCGGTCACGCAAGATCGGTTTTTGGGCAACAATCATCCCAGTGTCTGTTCCTTTCCATTTCGTTATTTAGAATCTGACGAGGACGACTAAAGGGGTCATAGTTCAGCTTCCTACCTCAGAGGCAACTTAGCCGGACAACTAGAGAAAAATTTTTAAAAACGGCTCCTCGTTGCGATAGTCAAATACTTGGGTTTACAGGAATGGTAGTTGTAGACAATACCGTGTTTAATTATGCAATATTTGTTTTTCTGTAAAAGATTTATCAGTAGTAATGTATGTGATACTTAACTTTTCAAAAAAATACCCTTTTAAAAATGAGACTTTGGTCATATTTCTTTGAGTAAACTTTGTATGCATATTTTTTTGAATAACCAGCACTTAAAAAGTATTTTCCACATTCCTTGGTAACATTTTGAGTTTTAGAGTCACGCAGAGATCTTGTCTCGAAAAGTGGCTTTTTCCCCCGTAATGCTTTCTTTTACTAACAAACAACCGAGGCCTTGGATTTGGTGAAGATGTTACATGTTTTACAAGGATATCTGCCTGTTCGTCTACACAGATTTTTTGCTCGTAAGGGATACTTATTTTGATAGTATTTTTAACGAAGTAGTGTGAGAGTCTTGTAGTCCCTTATTAAAAAAAAAAAATGGAAACATAACTTGCAGAGACTTATCTTGTTTGTTTATTATTTTTTTTAATGAAATGTCAAAACAACAGTATACTTCCATTTTGTAAAAAGGTGAATCACAAAATGAAATTAAATAGACAAAACGTTGATTGGTGATAAATGTTGTCACCGGGGGATAAATTCCTGGCGCTGCTAAGCACGGATAAGATTTGCTAAGCAAGATGAAGGTTTACCAGCCACAATGCCATGTGATGTCTACTGCTTTTCCACTGGTTCCCACTGATTTTCGCTTAGCACACATCAGCTATGCAATGTTTTCTGCACCCAGGAATTTGAGCCCTGGAGTTGACCAAACTATACGCGATTTCTTTGATACATGTGCGTGTTTGTTTTTGAATGTTAAGTAAATTGGTGTTCATTTTTTGAAAATGTGTCCAGTTTTTATCCTGTCTTTGTCATGTGATCTCTCTATTGAAAGTGTTACTCAGAAATCAAATATGTAGCATTTCGCAGCGATTTAAATGCTGTGGTTGCTTGGTAAAGTTTGGGATTAGTTTGCTTCACAAAAAATAAACGTTAGTTTTTACTGGGTTTTTTTTGTTGTTGTTGTTGCTCTTTTTGTCTTGCATTTATCAAGTATAGAAATCAAAACACTGGCAATTCTTACCTTCGATAATTATCACGAAAAGTTGATTTTCAGTCTTGGGTTAGGGGAAAAATACTGCATAAATTACGTCATTGTTCTTAATGTCAAAGTGTACATGAAATTATATGTGTTGCATAAAAAAACAAGATCTTTTTTTTCGCTCATTAATTTGATGTAAGAAACTGACGACGACCCATTTTCTACAGTTGATGGCGCACTTCGGATCTGTCTCAAGAACGTTTGAGGGTTCCATCTATTTTTGTGGTTATTTAACAAATAAAACCGCACAATTGGTTCTATTTTTGTGAGGGGATCTTTTTAAGATTTTTCTGTGTATAACATATGTTCTGATTTTTGGTTTATTTCAATTTTGAGGAGAAATAAATTGCTGGGAAAAATAAAAATGTTTATTTTGTCTCTTCTCTGCCAACCCCAAACCCCCCAGAAAAGTCCATTGTTCTTTATAGGTAACTTTTGACCCAGTTTTAAAAGACAAGATTATAGCTCAATATATTTTGGGGAAAAAAAAACTTTTTCCCTACAATAAAATCTAAAATTGCATTAGAAAAGAAAGTCATTACCATACAAATTATTTTAATTCTTATTTTAGACGGCTTTAATTTTATTTTTCCAACTAAAAGATTATTGTTACTGCATAGATGTAAGTGTGGGACAATATCAGGTTTTTATATTACTTCTGTACTAGCATAAAAAAATCACAAAATGACAAAATATGTTACTGTTCCCTTTGCATTATAAGTACATGTACTAATCAGGAGGTTGAGAAATATGGATTTCTTTTTGAGCCAAAACAAAGTTTCACTGATTTGTGTTTGTTAAAACTTGCATTATGTACAATAGTAACTCTATGTACGGACAACTACAAAGGTCTCTATAGATATTAACAAAAAGGAATATTGATCTTAGCAACAAGGGAAGGACAGCAACGGAAGAGGGCAAATTCACAAATTATATTTCAATATTTGGTTTTGCCATTGACCGATGCAAACTTATGTCAAGTACATCCAGTGTGATCTATGAGCTTCTGATAAAACAAATTCACAAGCTTCCCTAGCTGGACTTCAACCCATACATGTGCCTACATATACCTTACCCACTACCAACATATATTTTTAAAAACTATACATGCAAATTGCGGACTTCAAACTACGCTCAGCAAAAGAACACTGAAAAGTTGCCCAAAGATTAAGAAAATGGCTGTTTTTTCCCCTCACAACTAGCGATTGGGTTGGACATTGCCTTTCTATAGCCATGTTAATGCAATTCCTGCATGATTTTACCACCATTTCTTAGGTACGTTTTTAGACTATTTGAAAACTGAAAATGCAAAATATACAAAAACAAAAATCGTCCCATTTTGTGCACAGATTGTACATAATATACTTTATAGATCTGATATTTTGTGGTTCATTATTTTATCTTAGGGACACTATATAGTTACTAACAGCACACTAAAAATAAACCACATTTTAAATGTTTTCTTTTTAATTTTATTTTATTTCAATTCTTTTTGCAATTTATGAGACGAGCATGGTCATTTTACATGTTGAGACCTCCATTCTTGGACAATTGTTGGCGCTTTTGCTCCTTCAGCATCTCCAGCAGGTCTCGCTCGACCTGCTCCAGCTTGACCTCCTCATCGTCATCGTCACTTGCACTTTCTTCGTCTTCATCATCGTCTTTGTCATCTTCAGAGACATCGCTTGATGAATCCTCCTCTGAAGAACTATCACTGCTTGCATCGTCTAAAGTTACGTGAACACAAATTTAATTATTTTTAAAAATAAAGTTCTTCCCCTTTACAATGATAGTCTAATATTTAGAAAAGTGGACAAAATAATTGGGTTCATTTTGTTTGGGGGGGGGGGGGGCTTTCCCCGAATCATGTGATATAGCATCAGTGTGTCTGGAGAATTCAAAGTTAAAATGTGCCAAGCATTAAGAGCAAGTCAGTGTACCAGATGTTATTCAAATTTAACTCGCAAAGGGTATCCGCTCCGTTCGCAAGTACCCCCTCACTGGCAAAGGAAGTACAGTTGGGGGTGACCGAACGACGCCATCTTGCCTGACTGCAATATTTTGCCGTGAATCGCGGCCACTGCGTGTACATAGTACAAATCCCCTGGTGTACGTGCGTCACACACAAGGAACGGTGGGCGCCTATCAACCAGCGAAATGTATGTGTCCCGCGGCCCACCCATGGGACGTCGTTCCCTGGCAAAAGGGCGCCCTCTTTTGTTGGTGCACGGAGCCCATAGGTTATTCACAAATGGCTTATTGCAAATGTTTCGTACTCATATGAAAAATAAATATCTGGGTGTGAACAAATTTTCACAATTAAGTCACAGACATCTTGACGGCTGACAAATTAACCTACCATTGTCCTGACTGCATACCAGCGATGTCGCTTCCCAGATCATCGCCTCGCCCTCTGTGACCGTTCCGTGTTTGTCCACGCAGTAGCACCTTCAAAAAACAACAGGCATCAAATAGAAGTGATTTAGATTTCTAAATTGTGCCTTGTTGCTGATAACTGATCTATTTTGTTCATTACTGCATGGTAGGATCAAGGTACATGTTACAACTTAATACCATTAAAAATAATTTCTCTGCATAAATTGAAACCAATCTTATTTTTCAACTGAAAGAGTCTAGTTGCAAGGTATACAAATAACCACCAACAATCACGATTCAAGATAAATGATATAAGCTGATCAATCAGGGGTAACAGAAAGCAACAGAAAGTTTTGTTTTGGTGACTCGATTGTCTACTATATGTGTGTATGCAAACATCAATACTAGACTTACATAGATCCTGAGCACTGTTTTGGAGCATAGAAGCCATCCTCGTCACAGTTTGGCACCTCGCCACCCAGGAGGTGACTGTTGGCTAGTCTAGCGGCCTCGATTTTGTCCAGGATGTCTTGTTTCTCTTGAGCGCAGGGTCCAAGATCATCGCTCTCGACCGCATCGTTGTTCCCATCATTAGTGACATCATCGTCAATGTGAGTGTCATCGTCATTGTCATTAGTGTCATCGTTAGCTTGTATGTACTCGCCTGTTATATCTCCTACAGCCTGCTTCATTTCTAAAGGTAAAAAATCAAAGAAAGTCGCCGAAAAAAGTAATTGATATTACTATAAAAGTAAGAATAACCTCCAGAGCAAATATTTTCATGTCAAAAAAGAAATGTTGCACAGCATGAAATTTTGACACCAGTTTGTAGGGTCGTAACAAATCATCTTCTTCCAACAACAGATAGTTGTCACTCTCCACATTGTGAGCATCAAGCCACTGTGCCAGTCTTAAATAGCAAAGGAACTTCCATTCAGTAAATCTGTCCCCCCCTCCCCCTCCCCTGGTCATTTTTTCTACCTACCCATTTTCTTCCTCTTGACAGCTAGGATGGTCTTCTGCAACTCCTCTGTACTCAGCCCAGACAAGAAGTCCAACAAGGCTTGCATGACCTCCTCCTCTGTCTGATGAAGCTCTTTAAAGAAACGGGGAAAAAAATAGAGCAGATGAAACGGTAGAAGACATTGTGTGGCTTAAATGAGGATACATCATATGCATGCACCATATGGCTTGCAAACAGTAGTACAGAGTATTAAGTATGTGTCTTGCTAAATGTGTAAGGCAATACATACTGGAACCTTTGCGTTCCAATTTCGTGTATAAAGTAGAAAAGAAATTAAGAAGGGTTTAATGCTATCCAAGTACATTATCTTTTTTTTTAAATGCTGAAAAATACTAATGTTTAATGAAAGTCTATTGGTCAGGACAGTAGATTAGGTGAACTCTACTGAAACTTTGTTTGCAATCTTTAACATTTTGAATGTGTGAGATATGGGGAGTCAGGTTGGCGTGGATATCCATTTTTCTCTACTTTGAAAACGTTTGTGCAGAACGTTACACTTTTGCATGTTCTCCATTTTCTAAACACATGAAAAATGAGACAAATCAGGATTCCAAGATGGCAGTACAAACCTCTGTCATCAAGTCCATCTTCACTGCTAGACTCCTTGCTCTCCTCTGAATTGTCGTCCAGTTCTTCAAGAAAAAAATAATAAATTTACAATCCAAATGAGATACAAAAATGAGAGTCAAATCTCTTCTAGAATGTAATGCTCTACCAACTGGGCTATCAAGCCATGTGTTGTTGGTCTCCCAATTGTTATATTTTTCAAAAAGCATTGGGTGTACAAAATATAGAATACCTAGTCCAAATTATTTGGCCAAGGCTGATAATTACACAGCCAAAAATGATTTCTTAAGCAAGAAAATGATTCTTCATTAAAGAATATAATTCTTGTTCTGAGAAATGTCATAAGAAAAACTTCTTTTTTTTGGAAAAAAAAAATTTCTCAAATTTGGATGTTTAAGAACATTAAGAAAATTTTTCCTACTTGCTTTCTTTTTTCTTAGTCAATTTTCAATTTCAAGAATATTTTCCTTATTGTTAAGAATATTTTTCTTTAGTTAGAACATGATTTCAAGCAATACCAAAAAGGATTTTCTTGAGCATGAAAGTTTTTCTAAGAAAAAGTTTTCAAAAGCACAAGACAATTATCTTTCTTAAAATAGTACATTTTCTACTTGTTAAAAGATACCTAATATTTATATGTCGTGTTACAAAATTAATCAAGAAAATCTGATTATGGCCAGAAATATTTTTCTTTACATATTTATAATCTTCAACACTTCAAGATGCATTGTCCAATACAAAAAAACCTATCCTCATTTTCAGAACATTTTTCTTGAATGAAAATCAAATTTTATGACTGTGGGCAGAACAACAGAGGGCGCTGTTGGGGGAGTGGCCACTGATAATTCAACAGTGTACTCAATTAAAAGTGTGTTGTTTCTGCTGTCAGGCCTGAACATTCGCTTACAGTTTCTATCATTTTATTCTGCCACAGGTATGTTGAAAGTTATTATTATTGTCATGTTTTTACTTAATTATCAGAGATTAAGAATGGCTATTTGTACGAACTTTATTGTTGAAGATGTTTAAGGATTGAAAAGATTGAAAGTAGTGTAAGTCTGTTGTTTTAAAGTTATATAGTACATGTATTGAACATCGCACACATAAGCATATGCATGAGCCTATGGGTACCAGCTGAAGCAACGTCTGATAGACTCATGTGCTACTACTGACTGTAGCCAAGTTTTTGGACAAAGCCATTATCTGATCTTAAAATACACTCTCAAACAGCTTCAAAAACTCTTCACCCAAAAAAGGTACAGTTTTTGTTTCTTTTTAAAAAAATCAAACAACATCGACTACAACTGGTTGCCGTCCCCGAATTAATGTTGTACAAGGTGGCTTTGCCGCTTCGTCTGGTTTGATCAAGTTTTTGTTTGTGTTTAGAATGTACCTAACTTTAACCTTCCTTTAACCACTTCAAAGTTTACTCTCGATGACAGCGTCCCAAGGTGTAAAGACATAGTAGCTGATTTGGTTTATGAGTTATAATTGAATGAATTTGGGTCAAAGTTTCCCTCAGTGACTTGTAATTTGATACCTGATGATGTCATCATGATGCCATAGCAACGCGCATACCCTGGGATGTGGGTGGATGTTTGTTCCAAGTTTCAAGTTCATCTAATGCACCGTTTAGAAGATAAGACAGTGAATGTTGGTGATACCTTGCTTCCTAGCCTTGACGGCAGCCAGTAAGCTCTGCAGTTGATCTGCGCTGATATGGCTGACAAGATTCTGAATGGCCTGGCCTATTTCTTCTTCTGTCATTCCATCATTATCATCATCATCATCATCTTCTTCTTCTTCTTCTTCTTTTTCTGCAAAATAAAACATCAACGGAGGCTTCAAAATTAACTTGGGAATGCAGAGCACAGGTCAATTAGGCTGTAATAGGATACAGAATCTGATAACCTACAGACAGCAACTTTTTCTTTGGTCAAACGTTTTGTTATGAGATACCACCCACTGCTTGAAAACTTGGATTACTCGGCGCTGCCAAGGAAGTAAAAAACGAAATGCCGAAATGTACTTTTCCAAGAGTTGGTTGTAAGAAAAGAAAACTCAACCTTCAGTACCTTGGTCCTTGGCAGCATCCAACATGGTTTGCAGATCGTCGGTGGTGAGGTGAGTTACAAGATAGTACACAACCTTGCCCAAATCTCCCGGCGTCAGTGCCCCATCTACAAGAGATAAATGTTGTATATTAGTCAGATATATTTTACAAGACGATGTTTTAGAGATGTAGCCATAGCTCCACAAATACTGGGTTGCCTCCAACTGATTTTTCAATCTTTTTCGAAAACGTCTCGGAATTTAGGGAAACCACACCCCCCATTCTATATTCCGGAAAAGCATTCCTCAAAATTTCTCAAAAATCACAATCTTCCACAAAACCCAAAATTTTAAGAAATACAGAAACATTTAAAAGTGTTTTAAACGTGAGTTTGTTCACTTTTACCATATGAATAAAATTATTTGGCTAAGAAAATATAAAAACTTAACTTTTTTTATACCTTGTTTTTTCTGTTTGACAGTCTCAATGAGCTCCTTTAATTCCTGCACGCTAATGCCTTGCAGAAAACCGTTCGAATCACCATCGTCATCATCATCATCATCATCATCGTCGTCATCATCATCACCCCCAGTCTCACCAACACCATCTTGACCGTCTTCATCATTCGCATCTTCACCATCTAGGCCTCTTGGACTGTAGCCTTAAAAAAAACACAAAGAAAAACATTAACCTTATAAAACAGACATGTTTCATACAAGGAATTAAGAACAAGATTGACTTGGGGTGAATTTCTTAGAGATGCCTACAGCAACTACTGCTTAGCAAATTTACGTGCTAAGCGATTCAGCTGAGGACCAGTGCAAACAATGTACATTGCAATGACGTTTTAGTTGGTAAACTTTTTTTTGCTAAGCAAATATGTTATGCGCTTAGCAGATTTCTGTACTTAACAACTCTATAAAATTGTTTCTCTGGTGGTGATTTGAACCGAAAAAACTGAGAAAAATTATAATAATAATATTAATGATATGAAGCGCATTATGTGTTAATTATATTATTTTCTCTGTGCAAATGTGGCATATATACACCTCAAGCAGTGATTTGAAATGTTGTAGGCATGAGTTGATTGTGTTTTTCCTAACCCTTTAGTCACTGTAGTGCCTGAACTCCACCCCCCCCCATGCCTATTACTCCCTGTAACGCCCAAAACTGCCGTAGTACTCTATGGCAGTGAATAAACACAATGTAATACAATGTAGTACAGTTGCTAATGTGACTGCTATTTATCAGATACAGAGTGTCATTGTGTCTATGAATTTTAAACACAATTTGCAATTATATATGTAAAAGTTTCAAGTTTTTTGATCAAATCATTTTATGCAGTATGATTCAAATCAATGTTTCAGTAATCTCCTAGGAATAAAATAGTAAACAATGAACTGCGAGCAGACAAAATCTGATGAGCAATGATAGTTTTGACCAACGGGAGTTTTAAGCCGTCTCGTGAATAATGCATGAGGGTTAATCCAGCAGACTGGTGCAGATGTATTCCAGCAAAAAAGTGACAGACTTGTGTTGTCATGGTTACCTGGTTTGTTTTGTCTGAGCATGCTCAGTAACTGTTTCAGGTCGTCAATGGTGAGGAAATCTAACCTAGCCAGCATGTCATTGTTGTCAAGCTCTGTTGTGACCAAAGAAAACAAACTTCTAAATTTAAATAGCCGCATCGTGAATACGTATGAGGCACTCAAACATTAATGGTCTCTGTACTGTTGGCATGGTTACCTCTTTTGTTTTCTTTGAAGTCGCTCAGCATCTGTTTCAGGTCGTCGATGCTGATGCTGTCAACCATTGCCGTCTTGTCATTCTTGTCAAAATCATTCACTGCATTAAAAATCAAAACAAACCAATATTTCAAATTGCGTCGATTTTGCAGTGCTGTCATATATTTACTCAAAACAGAAAGTTAACATCAGATCACACATCTCGGTTTCATCTCTTTTAATGTCAGTAATTTTAAGCTAAAAATTGAATCCACAGAGTTGCCAATGATTTGTATTCTTGCAACTGGGTTTACAATAACAAATCCACATTACTGTTTGAAGGTAGAGTAGATCATTTGCAGATATCCAAAAAGTAACTGACCAAATTATTGTTAAAAAGCTTACTTGTTTTAAAGATAGTAATGGCACTAAACTCCCTGTGAAATTATTCCTTCTGGCATGCTGTCATTTTGAAGAAAACAATATAAGGTCATTTCCAAACATGTGTCAAGTGACACATTCTTGGAAATTTCTGTTAGTTGTTGGTTGGCAATTGGGCGAATCCATGAATGGGTGTGCGCGAGTGTTGACACGACGCACACGCAGGCGTAGCTGCTATTATTTGTCGGTTCATGCATAGCATGACATCGCGTAGCTGCAATCGGCTCAATGAGAACGTGTCCTGGATTTCGGGCGCAATTCGAAATATGACTCGGCAACTTTCAAATTGAAATTGAGAACATAGAATATTGTTTTCTCCGAATATACAGTGCTACAACTTCACCAGGTTAGTTGTTCAGCATCTGTCTTTAGATTTTAAGCACTTTTGCTGCTTCAAACGAAAAAAAATGCACCAATGACAAATGACTCTGCCTTTAATATAAAAAAAACCAATAAACTATATTCCTACTTGCCTTCTTTTTTAACAATGTCATCTTCCTCCTTTTGATTGTCGCCTGGGTAAAAATGAATCAGTTAACAAATTCAATGTATTAAAATTTTCCATTAGTATTTGTTCAAAAGGAAATTTCACTTTGAAGTTGATAGATCGTCTTTGTCTTAACTTAAGGCAGTATAAAAAGTAGTTCCACAAATTTGCATGAGAGACATTACAGAAGAAAACAGCCTGCAATCATGTGAAAATTTATTTTTGAAAAATTCACACGAGTTTACTCTCCGAATGTGGCAAAATGGGAGGTAAAGTTAGGGATGGAGTAACAAATTTCGTCCAGCTGCATGTAATAATTTCACTCTTTCTGAGGTTACTGACAGTCAGTACACTTTTTTTGTGAGGACTAGTGCACTCATTTTGTCAGTTTTCCAAAATTGAAAGTTTATTCGTTTGTTTGGAGATTTCCCTGTTCCTCCACTCCAGGATTCACAATTGAGATAACATGAACGAGTCAACCCACAACAATCCCGCACCTGGTATTTGTCCCAACACGGTGTCGCTAAACGGCTCATCCACAAACTGACCGCTTACACGAGCCTTATCCAGAAACTGTTGGAGTGCCTTCTTTCCAGGATCTAAGTGGAAAACGAAAAGGGTATTACTAAGCTGTGAACTTTACCTTACCTAGCTATTACTGACAATTTCTTCATTTGCAGAATTAAAAATAGGTAGTCAATATTTGACAATAAAAAAATTTAAAAAAAACGCAAACATGTGATAATAAAAACGACTGAACAAATCAACAAACAAAATGTCAGATGAGGTGATCCAGAGGCAAATGCATGAGCATTTGGGAACTCACCTACTCCATCCTGACTTGCTTTGTCTTTTGAAACTCTTCCGAGCAGTGACTGTGAGAAAAAGTGAAATACAATGTACTGAATTATTTTAGGATGTAAATAAACTCTTCTGAATAAAATGGAAAGGGCTAATGGTAGTTAAGAGGGGAAAAAAATTAGTTTTCTGGAAATACGAACTTATTTCTAAAATGAATCATGATCTTCATCATGGCCATTATTACCTAAACGATGCTGTTCCTCATCATTATCAGCATGACGACATGGCTGTCAGCATCAACATTCTTCATCAGATTTCTCAACCATACTATCACCATCATCATCATCACCATCATCACAAATATTGTCACCGTGACTACAGTAGTATTTCTCATTATCAAAGTCATCACATTAAGAAAAGCTTAAGAAACAACCTTCAAGAGCAACATCAGCTAATGGTAATTAAAAAAAAAACCAGGCCTGAAGGAATGAATCAAGATTTGAAATATTGAGTGATGATGTTTTTCTGTAAATTGAAGGAAGTTTGGGATTTGTATCCATTATGTAAATATTATTACATTGGTCAGTTGCCCCCCCCCCCCCCCCCCCCCCCCCCCCCCCCCCCCCCCCCGGATCCATCCTTGGTACTGTGCTCATTTACTCAATTTCCAATAAAATACAAGTTTCCTCTTACTGCTACAAGTTTTTCATCTCTGGTTGATGCTCCTCCTGCCTCCTTCTTCCTTGGTTCAGCCGCAGCGGCAGGATTATCATCACCAGGCACCTGACTTGACCTACGACCTTCAAGCTGTTTTGAAAAAATAAAATGAAATCTCCAAATGTAATGAACAAAATATCTATTAATGACTCAATACTGTATTTAAGTTTGTTCACGGGCAATGATTGAACTAATATATTCACTGCTAACTTTCCAGATTTTAATTTACTTCATCTTTTGAATGTTTCTAAATGCATCAAAAGTCTCTATGGTTTGTGAAGGGAATGAAATTTTATTTGAAAATCTGTTCCTAGTACTGCTCACAAATATTATATTTATTAGATTAATATGTAATCTGAGTGAACGGATAAATCACTTACTTTTTTCTCTATATCTTTGAGCTGAGGGGAAAAGATGCAAAACAAAATTATACTTATCGTGAGCATACTTTAGCATACTTAAGCATCTTAGCAAGTTAAAATGATAGTCCTTAGCATCAAAGAGAGTGTTTTCTTCAAAATCAGAAATTCATCTCCATTTTTTTCTTCAAAGTTTCAGGTATTGAAAATTAAGAACTGTTATTTTTTTCTTCAATAAGAAACTGTCCTCCAGTAATTGCTTACATTTGTAGAAATTCTGATCTAAACGGTAGGATAATCATAAAAATGAGCATAAATACATAGAGAAACTGTTAAAAAGCAAAAAAATGTCCTTTTACTGTTCATGGTCAGTTGAAAACAAGCAGAAACCAGAAATAAACATCAATTGTGAAAAACAAAACCAATAAAAACCATAAATATGAAAATATAAAACCGAATTCGACATACCTTTGCCAAGAGCTGTTCCTGCAACACAAATGGGGAAACAAAAAATAAAAACAGAAATTGAAAGTAAGCTGTGTTGTTATCTAAAATCCATTTGCCAATCAATACATTTGGGTTTATATGAAAACAACAAGAAGCAGTACTGTATCAAAACTCTGGAAAATGCTCATCTGAACACAAATGTCTTTTTCCTAAGTTCTTGTAACTGGAAATAAATGACAATATCTCACCTTATCACTGTTCAAATTGTGCCTTTTTGATGGTTTCACTTCTGGTTCTGAAATCAGGTTAAAGCAAATGACTTTTAGATAATAATCATGCATTAATAGGTTTCGGGAAAAAACACATGGCACATTTCATACTCGATGGCATAATAAAAAAAATAGTTGTGGATGAAGTTAGGTGTTTTTTTTGGGGGGGGGGGCAAAACGAGTGGTCACTTTTAGAATTGTCCACTTTTCTTTGACATGCAAACTATAAATATACACTCTGTGCCCTCTAAGTTAACAAAAACTGTTATAAATTTGCTTTCATAATCAAATACATCTAAATACATGCGCACATTTCAACTTGGAGTCAAAATCTAATAATTATAGGAAGACAATTTAGGCCTACAAATCACATGTAACAAAATGTGTTACTTTTGTGTTACTGCAAGAACCCATACAAGTTTAATATAGAACTAGATCTGTCCATTTTGTTCTAAAAACTCTTGTTCAAAACACTCTTTGTGTTGAAGATTTTCAAATAGCAACAGATGTTCACAGAAAGGAAACATACCTTGAACAGGCGCTGCGGAGACTGCAAGCACTAGACCACAGAGCAGCAAGATACGGGATCCGCCAAGAAAGTTCATGATTGCAAGTAATTCCTGGCCAGCATGCGAAACCACAGCAAGACAACTAAATAATGACGGCAGTCACGGCACAACCGCACTGTGTAGAAGAACCAGTATCCCCGCCAACACAAACGAAACTTGGTTGGAGACTGATATCACACGCACACTCGTTGGGGGTACTCATGTTAGTTTAATCAAAGTGCTCATCGCCGATTGTCCAGTAAACCTTTATCAGCCAATCAATGGGGCTCGTGGTTAAAGATAAACTTTGCCAGGGTTCAAAGTCTGCGTACGGACTTTGTTGAAAAAAAAAACTTGCAAGTTCACCAATCATTTTTGTTTGATGTGTAGTATGTTTGAACAGTTCTGGCGAACGCCTACTCTGTTTTCTTTCTTTCTTTTTCTTTTTGCTTTCTGTTAGAAATCAACCCACAAGACTAACAAAGTTGCACATTCCTGACTGTTTGGCACTTGGGAAACGAAGGAGTGTTTTGTTGGGGTGACAAATTATAAAAAGAAAAAAAAAGTTGGGTTTTTTTGGAAACACCCATGCACCTGTCTGATGGGTGCACTGTTTATTTCCACTGTTTGTTTCTAGGTAATATTCCATTCAGTGATGATGTTGTCGGATATTTTCGGTTCCTGAAATTTTTATTTCCAAGTTCCTTCTTTATGCATTAAAAATGTGCATGTGATAGTGTATTTACTAGACAGAATGACTATGTCCATGGTATAAAAAAAAATCCAATAAGAAAAGGTGAAAATTGGCATCAATTCTAGAGGGTAAGAAAACATTTATCTCTTTGGAACTCCTTGGGTAGTGCGTGTTTCCCTCCATTCTATGATCTAGCCTGTTTTAAGAGGAATATCAGTTCCTACCTTCAGCCCTCCTGATTTTTTTCGTCATGTTTTTCTTCTTTTTAGCCCTTTGCCAAGAGTGGCTTTTATAGCCTTGCTTTGGGCGATTTGCATTAACAAAAAAAATAAAATAACCAAACGTGTTTAATAGTTATACCCTGTCTTTGACCACTGATGGCACATTTTTTTTAAAGTAAACTGGGATATTTTATTTCCAAGACAACTGGGATATGGATATATTGAATAGTAAATTTATTTCAATGTTTGATGAAAGATCATTGCAAATAGACAATTGTTGGAGATACATCGGAGACATTAGGAGAACCATAACGATAAAACTTTATTCAAAGGTGGAATTTGTGTGATCATTTCACTTCCTTTCAAATTTACAATTAGTGTCGTTGAATAAATTGGGTTTTCATGAATTTGCCGATAAACTGCACTCAAGTGAGGGATTTTTCCAGAGGACAAGACATTACAAGACAAACTGCTCACATTTTAAAGCAAAATTACCCTTAACTGAAATGACTCAACGAGCCATTAGCAGGAAATATGCCATAAAAATTATCCATGTTCAAATCAAAAGAAGATCATCCATAAAGGCTTTATCAAAACCTTATCATCACAGAAATGTACTGGTATAATTCAATCTTATTTCACCAAATTTCGTCAGCTCATTTTTATTTCCAGTTTGAGGATCAGTCTGACCAGCAACTTTTCGACACAACCTTTGAATAAAGTTTTATCTTTATGGTTCTCCTAATGACTTGATGTAGCTCCAACAATTGTCTGTTTGCAATTATCGTTCATCGAACATATTTCAGTGCTGTAAATAGGACAAACGTCATTGCTGCGGCATTGCACAATGTGGGTTTTGGTTTCTTCTCGTCCAGAGATAATATGGAATTTTAAGAATGAAAATCTTGGAGAAAGGCACATTTGTGAATGTTTCAAACTAGATATTGTTTAGAACATACTGGCTGATAGAACGTCGTGCTTGAAAAATTGAAAACGGGAGGACAAAAACTGCGTGTGTTTAAAACACTCTCCATATCTTTTTTTGATGAAAACAAAATTGATAAACAAAGGGAATGATGACAAAAATATAAAATGTGAACGAGAGTTTGATAATTTATGTTGTACAAATGATGTAGGATGCTTTACACAAAGACCAAACTACCGAACAATAAAAACAGCTCCAGCACAGAACTTTTTTTTTTCAAATATAATTATTACAATTTATTTTTTCCCACTTTTTATCCATATTTCTTTTTCTACTTTAAGTAGACTCTTTGACAAACATAAGCTTTAACTGACAAGCTATACGCACACCATAATATGACAAATAATACACGGTATGAAAGGCGTTTCAATAGATTATTCAACGACAATAAATATACAAATCCACTCAAAATATTTTCAATTTTTCAACTTCAATATGTACACTAATAGTTGGTAAGGGTTACAAACGTTAGGCATAAATACACCGGCAGCTGTAAAAATGCAAATATACAGCAATGCAAAACATTTCTGCTTTAATCTGAAAGCTAAGTGTTTGCTTAATGAATGCTTGTTCAAATTACTTGAAATTTACCAAAAATAATCATACCATATTCAGGGATGAGCTTTCGGGAAAATAAAACATCCACAAAATAATCAGCAGAGGGGTTAAGTGTCGCTGTAGGCCCCAGAGCAATGCAGGGTCTGTGGTACATGTTAATATTTGCCTAACGACACCCAGTTCTTTTGTTCTATATACATTTTTATAGATAAAACCACCTTTATGGTTAAACCTCAGGAACTCCAGATTTCAAAAAAGAATTTGGATTTTAAAATCCTGAAATTATGCAAAATCCTGACAACAAATCATGAAGACAGAAAAAATCCTGACAAATTTTAACCCCGTTTTTTTTTAACTGATAACAATTTTTCTGCGACCGTGGATGTATTTTTGCACGATGTCAGTCGGCGTGTGGATTGCATCAAAGGCAGGCAACAACAGACACGTACCCAATGTTCTAAACAAGTCCTCACAAGTCAATCAAGGCAGTCCCTTGTCATTCTTCGTCCTTCCTACATGTGACCTAACTTATGATCTGTCTTAAAGATGCATCTTTATTAAAGCCACAATCCGTAAGTAGTTTGTTTTCTCAGCTTACTTTGACTCCAGCAGTCTTCAGCACGTCGGCTGCTAGCGACGACACGGCGACGTCGGCATGTGAGCTGGCCGTCTGCACCATGTCTTGCAGAGCAGCGCATAACCTTTGACCTTGCTCCCTCAACATGTCGGCGTGCTGTTTCTCTGTCGATATCTGAAACAAAAACCAAAACAAAAGCGGAATGGAAATTTAACCCACATTTCAAGATATAAAAAGATATGAATATTTCTTATTTTCAAAACTGATAAAATTAATACTAATATTAGGATAATAATATTAGGAAGGCATTCTCATAGACTTTAGACATAGACTAAAACCAACAAAAAACTACTATAGCCACATTTCTAAATACTTTTCCCTCCCTAAACTGTTCAATTATACTATTCCCGACCTACAGAATCTTTTAAGCAAATATCGACAGTAAAATTCCTTCTAGAAAGGGTAAAGCATTCAAGCATTAATGACCAGTGACTCCCTAAGGCTTTTCTTTCGGTTGTTGTATTAAGACAATAACTGGATCGCAACCTTCATGACACTGTGGTGGAACACCGGTACGGAACTCTGGAGGTAGCAGGTTCAAATCCAGCTGAAGTCAATTTCTTAGTTTAACCATTACGTCAATTCAAAGTGAACCTAGTCCGTTTCCTTTCATGGTTTGTTTGATGATTGATAAAGATTGGAGACCTACCACTCTTTTGATGAACCTCAGCAGTAACTTTTGTCGCTTGGCGTCAGACTTGGGAAGCGCCGCGGCGAGGCAGTCCATGTTGTCGGGCGACATCGTGTCTTTGTACTCCCCGCCAAACAACTGGGCAATCAGCGACAAGCACTCGCATGCTGTGTGCTTGAGGTCTCTCTCCTTACTGCAGATCTGATAAAGATGTTGGAAACTCTAAATCAGTACGCTTTTGTTTCAAATGTATCAAGTGAGGAAGAAAATTCCAATGACCATTTTGTTTCAAAGTCTGGTGTGGTTAACTTTACAAACCCTTAAGCCTTTTGCAATTTTACTTCTACTTGAGAAACTTCAAGAATCTTCAAAATTTAACACTGCAATAAACAAAAGGCACATTGGTGTAAAGAAACGTGACTATGTGTTGTACAAAGCTGTATCAAAAATTGACATTTCTGTCAACAGACACTGATATTCACTGAACTGTGTCAGTATTAAAGCCCAAACCATAGCCCAACAGTTATATACATAACTTAAGCAAATTAATGAAAATAACTTAAAATCCTTACCAACTGCATGAAGCAGTCTGTGACTTCTATGAATGGTTTGTTGTTCAGGAGTAACGATTCCGCACCCCGTGTGTCGGCCTCAACACCAGATTTCTTGGCCTGTCAACCAACACCAAAAAAATAAAGAATTTAAAGTTTTCTGAGGCCGCAAACATCGGCTTTGAGTATAATCTGTAGACGTTATTTTTTAACCTAATCATGAGAGTGAATGTGAGGACACATTGTGTGCCATCTAGCACAGGGGTGGGTGGGGGAGGGGGGAGGGTAGGAGTGGGACGGGGGGAGGGGGGGCAGAAATGCACCTAATATTTGTTGTATTAAAGAATTCATCAATGTTTTGCATAATTCTCGCAAAGTCCATATCCATCCAATATCATTGTCACATTACACACGATTGAGTAAAACATGAAAATAACGCATCATGCTGGATATTTTCCACATACCTGCAAAACTTGGCGGACCGTTGCGGCCACATACTTCAGCAGTATGAGGCTGGTATCCTGCAAGCTGGTAAGCAGCAGCTGGACACTCTTAGTATCTGTGGTATCATCCGACTCCATGTAAATATTCACACCCTGCTGTAACAGGCTACACAGGTGATCCACAATACCTAAACAAGATGAAAAGTTTAGAAGTGAAAACTTCCACGTTGCAAATTAGTTTACTTTCTAAAATACTGGCATTTATCTTTTATGTCTTATTTGGGGGCTATGGCTATGGAAGTGAAATTGATTTCTTGGACTCTTTGACCAATCAGCAATGACAATATGCTCCTTATCGGTTAATCAGAGGACAGCTTCTCACCTTGGTCATACAGTGCCTTCATATTGGTCCCTTTGTGGCTGACCAAACAATGCAGGATTCCTACGAGGTTTCTAACGGCGCTTCCGATTGGTGCATTCTGGTGGTCAAGCAAAACCTGGAAGAGGACTGGATATAATTCCAACTCCTCCACTCTCCTAGAAAGAGTTAAAAAAATGGTTTTAGTCTACAAAATTCCTCTTTTTGGTTGAATCTCTTCTCATAATGTGAAATAACAAGTTCTTCAATAAAAATCTAACCACACCAAGTGTACTAAAATAATTAAAATTTTGGTTTTATTTCTTCATTTTTTTTTAATCAAAATTTAAGAAAAACAAAAACTTTCTTTCCTTTTCTTGACTTACTTGATATAAGATGGACTTTTCTCAATCAACGCCAACAGAAGCTTCAGCCCGTAGACCGGTACCGGGTCCGAATCCAGCAGGATCTGCTCAGAGTGAGGCAGGAACCGCTCCCCGATAATCTCCTCCAGGAGCTTCGTGTTGGTGAGGGGGCGCTCTTCGGTCAGCTGGTCGTGCGTCAGGTACAGGGAGGTGGTCTCGGCGAAGAGGCGCAGGCAGAAGATACGGGTATCTCCTGGCCAAAGAAGGACAGAAGGTGAGTGTTAGGGTCTTGTCAGGCTTTATTCCCAACTGCACTCTCTGATAGTGGGAGAGCGTGGCCTAGTGGTTAGGGTTCGTGACTCATGATCAGAGGGTCAGGGGTTCCAATCCAGCTACTGGCCATATGTTGTGTCCTTGGGCAAGCCACTTCTCCTAAACTTGCCTCTCTCCACCCAGGAGTATAAATGGGTACCGGCATTAGCTGGGGAGTAACCTGCGAAGGACCGGCATCCCATCCAGGGGAGAATAGAAATATTTTCAGTCGTTTCATGACAGCGAAACTGGAGATAAATGCCGGCCTGATGGGCCATACTGTCTTGTGAAAGACTTTACTTCTTAAAGGGAAAATACAACATTTGCAAACATCAAAAAATAAAACTACCAAATCATTTTGAAATACCTTGCTGGACTGTTAGTGAATGACAGTGTAAAGCATCCTGTAAAATCATGGCACCTGGTATACTGTCATTTTCAAGAAAAGTGGTATTTTTGTATCAATTTCCAACGCTGATCGGCCGATCAGCGTTGGAAAAAACTGGCTTTTTTTCAAATACTGGCCCCAGTTGACCATCGCACTTGTTTGCAATCGATTACACACCTATGAACGGGTACAAGCCAGCTAGACTGGTTCCCTGACCTTACAATTCCCCAATATATGTAAACTGCTCTGTTTCTTCTTAAATGGAGTCAGGGAACCAGACTACAGGAAAATGATTGTTTTTCTTTGTTTTATAGCATTTTCGAACCCAAAACCTCAAAAAAGTCAGTGTAACTATATTTGCTATATATTTCCAACCCCCAAATTCCATCCATTTCTGAAAATTACAGCAAAAGCAAATGATGTATATTCCCTTTAATACACTCTATGACAAATGTCGTGCCAAAATACTCTGTCACTATGGACTCTATGCATAAACAATAGTTGGTGCCTTGTGATCTCTTGTCCACTTGTATACATTAAATTTGATTGATTCCTTGATGAATCCACAATATAATACGGTACTGGGGCGCTTTGGGGCGGTACAGGGAGCAACAGGCAGAGTGCTTCGTGCAGTACATGAAATCATAGGGATTAAAATCAAGTTGAGCATTGCGAAGGTATTGTTGAGAAAATTTGTAGTGAACTTGTTTAAGGAAATGAAAAAATGTGTTGTGCCCTTACGTTTTATGTTTTTCTTATCTTTTCTTTTAGGGGGAGGGGATGGTCGGGGGTAGGGGCGGGGGTGTATTTACCGTTATCGCTGGATACCAGTGAGGCAAGAGCTGGCAGGATATTCTCAATGATGACGCTGTGGTAGTCCATGAGGATGCTGGGGTGTTGCGCTACGGCTTCCAAGATGGAAAGAACTGTGTTGATGAAATCCGTGGTTCCTGATACACCTGTGAAAAGAAAAATGTGAACGTTCAAATCCTTCCAGCCATTAGGTAAATTTTTTATTGCCTTTTATTTTAACCTTCTATTTTACTTGAATTTACCTATGGCAGGTTCGATGCTTGTTTCTCCGCTGTCCAGAGACTGGACATGGGCCAAGAGATCACCGACATCCTCAAGGAACTTCTCCCCGATGATTCTGGCACGAAAGACCTGGGAAACGACACGGTAAGATTGACGAAACGTTATCAAGAAATACGCTGTTATTTTTGGTTGCTTTTGCGCCCATAACACACAAAAAGATACGCCTGAATTACTGTTGGGCCAGAAATAACCCGAAATTGTAAAGTAACTATACCATACCTAAACATGGGTGTTTTTTTCCCTCCATGTCTCATTCAAAAGTGAATAACTTTTGTACAGTTAAAAAACAAAATCTCATTTTTCGGATGAATGTTGAAAGTACCACGGGGAAAGCAAAGGGAAAATGAAGAAAGAAACCAAAGAAGTTGAAAACATTGTGGTAACGTGAAAATGAGTTTCATTCTTACCTGGCTGGTCACCAAGTGCAAAGCGACGGGAACCAGTGGTAGGCTCGTCTTCAGCTGTTTGGCTTGGACGCTGGAAGGATGTTTACGCCCAGCGACGGCATTCAATGAAGACACTGCGTCTCCTAAAATTCAAACCAAAAATTGTGAAGTGTTTGGTCAAAATCAAACCTTTCCGGGCAGCTGGTCAAAAATATTCTAAAATATAGATCTTCCCCTTTATAATGGCGATTTTTGAGAGCGGACTTTCCTGGGCAAAATGCCAATTTTGGAATTTCTGATGTAATGAAGGTGAAAAATGAAAAGTTGCAATTAAAGTTTGGGCTAGGCACTTCTTGAACGGAAACATATCTACAAATCATTTGAATCATCAATTTCAGAGGCAAATTCACACTCTAAATTTATCACGGCATATTTCCATCACATTTTGGATCACAAATTTGGAAAGAAAAAAACCCACACACACACACAAAATAACCCCAACATTTTTTGTTTGTTTTTTGTTTTGTTTTGCTGTATCTGCATTTTAAGCTCTGCCCACAAGCATCACAAATAGTCTACACATTGTCTTTCGTTTTCCAGCAAAATGTTGGATTTTTGAAGACTCAAGAAATGATCATTTACCTAGGATCTGAGGTATTATATCCACCAGGTAGTTAGTGATGAGACCCAAGCATTTAGCCAGGTAGTTGGCCTGGCCCTGGTTGTCCGACTTCCCACCCGTCTGTTGACGACGACCGTCACGTTCAATGTGCATCACAAGCCTGTTTCATAAACCGGGGAAAAAAATTAGTTTTGCTCGCCTGAATTACAAACATTTCAGACTTGCATTTCGAGAATTGTGCAGATAAAATGAATCCCTGTCATCTGACTGGTGGGTCGTGATCACATGTCATTTAATTATTCGTCCCAACCCAAAAAGGATTTATTCAGGTGTTGTATAAAACAAAAAATGAATGTTTCACATTCGTGCAATGGAAAGAATAATTTCACTCAGTAGCAGATGGAACGTTCCATTCCACTCAACTTCACCTCATGGAAACATTCCATCTGTCACCTCCTGAAATTATTCTTACCGTTGCACTCATTAACATTCAATATTTGTATATTAACATGCTTTGTGTGGTACAGTGAGAATAGGCAATCAAATAGACCTTTATCATGCTGCCACCATTTCAGTCATGTTCCCTGTATCCAATAACAGTACAGAATGATAATGTTTTTAGTGCAAAAAGGCACCAGACTATTTTTCCTTCCAGCCTCGCTTTGGTTACGTTGATTTGAATGGGAAAATAATCAAGATGGCCGCAACATGATAATGGTCTATGGTGAACACAGACAAGACAACGTGACGGGTCCTTCAAGTTGGCAATACGGTACCTTGCTTGGCAGGCTACGTGTATCATATCCATGTTGGTGTTTGTTACCTCCAGTAAGACCAGGAAGGCCTTCGCTCGGATCAACATGGAGGGACTGTCTAGGAGTCGGATGATCCGAAGAATGAAATCCTGTCCATTGGGGTTGACAAAGAACGAAAAATTAGTTGGGAATCTCGCGAACTCTTGACATGAATAATTGCTGTGAGGTGCCAGAACTGAAGACTTGCTTTCTATTGTGCAGCTGCATGGGGTGTTTTTCTTGTGCAAACGATGGCAAACTGTACATATTAAAGGTACAAGTACATAGGCATTTTTTGTGCATATTTTTCATTTGAAACAACAAAATTGCTCAAAATGTTGAGAAAGCATGCATAATAACTAACCTGTTGACATTTCAACTCAGTGCATTCTACATGTATACAGTTTGAGAAAACAGAGAAAACGTACACACTATTTTGGGGGTATTGTAAACTGGATTCTGTTTCGAACGTTGCTATCGCACGCAAAAAAGTATGCCAGCTGGCACCCTTTTTTGAAACCACCTTTAATGTTCGTTATATTCCAACCAACACCCTTTCAGGTGGAGTAATTTCACAGGGTTTTTGACATCAGGCTTATCTCCACTTTGAGCAAGGTTTCTGTCATTAAATCAGTTGGTACTTTTCTTGGCAATTGCAAATAATCCCAAGTGGCTTTACGATCCAATTCACTTCTGTGCTGATTCACTTAATGGTAGCAAACACATGTGCACAATATGTCAGCACTGTTTTGTATATTTACATTATTAACCCTAACCGAACTCAACCCATTTTTAAGATGGAATTTTGCGTCAGGGTAATGTAAATCATCTCGAACTCAACCCATCAAACTCAACTCATCAAAGTTCAACAGCAGGTTTTGTTTAAATCTGTTGGGATAGGTTTTTACCCCTAAACTGATGGTCTTTTACACTGGGGTTGGCATACCTCCAGAAACCAAGTCCAATTGTGTGTGTGTACAATTTCCCATGTGGGTGTTGGAATTTGCCAGAATGGGTATGGTTCCTAGTAAATTAGGCTGGGGAGTTAGGGTTAATTTAACTTTTACCAATTTTTGTTGACAACGATAAAAAGCTCAGTATGCGACAATAGTTACACATGTACCAACAAATGTAAAACGTAAAAAAACCCACAAAGCCAGCTAACTTCAATGTATTGAGAACACTTGACTACACATCAACATGCCAATCTCTCCCCCCCCCACAAAAAGTGCATGTGCAATGGCTTCAAGGTGTGAATCAAGACAGAGGGTTGTTACCTCAGCATTCTGATGATGCAAGATGAGCAAAGGTTAGTCAAGGTCAAAGGTCAAAGGTTAGAGGTCATCCAGCAGCATGGAAAGGAAAACAAAGTGGTGATGTGAGGCAGTAAGGCAAACGCACACAGCAAGAACAAAACAAAATGAGTAAAATAGAAATATTAATTTTAATTAAATTAAACAACAAATCACACACATCAATGAAATAAAAATTAAACGTGCTTGGAATTTGAATTGTGAAAGTTACAAAAGCATAGCTGCCAACATTTCAAAATCCCAATTAGTAATCAACCCGCGCGGTCATTTTCAACTTCTCGTTTTATCAAAAGCTTTACCAACATCGAGTACAGGTACATGGTTTACATGTGCACATACATGTGCATACCCTTCTTGTTGTGAATAATAATGTACTGTAGGCCAAAAGATAATTTAAAAAAAATATATATATATTTTTTTTTAAATTACTTTTTGTTTTAATGTCTGTATTTGTTTGTTGAAGTCAAATAAATAATAACATCAATAACATGTGCGCATATTTTTTTGGAGATGCATGCTATCGATGTTGAGTTTCGAGTTCGTATCATGTTTTTACACACAATGATCTATGTCCACCGTATGCAATAGAAATATCCCGCCAACATACCTTGCAAACGCATGCTGATTTATCTTTTCTGTCTGTTGTGACAAACTCAAACTCTATTACCAATTATTGCAACCATACTCTTATTAAATTCCATGATTAAATTCTCGAACTGATGGGTCTCATCCCGGCAATAAGCGACAAAATGTGCTCACGATCGTCACTGAAAAGTACTCACATACAGTACACACAACCACACATCCACGAGATGCACACAAATGACACACCATTGAAAAATATTTTTTGTCTGGTCCTCAAGTACTCCACTGCGCACACTGCATTGATGTCTATTAGGTGCTTGACTGCATTCTTATTAGACTTGTCACCAGTCCATCCATTATCGCGACATTTCGCCAGAAGTTTTCGGTCAAAAACGATACTTTACATTTTTTTTTTTTCGTTAGGTAGAAAATGGTAAATTCGTAATGTTTTAGTGGCAAATCGTATTTTCGTAATTTAACAAACAATTCGTAATAATTACGAAAAAATCGTACTAGTTGGCAGCTATGCAAAAGTTCTCTCATTCAAGGAACTAAAAATTCACTCCAATATGCAGACAAGGCAAGGCATGTCAAAAGAAAAATGAAAAGACACTTCATCAACTCAAATCAAATTCTTTGAACCTCACCCTGGTTCCCCACCCCTGGTTCCCCTACCTCCCCACCCCTGATATCCCCTCCCCCTCCCCTTCCGACCCCCTTCATGCCACAGTTATTTCACCTTGTCCTGCACCAGTCTCTGTAAGTGAGAGCCTTCTGTCAGCAAGGCAGCAAACATGGTGACCAACGCCTGTTGCACTTTGGTGATGTTGACCGAGAGCGCTTCCAGGACGTTGGGCAGTCCTACTTTATCGATGACGCTCTGGAAGATGGCCACAGACTGCCTGGTCAGTCTGCACAGGGCCTGGGTAGAGATAATCAAAGTTGTAATTTGGTCAATCTCAAGTCAGTCACAAGTCTCATCACAACTCCATCACTAGTCAATCACTAGTAAATCAAAAGGCGGTCACAAGTCAATGGCACATCAATCACCATTCAATCACAATTCTAATCACAAGTTTAATCACTAGTAAATCAAATGCTGATCACAAGTCTATCACAAGCCAATAACAAGTTAATCACAAATTAGTAACTAGTCAAATCGTAAGTAACCCACAAGCTAATCAAAGATTAATCACAAGTCCATCACTAGTCAGTCACTAGTAAATCAAAAGGCGGTCACAAGTCACTGGCACATCAATCAATCACAATTCTAATCACAAGTTAATCACTAGTAAATCAAATGCCGATCACAAGTCTATCACAAAGTAATAATTAGTCAATCACAAGTCAAATCCCATATAACCCACAAGTTAATCAAAGATTAACCCTAACCGATCTCAACCCATCAAAGTCCAACAGCAGGTTTTGTTGAAAGCTAGTTCCAACTTACAGAGATGGCGGTAATCTTCAGCGCATCGGCAGTGGAATGGTTGAAGAGATGCCACAAGACGTGGCCTGCCTCGTTAGTAGCTAGCTTCTGGCTGTGAGTTCCCATGGTGGAGCAGACATTCTCAATACTCTTAGCTGCATAATGCTGGACAATGGAGTCTTCCTATAGACAGTAGAGGCAGGAATAACCCGAATGATCATTTGCAGGGCGTAACAGGCCTCACAGTAACCCTCTCCATCAATATAGAATTTTTTAATAGGATTTGAAAATCAAAATTTAGGTTTTTAAAGGTTTTCCAAGCACCAAAATATTTTCATTTACAGGTTTTTAGGATGCAAAACTGTGCAATGTTTCAGCATGAGGTAGCAGAAATATAGTGAATTACTTACCTCAAGTTTTCCACACTAAAGTTACAAATTTCATGCAAACTGCCAAATTCTAAAACACTTGTAAAAACATCCGAGAGATGTAGGCCTTTTGGAATTATGATAACTAAAGTGTGGGTCAAATTGATTCTTAAAAATTGTTCTTTAGAGATGTTTGCCAGAATAAAAATATAGGTATTTATAGGTTTTAGAGGTTTTGCTGTGAGGCCTGGTGTAATAATACTGTGTCCTTTCTGTAAATATTTTGGGAGTTTTCTCTGATTTTTTTTCGTGTATTCTGTGCATATAATGATAATTCTGCAAATACACTATGAGTATGACGTGAATATCTTAAGAGTATTCTGTGATTATAGTATAAGTATTCTGTGAATATCTTATGTATTCTGTGAAAATCGTATGAGTATTCGGTGATTATCGTATGAGTATTCTATGAATATCTTATGAGTATTCTATGAATATCTTATGAGTATTATGTGAATATATTATGAATATTATGTGAATATTGAAGTATTCTAAATGGATTCAATCTCCTACCCCTTCTCGGATGCACCTTGTGAGCATGGTGTAGGTGATAGCCGGGACTGTCCAGGCCTCTATGCTGCATCCTTTCTGCTCCTCCTGTGTAGCGACAAGGAACAGCAGCTCACCCAGAGCAGGCAGCATGCCTTGCTTCAGCTTGGCGTTGCGAGTGTTGTCTCGGATGACCTCCGTCAGAGCGGTAAAAAGCTGTGTGTTTTAAAGGTACGTAGGGTCATTTGCTGTGTGTGCATTTTCTTGTTTGAAGCAACAAAATTACTCAAAATCTTAAGTAGGATGCATAACAAATAACCTGTTGCAGTTTCAGCTCAGTGGATACTATGTGTTTTGAGAAATTGAAAAAACAAGTTCACATTTTTTGGGGTCTCGTAACTTGATTCCGTTGCTAACAAACGTAAAAAAGTGAACCCATGGCACCCATTTAAACCACCTTCAATGTAAAGTATCTTCCAAACGATACCAATTCAGGTGGAATAATTTCACAGGGTATTTGATACCCGTCCTGTCTTCACTCTCAGCAAGGTCTCTGTCTTTAAACTGTTAATTTTTTGGGTAATTGCAAATGTTTCACATGGCTTCAACAGATGACACCCCCCCCCCCAAAGAAACTACCATTTAAATTTGTCCCACTCAAGCCCCGATTTAGAAATCTGAAATTTACATACTTTCATAGTGTTAACATCAAGAGATGTTGGAGAATTTACAGAATTTTCCGCTACAGTATTTGGGGATTTTTTGCTAACAGTAAGCAGAACCACTGCATTGGCGCCTGTTGTGAAGTGTGTAAGCATTTCAACCGTGTATGCTACAACTTTAACAGGGAGTTTGCCGTTTTACCTCGGTGAGTTGAACGTCCTCTTCAAGTTCCTCCATGTTTAGAGCCAGCAGTCCGACGACACGGCCTGCTCGGCACCGACTGTCACACCAAAAAAGTTACTCTTAAAAAAACAATCATCACGTACCTTTGAGTTCTCCTCAGCCCTTTAAATATTCAAATTAACAGTGAGTTCTTGGATAGTTGGGGATGTTTTTCTTGTGACTAAAAGTAATTGACTCCGTGATGTTCAAATACCCCCCTCAACGGCTACAGAGAGAGATCTAGGGGAGACCACTGGAGACTACTGTTGGTGTGTGTGTTCATAGACATGTGTCCACTATTTTGTATCGTCAAGTCTTGCGAGAGGGAGATGTTGTTTCAATATTGGGTTTTCTCTTTCACCAACGTAACTTCTAAGCCCTGTAAGCACCCTTGGCTTGCTAGAAAAACTTGTCAAGCTTTCTCAGGGCGAGACTTGAACCCACAATTTGCCGCACCAGTAAGCTGCAATAGAAAGTCCCGGGTTCGAGTCCCACTCAAGTAAGCTTGGGAATTTTTTTTTCTTGCAAGCCTATGGACAGTGCTCATGAAATAATGTCGATGAAGGGCAAAACTCAACCTTGAATTGACAAGATTATTTATTCAATAATCGGTGTCACTTACACTTCGATAGCTTGGCTGGCTTTCAGGCACTGCAGTAAAGAGGCAATCTTTAAAAAAAAAATTGAGAAAATTACAAATGAAATAATTGTGTTCCTCGAACTTTTTTTAATCTTAATATTTTGCATGCACTATCATTAAAAGTTCAACACAGAAGTAAACAATTAATGAAGCAAATAAAACATTAACAAAATAATAGAGTAACTTTAGTCAAGTCTTCAAAAGTTGATCACATGTCAATCACAAGTCGTCCAGTTTTAAGTCAAGTGATAGGTTATTTAAATGAGCTGTTTTACAGACATTCTATTGCCTCTGTACATCCCTATTAGTTGTGACCAAGCTTGTGATTTGACTTGAGACGGACAAAGACATTGGCAAAATGGGGAACCACCAATTTAGGGCTGGATAGCTCAGTTGGTAGAGCACAGGATCGGCAATCTGGAGGTCACAGGTCCAAACCCCCTGCAGTCAATTAATTGTTGTTCAACTTAAAAAACGGATGATAACCATGATTCTGGCAATCTTCAGTGACAGAATAATTGGATACTTTGCCTACCATTTTCGATTTGATGACCACAGCTCCCAGGCTCCCGTTACTGCAGATGGTAGCGATGTAGTTCAGGAACTGGACCTTGGAGCGCTGACCACTGGCCGTCTTGTCGTTCATTTTGTTGAGGGCTTCGGCTAGAACGTCCACTTGATGCAACAAGTCGGCCGTGCTGAGCTTTAACAGTTTCTCTACAGATGGTGCTGAGACTGGCAAGCTTTTAGCGTCGTATTTCAGAGGAGTTGGTTTTTGTATCTGTTGAAGAAGATTGATATCGTTTGGTGTAAGTATACTAACAAATTTATCGTGATTTATCGTGCCTAGTCCAGTGTACTTGCATTTAATGATTTTTTTTATCTTTTTTTCTAAGTTTGTTTAAAGTTGTGTTTCCGATGCTATTTTTCAGTTTAATCTTTTTTTTCAAATTTTGCTATTTTTCGAGCAATACAGATGTTATTCACTGTTGAATGAGACCTCGAGACATATTGAATGAGACATGTTTAGTTACTGAATAATTTTTTTTACAAATTCAAATAACTGGCTGCAAGACAATAATTCCATTCTCACGGGGTAGACTGGTTCCTGCCCCACAATCAGTATTGATAATGTATGGACCAGGAGCCAGTCTGCTCGCAAAGCGGATCTATTGTGCCCAAAACAAAACCCTTTTTTTTTCAGAGAGTTAAAAACATCAAAATAAACAAAAGAGAGGTTATTTGGTTGGAATAAAACACACAAGTTGAAAATTTATTAACGGAAAAAAAATTGAATTTGTTGAATAGCACGATGAAGGCAACTTTAAATCTCTATCCTGTAGGTGGTATTGTCTTGCTCTTGAACTGTGTCAATTAATAAACAAAACAATATACCTTTGCATTATCAATGATGGGCGACACTGTCAGATCCCACAATGTGTAGACCAGATCGCCTTTTGATCCTTCCTCCTCCAAGGACATTTTACGGTCTCTGTGATACTTTGCTCGATGTTTGCCGTCGCCGCCTCCTCCTTTGGTTTCCTTGGTAACTGATTTCTTCTTCCCGGATGATTTCCGTGGTGGGTGGGGCTTTACTTCTTTTACATCAGAGGATGCCTCGTAGGAGACGACAGGGGAGGTTTGTGGGCGTGAACTTTATTTTGTTGTGGGGGGGGGGGAGGAAAAACAATATTACGGTGAGGTCAGTGCAACAGCAGCAGATACGGATGATACTGTAAGCACCTAATTTACAGTCAGCGATCTTAAAAAACCTTAAAAATAATTTTTTTTAAAAATGTAAAAGAGGCGAATTCTAATATATGGATGAAAATCGTTTTATATTTTAGGTCCAACTGCAAAAAATATTTGGAAAGCGAGACTAGCACCACCATGGTTATAAATTGTCTGCCACCTTCCAATCTCAAGAGTTTACAAGAGTTTGATGCTACCTAATGGAAAAATGATTGCACATGATGGGATTTATTCCAAAACTCTTTTAATACTCAATGGTGAAGCAATTGGAGTTAATACAATCTGAAGGGATTTGATGGGATACAAATGGAATCTGAAGGGATTTGATCCAACATTCTTTATAACCTGACAGTGAATTGATTGATATTTGATTGGATCTGAAGGGATTTGATGGGATGCTGATGGAATCTGAAGGGATTTGATGGGATTTAATCCAGCATTCTTTATGATAACCTGACAGTGAATTGATTGGTATTTGATTGGATCTGATGGGATTTGATAGAATGCTGATGGAATCTGAAGGGATTTGATGGGATTTAATCCAACACTCTATCTGATAACCTGACAGTGAATTGATTGATATTGATTGGATCTGATGGGATTTGATAGAATGCTGATGGAATCTGAAGGGATTTGATGGGATTTAATCCAACACTCTATCTGATAACCTGACAGTGAATTGATTGATATTGATTGGATCTGATGGGATTTGATAGAATGCTGATGGAATCTGAAGGGATTTGATGGGATTTAATCCAACACTCTATCTGATAACCTGACAGTGAATTGATTGATATTGATTGGATCTGATGGGATTTGATAGAATGCTGATGGAATCTGAAGGGATTTGATGGGATTTAATCCAACATTCTTGACGCTACCTGATGGTGAAGTGAGCCTCCTTCGCCGCGGTATCGGTGGCCTCGGGGGTAGACTGTGGACGGAAGGTCTCCAGACCGCTGGACTGTAAGGACGTCCTGAGAAGATGGTGCTGGCTGGAAGCGCCGCCGGAACGCGAGATTGGACGACCGTCGGGAGAGATGCTGATCAGGTTATATTGCTATCAACAACATAAATTACAACGTTAGAAGAATGGATTCTACATAGTACAAGCAATCGTAAGATGATTGAATCCAGATCTTTTTTAAGAATCTCTTTTGCATAGAGAAGGACTTAAACTGTTTTATCTAATTACCTTAATGTTACTTGGCGTTTGTGTCAGCATGTCAACACTGGACTGAGCTGTTACTTCATGTGTGTCCCCTCCCTCTGAGGCAGCCTCATCTCCCTTGCCTTTGTCTGTCAGAAGCTGGCCTTGCCAGAAGGGGTGAGCGACAAGCTTGTGCCAGTCTAACCTGTTGTTCAGTTCACCAAAACAAAAAGAGGGGAATCTTGATGAGAAATTTGCAAATTTGACAAATTGTATTAAAATAAAAAAAAAATTCAAGTGTTTTTATACCTCTCATCCGGATCCTTTTGCAGAAGGCCTTCCAACAGACTGCAGAAATCTGGAGATGGTTTGGAGGATATCCGTGGTCCTGCAAAAACAGCAAAATGCCTAAATTGAATTTTCTTCCAACTTGTGTGACTCAAACAAAATAATTTCAAAAGATGGAATAGTCTTTTGGGCGTGTGTTCAACAAGCATGAGATTGAGGAATTAAAAAAAAAAAATCAATGAATATACCAACAAATGGTTTTGGGGCCAAAGAGGGCCCAGAAAAACGTAGGTCCATGACATTTATTTATTTTTGCCTAAATGCAGCATTTTTAGAATACCCATTTCTTTTGTTCTATATAAACCTTTTTAGGAAAGGACACCTTTTTGGTAAAACCTTGCTAATTCCAGTTTCAAGGGGATTACTTAAAAATCCTTGAATCAGGAAACATGCCGACCAATCCCCTCCCCCCTGGGCAGAGTTGCGGACAGTCTATCTGCAATAGGCTCATTGTATCAGGTATTATTTGCAAGATTCTGAAGAGCTTCCTCAGAATCTTCCAACAATGAAGTTTTCATAAGATGGCATTTTGCGTCGGGGTGATGTAAATCAAATTAGGTTTTGCCCTTCACCGACGTATAGATACTGTATACTCAGTGTGTTACCTCCCGAGTGAAAGTTGGAAAAAATCACTCGAGTGGGACTCGAACCCACGACCTCCTGCTTTCTGGTGCAGATGTCTCACCACTCGACCACCAAGCTAACAATGAAGTTAGCAGCATTGTTTACAACTGGAAAACTTCTTAGGTGAGTTGTTCACAATCTTGCAAGTACTACCCAAAACAATTTATCCCAAACATTTAATGAAAACTCCTGAGATGTTTTGCCCTTTTGTTTTTTTCTGAAGAAATATATGAAATCTATTAAAATAAGTTGTAAATATTCTTACCTTTTACTTTGGGCTGTGCATAGCTTTTGTTCAGCACCTTATCAACCAAATCAGGGAAGGTGTCTGCGGTAAACGGCGGTTTACCCGTGTACAGCTCGTACAAAACACAACCAAGAGACCAAAGATCGCAGGCCATGGAGTGCGTCTGACCCTGGAGTAGCTCTGGGGCCAGGTAAGACGGGGAACCTGTGAAAAAAAAAACAAGCAGGGGGAATTTCTTAAAGGTACCAAGTCAGGCCAAGTCAAGGGAAAGACAAAGATCTTTCTTTGAACTTACCCAATGTTCTTCTTTGTTTAGCAGCATCCCCGTTACCCTGGTCGGCACTGTCTCCACTGCTCCCACAATCCTCTCCTAGCGTGCTCTCAAACAGCTCATCCAGATCTTCACCCTCTACCCGGGACAGACTAAAATCATCAAACTTTAAGCTTCCTGGACCATCTAACAGAATCTGCAGGTTTGCGAGGGTAAAAAAAAAACACTACACCTATTTTTTTAATTTTTCAAATACGTTCAATTTCCAAACCGTTTACAAACGCCAGCTAAAAATAAAATGATTTTGAATCTAGCACTCTCAGTTCCTTCAAAACCAATTGGGGTGAAGTGGCTTGCCCAAGGACACAACATGTGGGCAGCAGCTGGATTCAAAGCCCTGACCCTCAGTCTGGGGCTAATTCCAAACACATTACAGAACTTTGCGGAGCTCTGAAAAATATTTGCATAACAAAAACAGGTCACCAGTCAAAAAATAACCTGGATTCATATTGCCTGTCACTGGTTCCCCGCTGATATTTTTGCTGATTTTTGCTATATTGTGCTTAAGCCACACTCCCATGTTCTGACAGAAGTTAACACCCTGTGTTAGTCAAAACGTTGATCTCGCTGACCCTACCTTGGATGGCTGGAGATCACTGAAGAGTATCCCCAGTGAGTGGAGATAGTGCAAACCCCTGACCATATCCAGACCAAATCGACGGACAGAACTCTCTGGCAGATGCTCGTCTTGCACTAAGAGCTGACGCAAACAACCCCCTGAAAAAAAAAGAAGGAGTCAGAAAATCCGGTTAGGTTTGTGGGGAGGGCAAGTTGGCAGAATTTAGCTCCTCTTTTGCGACATTGGTTAAATTCCCACAACTTGTGAGAAATAAACGGATACTTGAAGTCCCAACTTGCCAACTAAAGCAGATGTCTCACAACCAGTGTATTTGTGACAAGTCAATTCTCAAGTCCAGTCACAATTACCATGGGGATGAACAATGGAAGGCCTTAGTCATAGTTCATTTCAACAGCTTGTGTGTTGAATTTGATTTACTACACTGTTCATGACTTGTGATGGACTAGTGGTTAGGGTTCATGACTCATCATCAGAGGGTCAGGGGTTCAAATCCAGCTGCTGGCCGTATGTTGTGTCCTTGGGCTAGCCACTTCCCCCCTACCTGCCTCCCTCAACCTAGATGGGTACCGGCATTAGCTGGGGAGTAACCTGCGATGGGCTGGCATCCCATCCAGGTGGAATAGAAATATTCTCATGACACTGAAACCAGGGATACACGCTGGCCTGACGGGCCATACTAGCTCGTGACAGACTTTACTTTGTTTCCTTACCTGTGCACAACTCCACGACCAGCCAAAGATGGTTAGTCGTCTCGTACCACTCATAAAACTGGACAACGTTTGGGTGATCCAGCTCGTGGGTCAGGCGAACCCGATTGGTCACTTCCGGCCGGCGGGCTTTGTCCATGCAGTGGATGGCTACAAAGTTGATGGAGCCCTTGCGACGCCCCTTGTACATGATGGAGTTCTCGTCCCGGTAGATCTCATCATAGAGGATGAAATTCTCCATGTTTGCAGGGGAACTAGGATTAGAGAGAGACCGATTCACGTCATGATCAGAGCGGGATCACCTGCATATAAAAGATAATGTAATAGGTGGGTGTGGACATCCGGTATTTTTTTTAATTGGCTTATCTAGCTCCCAGACCTATGTTCTTGAAACTAAATGCCATGGTTCTTGAGTCTGGACTGAACCACATTTCCATCTTTTTTTCCCAGTGTAGTGATTTATATATACTGAGGAAAAAAATCAAGGCATATCTTCTTTTCTTTTTTTAATATTTCTATGTAAACAAAAAGACATTTTCACATTTCACGCTTCCATTACTTTTTTTAGGCCTCAAGTCAGTTCATCAGTGTCAAACGATGTGGATGGTCAATACATTTTGTAAAGATAGTGGATATTTTGCCGGAGGTAATGACGGCAAACTAACGATTTCTAAAGGTTTGCCGGCGGCAATCCATATCAACAGAGGGCGCTGTACTCTTTAAAATAGGGCTGAATTATAAGATGTATTAAATTCCCACCAAAAGTTGTGTAGCACGTTTGGTGAAATGGTTAAGCAAAGGCCCTAGTAAGCGGGATGACTCGCGTTCGATTCCAACCGCACCACATTTTAAAGTTTTTTTTTCTCATCCCCAAATAAATAAGAATATTCTTCTTTTATTATTTTAACATGTCTCAAAGTCAAACATTTTTTGCAGAGTAGGCCTAGGCCTATTAGGCCTACATTTTCTTTTTCAGATTTGTGGCTCTGGAGGATTTTTTTTAAAAGGGAAATAGCCGAAATTATAAAATGGTCTGAATCCCATCTTGTGAATACGACTACGAGGTAACAACGATAATTTTGGCATGGAGCCAGACTAAAACTTGTCACCGGAAAATGTTTAAGTACAAAAAAACAGTAACTGCGCATGTTCAGTGCATATCCGGCAAACTAACGTTTACTAAAGGTTTGCCGTCTCCGGCAAAATATACACTGCCTTAAACTTTACACACGATACACTACATAATACACTGCCTTTTGTGAAACCATTTTTCAAAATGTCATTCCTCCGTGGAAAAAAACATTACCCATATCGTTAGAAACTGGTTGCTCCACATGTTGGTTAGATTTAATCACAGATCTATTTTAAATACAGCTTTCTTTTTTCAGATCTTCTTCAAATAGTTGTTAAATCTTACCAAAAGACCTTTTTCAGCCCGCCTTTTTACTCGTTGCTGCGGACGCCGACCCAAAAAAATGACACAAATATTTCAAGGCAGGACGATAGCGCCCTCTCGTGTACATGTTATATCTGTACATTAGCAGTAGGTAAAAAAGAGGGCGCTATTCCATCTAAAACTAGAGCGCGAGTAAAGATAACAGTTGAACCCCCCCCCCAAAAAAAACTAACGCAGTTAACTTGTAGGCCCAGCAGTTCATATTATTATGTGCTACACTAATTATTAATATTTTCAAGTAAAACAAAAATTAAGGAATGCGATGAAAACGTGATGCAATTCTTTTTGGAAAAATAACAGAAAAAGTGAGCAAAACCAAGAAAACAAAAAATAGTCAACAAATCACAAAATAATCACTGCTAGCAAGCATATTTTTAGATTGCAGTTGTTGTCTGAATCATGTTCAAGACAAAGATAATTCTAAATAGGTCTCTAAATGATTCTTTAAAAACTGTTATTGACTATCACTATCAGCAGTGGCCTGGGGGGGGGGCGTGGGGGGGGCGACCTGGGGGGGGGGGCGACCCCCCCCGTTTCCCCCCCCCCCCCCCACTGATATTTTGAGTTTCTAAAAAAATTATCATTGATCTACATGACGCCCCCCATGAAATGTTCCAGCCCCCCCCCCTCCCCCCACTGAACTATCGCTTATCACTAATATCAGTATCAGCGATAAGTTTGGTCTAGTGTAGGGTCTGTTAGAAGCCACCGTACAATGCCTTGTCGATATCAGATATCCCATGCAAATGCGTGCAATACGTTTCACGTGCATTATTAATTCTTGGTAGGGCCTACGTAATTTAATGGCCGAACTTCTGTGAGTGCGAACCCTCACTTTTTGTGTTCAATGATTTGTTGAAAGATCCACGTGCGTAAACCAACATCAGTAAAACAGAAACGAGCGTCGTCGAATGGATAACAGTCTTTGGGAAGATGTAGTCCAAGCATCATTGGAAGCAACATGATAATTAGACCGTTATTTGGAGGATTTGTGGTGCAGTTGTGGGTGGCAGTTTCTGTGTTAGTCGTGTTTGATAAGGAGTGCGAAGGTACGTGCTATAATGTTTGTGTATTCGTTTGTTGACCTGCACTGCAGCGTGTACGCACTGCACATGTTTTGTATTGAACTGCGCAATCTTCATATATTCGTTTACCAGGCACTAAAAGTAACCCTCCTTGAGTCCTGTGCTCCCTAAAATTAAAAGCAGAAGTTAAATTACTTTTTGTCATTGTAATGATTGTGTAAGTTGTCCAATACAGGGACTAGACTAGACCCGTGAACGTGGCTTGTAAACTACGCCACGTTCTTATGTCATTTCGAACCTGGCGAACGTGTCCCTCTGACTCCCTCCGTTACACACACTGGACGTTATTTTGCCCATGTAATAAGTACTCACATATGAAGCTGTCTTGAATTCTATTTGTACGTCAAAACTTGCATTTGACGAAAATTGAGGAAAATTCTGGCCCCGGTTCATGAAGTCCGTCCGCTACTGCTAGCTGCCATTTTCTCCCAACTGACGCATGCGCATTGCGTTTTATTTTCGTATGATTCGACGGCTGTTTACTGTCGCAGCTAAAACAGACATCGTTTTAGACAAGTTTCAAGTCCTTTCCTCTCTCACCGCACCGCACGCGGTCGCACGTGCACCCGCGTGTGTGTGCACACACGTACTGCTGTACACGAGATGAGCCGAGCAGCCAATCGTCTGCGGGGTGTTTTTTTCGGGGTTGCGACATGAAACAGCCGTCAATCTGTCCAAGCGACTCAGACGCGTCCGGGGTTATTTGTCAGGGTCAGGTTAAAATCTAATTTCTACACGTTCGTATGGGTCTTTACTGATGGGCAAATTTCGTCGAAATTACACAGCCGAAACAATCGGACGGGCAAATTTAGATTTCTAGGTGAGTACTCAACACCCATACGGAATTATGTATGTCGGATCGATTTCGCCAGGTTCGAAATGAAACAAGAACGTGGCGTTGTATACAACGCCACGTTCACGGGTCTAGGACTAGACCGACATCATTTCAGCCTTGAATTTGTCATGTTTGTCATGTTTGTGAGATCACGGAGCTCTGTTTAATTACTCCTAGAACTACGATGCTCTGCGGCAGAGCGGAGCCTCATAGACAGCTTACCCCGCAAAATTGTTTGCTTCTACAAAACACCAATTAAACGTCCATCAAAACCAAGCCATTTCCCACAGAACTGCTGCACAGTTTGCCCCTAAACTCTGTACCCAACAAACATCGGTGGATTCTGTCAGTTTTTAGGCCAAAATGATGAAAAATGGGCCCTGTTCCCAGTATAATAAGAGAACAAAAATCCACTTTTGTGGTATTGGACTTAGCAAACTAGTTTAGTTTATTATGGCGACATTAAAAACCAACAGGTATGTCGTAGATAGAGGGCAGGGTTTTGAATTTTTTTTTTTTTAGGGATTTTTTTGGGTAAAACCATGGAGGTAGGAAAAGACAGAATGCAACACAAAAATGAAGATGGCGATCACTACGAAGCACTTGGAACGCACAAAGCCACGCTGATTCGCGTAAGAAAATCACATTCTCTACTGCAAGAAACTGTTCAAAATTACCCCAAAATTGTGTCATAAGAATTAAGAGAGGTCTGCCTTTTAGGATGAAAAAATCATTTTGAAACGATAAAAAACATCCTTGACTATAATTTGACCCAAACTAAATTGGGAAAAAAATGTTGCAACCTGATGCCACTTTTTTCTTCATATACATCTCAATGAAGGTCAGTCATTGCAAAAAAGGTCATACGTTTTGAGGTTATTTCATATATTGATAGTTTGCAAGATTTTTAATTTTTGTTTTACTCTTTTCAACCAAATGCAAACTTTAGGTTACTATGCGGTTTCTACTGGACCTATGCTATGTTTTTTGTTGTGTCTGTTCAATATTAATTGGCTTTAAATTTATTACCAAAAAATTGCATCATTATTCAGTCAAAGATAGGTTGAAGATCGTCTCATGAAAGTGGCAGAGAACATGAAGTCCCTGTCAGTTATTGAAATGTGATGGTTTTAAGCGAGTGATGAGGGTTCAATGAATTGATCAATAAATAATTAAATATTCTGGTCTATTTCGACAGCCATCCCAGAGCTGTACTTCACGGTCTTGCCGTCCAGTATTACGGTCCGGCGAGGCGAGTCCGCTGTTCTCCCCTGTGCAGCCTCCGGAGACCAGCCCATCAATATTAGCTGGCGTCGGGGTCGGGAGGCATTGCCGGGCCGTTACGGAGAGACCCAGGTCCTGCCCAATGGTTCCCTGGCGTTGCATTTCAGCGAAGAGGAACCAGCGTGCACCAAGAAAGGGTTCCAGTGCTGTGCGACCAATCCCAATGGGACATTGTGTGGTCCTGCAGTGTCGGTCAGAAGCACAGGTAAGATGGGTTCGTTTGAAATACTTTCAAGTACTGGAAGGCAACTATGTGCCTTTTAGTTCAAGAAGTAGGCTTGAAAATTAACATTGACATAATTATTTCCGACTTGGAAGTTGTTCTCTTTGTACAATATTTTAATTTCACCCTGAAAACAGCATTTTTTTTCAAACTATTGGCTTTTGAATGCGACATGAAATGAACAAAAATCTGCCCACATTTAATTATCGAATTATTTTGGCCCGTCAATAATTCAGACAGATTTTTTTAGAGGCACAAAAGCAACCGAAAATACAAGCCTTTTTCAGAAGGTTGCAATTGCTCAAGGTATCCAAAAAGAATTTTTTTACAAAATAATCAAAATGAATTTGGAGAGCAATCTAAAGCAAAGGCAGTACCAAAAAAAAAGAGTAAATAAAATGAGTCCCTGGAATATTTAAATTTCGTGAAAAAAAATTTGTTATAACCACATTTTTTAATAAAAAAGAAAACTAACATCTTTCATCTTGTGTATCTTCAACATCTGTGAGGGTTGTCAGATAGTGAAGAAAATGTGCATAGCATTACAAATGTTATTCTAAATGGTACATGTTTGTACAAGGCCGTGTGTTGGACTGTATAGTTTTCATCACACTGACATGACCTGTGACGGGTCAAGCCCTTGGTTTGGGGCTGTTGTTAAAGGCAAAGGCTGTAAAAGTTTGACTTTGTGAAATTGTGGATGGCGAGAAGTTGATGTAAGAATAGACCATTGCATGTGTCTGAGAGGGCCTTGTTTGTTATTTTAAAGGTAGCGTCCATCATTTGCAATTTGTGCATTATGTTCGTTTGAAGCAACAAAAGTGCTCAAAATCTAAAAGAACGGTGCTGAAAAACTAACATGAAGTTTCAGCTCAGTGAATGCTGTATATTTCAATATAACAATATTCTCGGATCTCGAAATCTAAAATTGCTGAATCATGCTTTGAATTGGGCCTGATTTCAGCGTCCGAGACACGTTGTCGATGTCGTGCATTGAACCAACGCATTGTAGCAACCGCGTGTGCGTCATGTCAACACTTGCGTGCGCTTCGCCGAAGAAAAAAATGAACTATTAACGGAAATTTTCAATGTGCATTTGGAGGCGTTATAGTGCATTTAGAGGCGTTATTGTGATATTTCGTGGTAAAACGGTGCAACTGGTAAAAGTCCTTTTTTTCTCAAAAACAATTGATGACGAGAAACTACAATATTCTTTACAACCCGTGGTACAAAAATTGATTAAATAGATTGTTACAGAGAAAAAATAGAAGACCTTGAAGTACTGAAAGATCTCACTTTTCTCAAAAATGTTTTCATGCTACATTCATGTACAGTACGTTTTTTTGCCATGAGAGGGCCGTGTCGTGTGCTGTTAAGATAGATATGAGCATGGTTGTCTCACTTTTTAACATACATGTAGGAAAATCATTGACTCATCATTTTCCCCACCGTTTGCTTTTAATTACAGTCTTTCGTCAGCCCTTGAGCTCAGATGCTCTGTGAGCTCAGGCTTTGTCACAGGAATTATTTTCGGAAATAGCAGCCGTCGTTTGAAAAATTTCAAACAATAGGCAATGTAGAGCATACATGTACGCATTATTAGTTTATAGTGAGACCAATCTTAGTTGTTTTTGGAATTCAAATACAGAATGGCAAAATCCATTGTGTGGATTGACTTAACATTTTGCGTTCACCATTGTTGATTTTCTGTATTTGTCCAAATAAAAGAGGGATGTGATCGGTCACATTTTGTTCGGTGGGTGCATGTGACGGCTTAAGATTGATTGTGCTACATGTAGGTCAATTTTGCCCAGGCAGTTTCTGTGTCTTATTTTCAGCCTCTGACCCATGTTTGGCTATGTTACATGTAATTGACAAATGAGGCCTTCGCACTGCTGATAAAGCATGGTACAAATCTAGCAGTAGGGGGCCTACTTTGTCTGAAATCAACAAAAAGTGAAATGAAGAAATAAAAAAAATGTAGAAAAAGAAGTATTTTGTACCTTTTGGGAAGCATGACCAATGGACATCAAGATACGTACTGTACAAAGTACTTTCGGTTTTTTGGGGGGGGGGGGAGCACATGAAGTTAAAACAAATTGTTTGATTGTTTTGGCTCTTTGTCTCGGTTAAAAAGTCCCATTTCAATGAAACATGATTGAATTGGCAAATCACTATAACACGTATCTTGTTAACCTTGATTACGCTCTATTAATTTTTATAGCTTGTGTATAAATGTTAAAGTAATGGTAAATGAAGTTATTTTGGAACGGAAAGGAAATAAGCTTGAACATGTACAGGATCGTAGAAGACACCGGTAGCTTATCTGTTTGGACAGTACAAATTGAATTGTGCTTATCTGACAGTTTGATGAGGAATTGTCCTGAATCACTTCCAGTGCTTCCGGAGTTGGACAAGCAAATCCTGCACACTCACACATCCGTACCCTACGCACTCGCTAAATTTCTGTTAAATGAACCTACGGTTGACCTTCTGTTAAAAGTTTGTCGTTTCACGTGCGCTGTATTTGAGATATTGTTGTCTTGATTTTTTGGTCAAGGACTTTACCTGATGAGACTAGTTTTGTATGCCTAGTTTATGTGGGTCATTCCATAGATCAGGCATGCAACTTTTCCTCGGATCCGCTGATTTCCTCGTTGTTTACTTCTCATGAATGCCATGACAAATTGAAAACCACTGTACAAAGTCTTGTGTGGTTTGGAATTTCCTTGTTTTTTTCTAAATTCCCAGTTGCATGCCTGATAAGTGTAGGTCATTCCATAAATGTGGGGTCCAAAAGTGTGAAATGTTTGTGTCCCTGTTACACCACTGCACCCGACCTGTGTGTGTGTGTAATTTTCCATACAAGTACTGGTATCACTAAAACTACTTCAAACTATGTTCTATATGTTTGGCGGGTACTTTGCTGTACAGAATCCCTCATGGAGATACATGTAGAAGGCATTAACACTAACGTACCGATACCTGAATCCATCAAAATCCACACTCCTGTTTTGGAGGATTTCGGCAAATTCAGGATACCTCCATATTGAAAAAAATTGGGGGATTTTGATGGATTCAGGACAGTCAGCCTTGCAGTACTGCAGGATTTTCATGGATTCAGGATATCTCGATATTGAGCAGTTGGGGGACTTTGATGGATTCAGGATCTCAACAGTTTTAACTCCTTGGCTTATACATGTATGTTTGGTGTGTACGAGGTATATGTACTACACTGGTGGATTCTGATGGATTCACTAGTGGATTCTGATGGACTCAGGACACCAACATATTTTGCATGACAAAAGTGGTGGATTTTGGCGGATTCAGGATACTTTCTAGTAAAAGTGCTCAAGGGGTAAGGGTTAATTAAAGAATGTGTCCTGAATTAACAAAGTCTTACAGCAGATATAACAGGGACACACACAAAATTGGACCCTAAATTTATGGAATGACCCATGTACATGTGCATAGTTTTACATTATAACTGTTCGAATTCTCATGCATTTAAAAAAAAATATTTCATAGTTCTATCACTGCACATAAGGTTCATGTTCAGGCGATCACAAGTCACATCTGTGCCGTACATATCAAGTTCACTAGGGTTCAAATGTTAGGGTTTGAAAAATATCCGCCACGAGATATTGGAATTAGAATAATAACACTGAGAGTCTTCTTTCCGTCATATTTAGTCATAAGAAACGGTGAGAAAGATTTTAAAAAGAAAAATAATCGAAATGAAGAGCGCCCTCAGGGGAGATCGGAGTGTATAGGATACGTTGTTTGTCCCACACAAATTGAAGCACTTGCTGTATTTCTGCGGTAACGAATTTATCAGGCACGTCCTGTGAGAAATGCAGATATCCAGATATCAGCACACTTGACGTAAATCATGACATTTGCAAGCTCTTTTCCTCTCCTGGGGAACGCGTACACGTACATATCATATCACTAAGTTTAACTGAGTTTCTCATCATCGTGATGGCTACAGCTTGATAAGATATGGCACTTAAATGTTTACAATAAATGAAGGCACAATGGCAAACATTGAAATCTCAGTTTTTGTAAGCGCCATGTTTGGGATCATTGAGCGGATCTCTTTCTGCGCTTCGTCACATGCACTTTACATGTAGGTAAACACTGCGACAAAATGTTATTGTAATGATCAACGCTATGGTCCAACAACGATGTCGTTGGCCTAGATACACACAGTGTAATAATTTTTAAAGCGTCGTTCAGAGAAGGCTATGCATTTATGTGCGTGAGCGGAAACTTGTGCAAGTATACTGGGCATCTACAATGTACTCAAACACTGCACATTGTGGAATTATGCACAGAGGAAATTGAATTAAATTTGAACACTCATGGTTTCGTTAATACAGCACTTAGCATAATTTGTTGGGTCTTTTTATGTTAGAGATACATGTACATGTAGATAGTATCTTGCTGGCATGTTGCCAAATGGACCAATTTCAACCCAAACATACCGGTGTAGCGTGAATATCCGACTCAATGAAATGTGGACTCATTGGTAGTACTGCGCACGCGTGAATACGATACTATGCTATTTTTAGGATCGTTTCGGGAGAGTGACCCGTCACGTGCGAGGGATCAACCAATAATAGGGAAATAGGGGTCCAATTTTCATAGGAGTCAGATTTTCATGTGACACCGGTACAAATTGCGTAGTCACCACGCCTATCTACATGTAGTTTCGGTTTACATGTAGGTCTTTGGGAATGTTGTGCTGTAAACTAGGCTAGTGGGACACCGTTGTGTTTTTGCCAACAATGTAAACAAGGTATAGTGTGGATGATTTAAATATAATGTGATTGACCTGTAAACTCAGCTGGCGAAGGGGTTTATTGTCCCTTTTAGTGTAGCAGCAAAACACAATGGGGATAGGTGTTCATAACATAACCCATCTAGGAACCATTGTTGTGTATATGTTTACTTGTGGGAGTTGTTTTATGGGAAGAATA